GTCGCAATTATTGCTGTTTGTTTGTGATTTGTCACAGTTAGGAAGAATTATGCCTTTGTAATTCATGTTTCTTGAAATCTTAGCTTTTGGGGACGCTATTGCAAACACTTTCATTCTCAGAACCTTTCTCAAGCATGTACTAAGTTTATCTGTGTGCAATGGTTCAGTATAAACATGGACAATTAGACACTAATGTAATTACTGATAAGAGATCTTCAATGTTGGGTGCACTCTCAGGTTGAATTGGTTGATCCGCCAAAAGCTGCTCAAGTTGGCGAGAGAGTTACATTTCCAGGGTTTGTGGGTGAGCCTGATGAGGTGTTGAACCCCAAGAAGAAGGTGTGGGAGACCTTGCAAGTAGATCTGCACACTAACACTGACCTAGTGGCCTGCTATAGAGATATTCCGCTAACAACATCAGCTGGTGTTTGCACTGTATCCTCTATTCGTGGCGGGTCAATTAGATAGATTAGAAGATAATTAATTATTTCTAGAGGTTGAATAGGAAAAGAAAAGAACAATAAATTTTAGATTTTTTGCTCATGGCTCTCATTGTTTGTGGATTAAGAGTATTTTTCTTCATCCTTTTTTGGCTGTAAAATGGTTATTTGAAAAACCTGCCAAAGAATTTTTGCTCATGGATAGAAACTACTTTTGATCCTCTCGTCTCTTGGGTAAAAACGGAAATGTATTCAAAAAAATTAGGATTTGAAATAAATTTGTAGGGTTAATCGTTTTATTAATACAAAATTAGTGAAACACCCAATTTTAGACATGAAACTATAATAAAACCCTAGACTATTTAAAACATATAAACACACCCAAAATAAACCCAAAAACCAACAGCTGTCAATTTTTGGATTTATTTTCTATGTTAGATTACGGTTTTGACATTTTGGTCTGAATTCTTTGAAACAGGCCCAAAATTCGCCAGCTAGGATAGGAATTTCTGAAAATTTACGTTGGTGACCTCATAACAGAAACCTGTTTGGCAGCCTCAGCAGATCGAATATTCCAAACGAGCTTCGTTCAGTTCTTCGAACGAAGCGAGCTTCGTTCACCTCTTCGAACGAAGCTCAGTATGATGTGGTTTCAGATCTTCTTTTTGGATTCTTCTGAGCTCAGTATGGTGTAGATTGGAGTTCTATTGCTTCAATTTTTTTGTTCTTTGCTGTTTGATTTGGTAATTTTTGGATTGATATTGCGCTGCAAGAGACTCGATTGGAGCTTGGTGCGATCTGTGATCTTCGATTTTGAGGTATTTCGATTTTTTCTTGTGAATTCATATTCGTTTTTTGAGAATTCGATTATATTGTAGTCTGATTTTTGGTGATTTCATGTTCGATTAATTAAGTTGCTGATTAGGTTTTCGTTTCTTTTTGTTTATAATTTGGATTGATTTCAGATTCGTTTTGATTGTGGATTTGCTCTTGTGTTTTGATTTGAGGTGTGGTGAAACTTTTGTGATATTCGATTTGGTTTTCATATTAATTGAGGTTTTTTCAGTTGAATCTGAGTATATTCGTGTTTTTTCTGTTTATGCACTATTGGTTTTTGAGTCGACTATAATTCACTGTTAATACTCGGCATCCACTGTTATTGCTAGTAGTCATTTTTGTTTTGTTTGTTGTTTTTTTGTATAGATATTGATGATTCGAGAGTGGCAAAGTGCACCTATGGTGGTGGAACTTTAATGCTTATTTTGTCTTCAACTACTACTTTTGATTGGCTGTCCAACGAGTTGTGTAGTAGGTTCAAGCTGAAGTTAGGTCATTTTGAGTTGAGGTACTCTTATACGGATTGCTCCAATTGTTTATTGGAATTGGATGATGATTTGAAAATCATGTTTATGGTATGTGGACTGACGAAGGATCAATTAATTCACATTGCTGTTAGGGATAAGGCTGTAGTGAATTATGTTCAAACTGTTAATACGAACATAATTGCTTCTCCTTTTTTGTTGGAGGCTGTTCCTAACAATTACAGTTTTGCACAAGATGAGGATACATGTAAATATTCAATTCAAACTGGTAGTATTGTTGATTCAAGTGCAGCTTCTTCTTCTTCTTTGAGTATGGATTTTGATGGTATTAGCAGTGAGTATGGAAATGAATATTTAGGCAAATATGGTAGTTGTGGAGGTCGTAAGTATTTGTCTACTGATTGGGAGGGTTATATTACTCATGAGGGTCAGAAGTTTGAGGGTGGAGTTTGTGAATTCCGTGATAAGTTGGCTAAGTACTCGATTGAGAATGGTTTTAAGATGAAATATTTGAAAAATGAGCCTCGTCGTGTTACTGCTGTGTGTGCTAAGAAGGAATCAAATGGCTGTGAGTGGCATGTGGATGCTGTTAAGTCGAATGTAAATGGATTTTTTTATATTAAGAACTTAAATAATGCACACAGTTGCAGTGGTTTGATCCGTGAGAAGAGAAATAAGGCAATGGGGTCTCGTTTGGTGTCTTCAATTGTCAAAGATAAGGTTCGTAGCAATCCTTTGGTAAGGCCTATTGAGCTGATTACTGATTTGAAGGAGAATTATGGATTGGATATCCCTTATCATGTTGCGTGGTATGGGAAGGAGTCGGCTACTAAGGATTTGCATGGTGATGAGGAGTTGTCTTATGCTCACCTGCCTTGGTATGTGAATGTTTTGAAGGCCAGCAATGTCGGATCTCATTGTGTGCTTGACTGTGGCGAGGATGGTTTTCGTTTCCAGCGGATCTTTATATGTTTTAAGGCCTCCATTGAGGGTTTTCGGTGGTGTAGGCCTATGCTGTTCATTGATGGTACTTTCGTCACAAACAAGTACAAGGGTACTCTTCTAGGAGCTACTGCAAAGAATGGAAATAAAGGTATGTAATGTAAATGCTGTAGTTGTTGACTTCCATTGAGTGGTATGAACAGTGTAGTTATGCAAATGTAAATGCTGTAGTTGTTGACTTCCATTGAGTGGTATGAACAGTTTCTATACTGTTCATACCCTGCATCTGAGTATTTTTATGCATTGTAGTTTTACTCTGCTTTATGTGGTAACACTGTTACAGTTCAAACTAACTAATATAGTTCTCTGTTTCTTGTAGAAGTATTCCCTTTTGCCTTTGCCATTGTATCCGGTGAAACTGTGGATAATTGGAGGTGGTTTCTGCAAAGGATATCTGAAGTCTTGGTTGATGAAGGTAGGCAACTTACATTCATTTCTGATAGGCATGGTGCTATTATCGATGCTGTTAGGACTGTTTTTCCTGCTTCTCCCCATGGTTTTTGTCTATATCATTTGAAAGAGAACTTGAAAAAGAAGTATCCGCATGCTGTTGGTTCCTCTTTCAAGGATTATATTTTATGGCTTTTTTGTAAGTTGTTGTATGCACCGACTGTTGAGGAATATCAAGATACGTTGAAAAAATTAAGAGATGATGGCGGTTCAAAAATAATTGATAAGTTTTTGGCTGATCTCCCTGTCCAAAATTTTGCTAATGCATTTTTTCCGGGAAAGAGGTATGGGGAGGTTAGTAATGCCTTGTCCGAGTCGTTTAATTCATGGATTAAGGATGTGCGTAGGCTTCCAATTTATGAGATGATTGACACTGTTAGGATCAAAATGATGGAGATGATTTCTAGGAGGAAGCTTGCATCCGAGAAATGGAGTAGTGTTTTGTGTCCTGTTATTGAGGATGAGTTGAAGAATTTAGCTGCAAAGGGTCGTCATTGGAGGATATGTCGCGCGAGTGAATCTGTTTTTGAAGTTCATGCTGATTTGAGTGTTATGGTCAATTTGGACGAGAGGTTTTGCTCCTGTTATCAGTGGCAATTGCTTGGGTTTCCGTGTCAGCATGCGATTCAAGTTATCCAACATTCCGGGTTATGTTTGTACAACTTTGTGGATGAGTATTACAAGGCAGACTTTTATAAGGCTACTTATGCAACCCATATATTTCCCATTCCTGATATTGAGAAGCCTCCTCCTGGAGATGTTTTTCTTCTACCTCCTCATACAAGAAAGCCTCCGGGACGACCTCCGACAAAGCGCTTCAAGTCAAGCAGTGAAACTAAAAGGCAGGTGAAGTGCAAGAGATGCGGTTCTTGTGATCGTCATAATAGGAGGACTTGCAAGGTTCCTATTTGATGTAAAGGTTCTGAGTATAAAGACTTGAATGAGAGTAGTTAGTTTTTAACTAGTTAAAGTGCTATGTGATTGATTAATGACAATCATAGTTGAAAGGAATAGAAATTGATATGCAAGTTGTTAATACGGTGAAATAGCAGTCACTGCATATGAATACACTTTGAATTTTTGGTATTAATACATAATATTTACCATTTTTGGTATTTTGCAAATTTCGGTTTTGAAGTTTGATATGAATTAAGCATTACTGTTGTTTGAATAATCTATAAATGAACGAACACTATTTAATGCTCACTGTTCATGCCATTGTTGAAATTGAAAGATAGTTCTATGACATGGTATTAACAATTTATTTCTATCAAATAGCATTAACATTGAATTGAGAGTGCGTTGTTATTTGTTGTAGTTCACCTTTTTAGTTGTTTTAGTGCTATGGAGACCATTATTTCAGGTTACATACACTGTTAATTCACGTAAATAAACTGGTTTTTGAATAAGTACATAACTTGAATTTGAAAATCACTTTACTTCAATGTTCTAAACCTACACAAGTCCTAAGAAACTACAATATAAGCAAGAATTTTGGCAAAATATTTGATTACAACTTCATTATTTTGCATTTCTCTCTTCTCTTTCTTTGATGGAAATCCAACTTCTTTCATTGCTCATAATTTTCATGAGGACTTCTTTTCTCATTTGCCAGACCTTTTCTTTGTTGAAATCTGATTCTATTTGTTGGTCTTTGGAAAGCTGCTTCATGAAGTGCATGACAAAGACGCCACAATCATTGCTGCATAATAGAGATACGCATGCAGGAGTTATTTCAGTATTTTTTTAGTTGAATAGGATGAAAGTTTCACTGTTATTGCGTAACTTACGAATTGTTTGCTTGTTGGGGACATTCTCTGTTCTCAGTCAGCTTGAAGTTAGTAGTATCATGACAAATCAGATACTTCATTGTCTGAGCATATTCTGGTGTAAGTTCGTTGCTGGCAAGTATTTTTGTTATCATTCTAGCTGAAGCTTCATTAAGCTCTCTCGACTTCTTGGCATCAAAATCAGGAATTTGGACGAGTTTTGTTTTCAGTGATATTGCAGCACATTCCTTAATAAGACAGAGGAATATATTTGCTGTCTCAACCTGCATCATAGTCAAGTATGTGCTTAGTTTCCTTTAAATTTAGTGTCCTATGTATTAACAGTGTTAATCACCAGTCTTACTTACCAAAACAATTGCCTTCTTGTGATAATATTGGAGAGTTTGTTCTGATGTCCCCCTGAATGAGTTGAAGTGTGTCCATTTTGCTGCACCGGTGTCAAAGACAAGCAGCGTATGGTGGTTCTATCTGTAATTGGTATGAACACTCTATCAACTCTTCCAATATTTTCTAGGAGTGGCATATAGAAAGCATGATATGTCAGCTTGTGTGAGGCACCTCGCAAAAACATCTGCAAAAGTCATGTGTTGGTGATTAGTGAGCATGTTGATGATATAAAATTGATGTATTAGATGTGATCTTACATAGTTATTGGCGGACAAATATGCATTTTTCTGTTTCTGAGGGTTCTGCTTCGCATCATCATTAAGTGCCTCTCCATAAGCATCGATGATTAGTGCAGATATTGGACCATCTCCCATCAGTTTTTCAATGTTATGTTTGTACAATATTGTCCTATTTTGTAGGTAAAAAGCGTCCCTGCGACAATAATGTTGTTTAAAAATGATAATCTCATAATAGTTTAATAACAAGACAGTTCTATGACATAGTATTAACAGTGTAATTCTATGACAGTTCTAAGGCATAGTATTAACAGTGTAATTCTGTGACAGATTGGCTTACTCATCAGAATCAGATGCAGATTTCCAGTAATTTTCCAACTTCTTCTTTGATATTTCATCCAGCCTGTTGTAGACCTCATACATGTGCAACTGAAGGTATGTATCTTTGTCCTCCTTTTTTTGTTGGCTGCTTCATCTTCGCTTTGGCTTGCTCTTTTTTCGGCCTTTCTTATGTGCTTCGGGGTATGTGTAATCTGGTTTCTTTGCAGGCTTTCTGTCTTTTCTGTCTTTGATTATTTTGATGCCAGAACGCAACTGCCGTGTTCCTACTTCTTTTGCTTGCATGATAACTAACTTTTCAGGAGTTTTTCCATCGGCGTTCTCATCTTCATCATTAGGAGATTCTTGCATCTCCAATTCACTTTCTTCTGCTATTCTCTCATCTTTTTTCTCCTTATCAGCTTGTTCTTTCATCGGAATTTCTCCTTGTTCACCTTGTTTGATTTTTTTTCCCATCACATGTTGCAAAGAGGCAATAACAGTGTCTTTTTCTTTCATGCTCTCAATGCAGGACAACTTTTCCCCTTCAAGTAGTTCATGTTGTTCCTGTAGCTGTCTCCTATTTGATTTGAGTGCATGAAGTTTCCCTTGTAATTTTGCACCTTCTTTTTCTCTTGCTCAAGCTGCTTTTTCAGTATTTCAATTTGTTGCTCCAACTCTTCTTTTTCAGTCCATATTTGTTGAATGAATGAATTTTTCTTTATGCAGGATTCTATAGCAGTCTGCATCATATCCCTTCGAGTATCTGCCTTTTCAATCCAATAGTCGACTGCTTCTTTCAGCTGTTGGATTTTCTCATGGGTAGGGGCTATTTCATGCTTGTAGTACTCTGGGATTGACCCCACTATGTCCACAAAAATAGAGTCGAAGTCTTCTTCTTGGCTGTCAAGTTCTGGGTTCTGTTGCTGGACATTAACAGTGTCCTCCTCCGTCACTGAGTCTGCACTAAGGTCAACTGCTTGTTCTTCAATTTCATCATCTGCTTCGCATTCCAATGATTGTGCTGTTGGTTCTTCAATTTCATCATCTGCTTTGCATCCCAATGATTGTGCATTGTCTTCATTTTGCTCCTGTTGTGGAGTTTTTGTCTGGGTTGCACTTTGGTCCACATTTTCATGAAAGCTGAAGTTCTGTTTCTGGGTAATAACAGTCTGGCTTTTTCCTTTTTGTGTTTGACTCTTTAACTGTCACAAATATTAGAAAGGAAAAAAAAAGTATTAGCAAATTTATATACATGTATATGTGTTTGTACACTATCAATTCAGTTTTGAAATATAAATGTTGGATCATTGTAGGTTATCTTACCCAATCTTTAAGTGTGATAACAAAGTCATCATCCTCTTCATTTTCTTCTTGTTCTTCATGGTCTGCATGATCAGTCTTTGTTGCTTCTTCTTTTTCATTGTCAGCAGCTTTTATCTGTTGAATTATTGGAGTCAGTAGTAATTATGGTGTACTAACATTATATATGTTTATGGAAGTAAGAAAAATGCCTTAATGTTTTCATATGTTGCAATATTCAGCTTGATATTGAGCTCCGGAAGGCTCCATTTGACAGCCGCTGGTTTGTGATCTTCTCTTCCAGGAATTGGACTGATCAGGTTAGTTCTTTCACACAGCCAATACTGCAAACATGTTTTTCAATATAAAGTGTTAATGCACATGAAAACAAATAATATAACAGGATTAACAAATGGATGTAGTTTCTTACCAGGATTAGCACAAGGCAACCACTGACGCTTGGTTGATTTGTCTTGTCCTTTTTATTTTTTATGGCTTGGTCCAGTCCATAATGCATGTAATCTAAGACTCCTTGTGCCCAGTTGTAGCTGTTCATAGCTTCTAATGTGTCGATCATAGTCAAAAGGTCCAAGCCATTGTCGCCCCAGAGTTGCAAAAGAGATTTGTGATGAAGAGCTCTAGGATTAACAACCTGACAACATCCATTGCATTCTTCTTTCTGTCATCTGCTATTGCTGTGTTCAGACACCTATCAATCTCAGTTTTTGTGATTTTTTTTACTTCTCGAAATACTTCTTTTCGAAGGCCAAATTTGTTCTTGTGGAAGTTGTTGTGCTTGGCAACTTGTTTCCTTTGTTTGGCAATCCAAAGATGTCAGACACATCATTGCTTGTAATTTCATGCTCGTTGCCTTCACTGAATTTGAATTTTTTGGTTGCGGGGTTGTAGAGTCTGATTAGTTTAATTATTTGATAATTAGACTTCTGGCATTCTACCTTGGTTAACTGACCTTCCATGTAAGCCTTGATGATGCTCCAGAATGGCGTTTTTTGTAGGATCTTGAGGACATCCTTTCTTGCTGCAAGCTTGTCTTTTACCGTTTGCAATGTGTTGTCAAATGTGAGCATGTTGCTCTTGATCTGCACATAATCTGGGTTATTGCGTCTGTTTGGTTGAGGTTTTTGTGTTTGGGATTGTGTTTTTTTTGTCTTCGTTGTTTTCTTTGGTTTCAGTGTGTTTGCGGATTTGGGTGTGGATAGTTTGGCTTTTGCTGTTGTTGGTGGTGTGCCTTGTGTGTTTCTTGATGCTGTTTTGTGCTTTTGCTGGCTTGTGATCCTTTTGTATGCTTTTTTTTTGAATTTCAACCCGGTTACCTTTTTCCATATGACCACCTGCAAAATGAAACAAATAGGTTACTTTAACTAAACAAAAGAAAGATGAAACATAAGTATTAATACTTCTATGACATGGTATTAACCATTTACTTCTATGCATTTGAACCTCATGCTTCTCTTTTTTAGTGCACTACGATTTTTTTTCATATACATTTCTAGTGCATGTTGCACTAGAAGAGCAAGATGCATAGAAGTCCCAGATTTTGATTAACAAAGGATGCTACATATTTTGGTCTTCAAGTGCACTGCTTTGCAGTGCACTAGAAGAGCAAGATACATAGCATGCTATATATTTTTGGTCTTCAAGTGCACTGCAAAGCAGTGCACTAGAAGAGAAAGATGCATAGCAGTCACAGATTTTGATTAACAAAGGATGCTATATATTTTGGTCTTCAAGTGCACTGCTTCGCAGTGCCCTAGAAGAGCAAGATGCATTGTATTAATAGTTGTGACATGGTATTAACAGTTCAAGTTCTATGACATGGTATGAACAGTTGTGAAACGTATACATTTGCAGTCGAAACATGCGTCTTTTCAAAACATTACTATTGGACTTTGACGTTAAGAGATTTTGTAATACCTGGGAGTCTGATAGTGATGCTTTGTCAGCCATTTGTGAAGAATGTTGAGTGTTTGTTTCTGTCATTGTTGGACCTTTTCGTTGGTTACCTGTATTAAACGTGGTAGTCTTGCATTAGTTAGCAGAATCTTAAGACGAAAGTGGAAAGTCATTGTGGGTTTTTGAGATTGTACCTTTCTGTCGATGTTTATGGAAGAAATTTTCTTCCCTTTTTCCTGGTTGTCCTTGTGCTCAGTTGCTTTTTGTAGTGTCGATTTTGAAGACTTTTGGCTATGGCAGAATATAACTTCGATTCACCGGCTTTCTCGTTATGGAGTTTGTCGTTGATTGGTGGTTATGGAGGTTGTCTCCTGCCTGGTGGTTATGGAGGTTTTCGTCTGCTTTTGGAGTGGGTCGCGTCGCAATGATCGGAGTGAGAGGGTGAGTGGGTTTTTCGCTTTTTGGGTGCGTGCGTGTACTCTGCGTTGAGATATTTTCTTTTTTTTCAATGGGCTTAGTGAAATTGGGCTTTATTGGCTTGTTGAGTTTTCTGGGCTCTTTTTTTGGTTTGTTTGGGCTCTTTTTTTGGTTTGTTTGGGCTTTTTTTTGTCAAATTAGACTGGGCCTTTTTTCTGTATTTTTCTATGGCTTGGTTGATTTGTTTTTCGTTTCTGACCTTAATTTTCTCAACTTGGGCTGGGCTTTTTGAAAGTCACTGTTAATACGCATTTTGAACACTGTTAATTCGCAGTTTGAAATATAGAAGAAGCTATAGAGTAACAATTTTTTACATTTGAATCTCACTACACAGTAACTATTTGACATTTGAAAGTTAAGAAGCATCAAAAGATTTTGGTTAGAAGCTACATATTAACAATTTGACATTTGGAAGTTAGAAGCCGAACATTTACTATTTTATAGTTCTAAAATTTGTGAAATCCATGCTTTCATCCTTCATTCTCTTTTGTGAAATACCAATTTTTTTCACTTTCCATTGTCTTCAATAAAACTTCTTTTCTCATTTCCCACACATGCTCTGTACTCAAGCTTTCTTCAATTTGTTTTCCTTGTGACAACTTCTGCATGTAGTACATGACAAATACTCAACAATCGTTTCTGCAAATTCACACACACACACACATATATATATGCAACATTTAGTGAATCATAGTTTAATTTGAATTGGGGGAAGAAAAGTGTTATTGTGAAACTTACGACTTTTCAGGTTGTTGGGCGCATTCCCTGTCCTCCTTAAAGTTGAATTTGGTGGGATCATGTTTCATAAGATATTGTATTGTTTGAGCAATTGCTGGTGTAACTTTCAGGGTTCGAAGAAGTTTTGCAATCTCGTCGGTCAATTCTTCATTGTAGACGGGCTTCTTGAACTCAAGAAGTGGGAAGCTGTTTTTTTCTAAAATTGTTGGAGCACATTCCTTGACACTATTGAGGAAGACATTTGTTGCGTCTGCCTGCATTGTAGGCAAGTATGTTGTTAGCTTCACTGATTAACTGTTTTGGTCATGCCTTGTATTAACAGTTCATAGTAGGAGTCTGCCTTACCAAAATTATTGCTTTTTTGTTGTAGTATTCAACGGTTTGCTCAGTTTCCCCCCTCAATAAGTTGTAGTGCGTCCATTGCAATGAATTGGTGTCGAAGACAAGCAGGGTGTGGTGTCCGCCATCCGTTATTGGTATAAACACCTTTGAAGTTTTCCCTATGCATTCAAGGAGTTTGACAAAATATTCATCGAATGTTCTTGGGTGCATTTTATCTGTGAGATACCTCTGCAAAATTAATAGTTTCGGCATTAGAGAAAATGTGAAAAGTATAGGAAGATGAATAATTTGTGATTTTAACTAGAAGTAATGGGATAGCTATGATCTTACGTATGTGTAGCACGTGATGTATGCATTCTGTTGTTTTTTGGGGTCCTTCCTTTCATCATGATGAAGTATCTCGGCATACGCATCTATGATTTGTCCATAAATTTCAGTATCTCTTAATAAGCTTTGTATGTCATCTTTGAACAAAATGCTTGTCCCTTGCCAAAAAGCAGTGCTGTAACAGTATTTGTAGTCAGAAAAAATGGCAATAAAATTGAAAGAACTGTTCAATAAAGTTCCAGTATAGGGTAATAATACTGCTTGTTTCCTAAAAAACCTTTTTCTAACGCATGTCTACCATTGTAAAGTTCCAGTATAGGGTAATAACACTGCTTGTATCCTATGAAATCCTATATCTAATGCATGTCTATCACTGCAAAGTTCCAATATAGGGTAATAACACTGCTAGATTCCTCTGAAATCCTATAACTAATGCATGTCTACCCCCTGTAAAGTTCTAGTATAGGGTAATAACACAATGAAATCCTATTTTCTAATGCATGTTCAATAATAGCATCTTGCATTGAAAATGAATGAAACACATTGCCTTACCCATCAACTGAATTTTTCCAGTAATTTCTCAGCTTTTCTTGTGAGAGTTCATCCAGCATGTTGTAGACCTGATATGTATTCCATTGCAGGAATGAACCTTTGGCCCTCTTCTTTGATTTGGCTGGTTTTTTTTTGTGCCTTTCTCTTTTGTGCTCTCGTCTCTGCTTTAGGGAATGAGGAATCTGGTTTTCTTGATTTTATCTTTTCTGCTTCACCTTCTTTCTTTTCTTCTTTATCCTCTTCACTCTGCAGTTCTTGCGCTAATTTTTGATCTCTCAACGAGACAATAACAGCTTCCTTTTCATTAATAATGTCCAAGTAGGAAATCTTCTCTGCAAGAAGTTGATCATTTTCTAGCTGCAGCTTTGTCATGTAGGATTTTCCTGATGAACATCTAATTGTATGACTTTCTTGTGATGTGCTGCTTCCTTAACCATCTTCTGCAGTTGCTGCTGATGCTTCAATAATTCTTCTTTTTCATTGTACAGCATCTAAATCAATTTATTCTTTTTAATGCAAGATGCTATTGCATCACGGATCTTTTGATGCTCTCCTTTCTTCGTCCAATATTCAGCAGCATTATTGATCGCCATCATATACTCTTTTGTAAGCTGTATTTCATCCTCCTTGTATTCTGGTACTGATCTAACAATTTCCTCAAACAACGTTGAATTCCGGTATTCTGGGATTTCATTTTGGAGGTCTTCTTGTACCTGGTGGTGTTGCTGGACTTGATGTTCAGCAGCATCATCATGGTCTCCATTCACTTCAGCATCCTCCTCCTCTTCATTTTCTTCTTCAGCAGCATCACCATGCTCTTCATTCACCTCTTCAGCAGCATCATCCTTGTCTTCACTCACTTCTTCAGCAGCATCATCATCATCATGCTCTTCATTCACTTCTTCAGCACCATCATCCTCCTCTTCATTCTCTTCTTCAGAATCATCATATGGCTCTTGAGCTTTAGTGCTTTTTATCTGTTTGTTGAGTAGAGTTAGTATTAAGAGTGCACTTCTATGACATGGTATTAAGAGTGTAATTCTATGACATGGTTTTAATAGTGTACTTCTATGAAATGGTATTCATAGTTTACCTCTGTGACATGGTATTCATAGTTTACTTCTATGACATGGTATTAACAAGTATGTACATGACATGGTATTAACAATGTTGTCATATCAGCTGCAAATTATTTAAAAGGAAAGAGTACCTTTATCTGGTTGTTCTTTAGATGATGAAGCTTCGCGCTGAGTTCTTGAAGACTCCATTTGACAGCAGCTGGTGTCATTTGTTCTCTTCCAGGAATTGGAGTGAGCAGGTTAGATCTTTGACACAGCCAATACTGCACAATATTTTTTTGAAATATCACGTGTCAATTCATATCATTAGAATAATGCTACGAATTTGCAGTTTGGAGATTTGTGTTCTTACCAGTATTAGGATTAGGCAGCCACTCACGCTTGGCTGCTTTTTTTTGTCCTTCTTGTTCTTCTTTGCTTGTTCTAATCCAAAATACATGTAGTCCAAAACTCCTCGAGCCCAATTATATTTCCCCATCTCTTCTAAGGTGTCTATTGTGGTTGTATATGTCCAAGCAAGTGTACAACCAGAGTTGCAGAATAGATTGGTCATGAAGAATTGTAGGATTATCAATCTTGTTACATCCATAGCACCCTCTTCTGTTTCATCTTCAAGTGCTAAATTCAAGCACTTATCAATTGAAGTCTTTGTTATCTTCTTATACCACGCGAAGTATTTCTCTACAAACTGCAATTTTGGCCTTGTTGAGGTTGTTGTGCTTGGTAACTTCTTGCCACTGTTTGGCAAGCCAAAAATTTCAGCCACATCATTGCTTTTCATCTCGCTGTCAACATCATTAAACTTGAACTTCTTTGTCTTTGTGTCATAAACTTGTATGAGTCTCACAATGTCGTAGTTAGACTTCATGCACTCTACCTTTGTTAACCTTCTCTGGATATATGCTTCTATTAATGCCCAAAAAGGTGTCTTTGATAGCAGTGTTAAGACATCGTGCCGACGTTCAAGTCTCTGTCTGATGTTGTCAATTGTTGTTGCAAAAGAGAGCATGTTGCTCTTGATCTGCACATAATTTGGGTCCTCCCATTTGCTTGGCTTCTTATTTGTTGTTGTTTTGGATGATGACTGTTGGCCTTTTGTTTTGGAGTTTCTTCTGGCTCTTTCTTTCTTCATCTTTTAATTGGTATACCTGCATTAGAAATAGGAACACGACAGTAAAGTATCGGTGTTAATACCCCATACTGGAACTTGACAGAGGTAGACATGTCTTAGAAATAGTATTTCATAGGGAACAATCAGTGTTATTACCATATACTGGAACTTGACAGTGATAGACATGCCTTAGAAATAGTATTTCATAGGGAACAATCAGTGTTATTACCATATACTGGAACTTTATCTATACTGGAACTTGACAGTGGTAGACATGCCTTAGAAATAGTATTTCATAGGGAACAATCAGTGTTATTACCATATACTGGAACTTTATCTATACTGGAACTTGACAGTGGTAGACATGCCTTAGAAATAGTATTTCATAGGAAACAATCAGTGTTATTACTATATACTGGAACTTTATAGCCATTAATCAGCATGCTAGCCGCTAAATTAGTGACTAGAGTAATGGTCCTATGCAGTCAGTCCTATAGTGAAATCCAATATAGTTTCAAGATTTTGTCTTTCATTCGAATCTAAAATACTGTTATTACCCTATACTGGATCTTTATAGCAAATAATCAATATTACAGTAAAGGTTTGGTTTGTAAATGTCTTACCTTTGAAGCGTTTTCTTGTTTAAATGGTTCTCTGAAATTTTGTCTTGGTCAGTGTCTGGAGTTTGTTTTTGAAACGAGATCAATCTTGGTGGTGGTTATGGAGTCTCGGTTTCGACGACGATGAAGACGAATTGATGAAGACGATTTGACTTGATGAAGACGATGAGTGAAGTGAAGAGACGTTTTGCAGAGAACGTTTAATGAAAGTGCGCGTGCTGGAAGTTACGGTTTACTTTTTTTTAAGTTACGGTTTACTTTTTTTTTGGACGAAAGTTACGGTTTGGGCTTGTTTATAAGTTTGGGCTGGGTTTGTTTTGGGTGTCTTTTGAGTTTGTTTGGTGTTGGGCTTGATAGTGGCAGACCTGTAATTTATAGGAATTTGAACACTAATTTGTTATATAATAAATGGATTTTGGGTGTGTTTATAAAGTGTATTCTATGTGGGGTTTTTTTATAAATTCAGGTCCCATTTTGGGTATATTACTAAAGCTCCCTTTTATTAATCCCTAACTTTAGACCCGATTTGCATTTGAGTACCTCAATTTCCCAAATGATTCTCGTGGTCCTTTAACTTTAGTTTCATTGGACAAATGACCATGTCGTTAATTTTGTTAACTTTTCTATTAAATGCAGGGGCAAAATGGTATTATTGTATCAAAATTAATTAAAATATGAATTAAAAAAATTTTAAAAATTAAAATTAAACTCTCTCCCCCTCTATCCCGATTTCTACTCCCCCAAAACTTTATTTTTATTTTTTTGTTTTTTATTTGATTTGATTTGCTTGTTATTTTAAAGATATGATTTTTTATTCATTTTTTTTTGTTTTAATATAAAAATACCATTTTGCCCTTGTATTTAACAGAAAAAGTTAACAAAATTGACAGCAGGACCATTTGTCCAAACGAAACTAAAGTTGGACCACGGGAACTATTTTGGAAATTAAGGTACTCAAATGCAAATCGAGTCAAAGTTCAAAGACTAATAAAACAATTAACCCTAAATTTAAATATATTGTGAACTGCAAGTGCTGACACAATTCAGAGCATGTTTAAAACAATTTAAGGTTGGAGGAGGAAGTTTACCTTTAAACATTGAGTGTTAGTAAACGAACCCTAAAATTAATTGAGTACACCCTATAATATGAGTACACCCTAATATTTAAATTAAAATATAAAATTAACTAAGTACACCCTATTTAATTACTAAAAATACCCCTGGTAGACCCTAATATAAGTTCTTGGCTTGTGTTTGCATTGTGAAATCCTACAATATATGACAAGAACAATGTGAATCCACATCATCGGCTGGAATTCACCAGACGAGGAAAGAGCTTTTCTGCTGGAATTCACTTGGATGTTTGCTCGTTGAAGATTCAAACTTTTAAAATCAAATCAAAGAAGGCAGAGTTTTTAGGAAGGAAACAAACCCGAGTGATCCTGAAGTTCTTTCAACAACTTCATCTCATCAAATATATGCTTGATTGTGCACCGCTAAGCCAAAAGTATATTCTCCCCATTATCATGAGTTGCTGCGAGTCCCTCTCTACCTCAGCCAAAAGAAGCAAACTTTAACATCTTTAATGCAAAACAGAGACCCCCGATACAAAAATTCGTTACATCCTAGCAAGTTAGTCATTTTGGTCATTTTATATTAGGGTAAATTAGTAATTCAATAAATAGTTTGGTAGTAGGTGTACTCAGTTGATATTTCGTGTTCATTTTTCTTGAAATATTGGGTATTGTTTTACTTTTATTTTTCAATTTAAGTAAAAGAGAGATTAGAGATGGAAAGAAGAAATGAGAAGCAACTTTAGAGCAAACCAGTACATAAGATCATTTACATGGCGTTCAAGGGCTAAGGCTTCAAACCTCATCAGCAGGTAAATTGGCTCAATGTTAAAGATGCGCCCTCATTCAATTTGCATTTGCTTAATATCCATTCTGAAATCTGAACTCGAAATGGTGTTCCAAGTTCCAACTGAGTTCATTGCACTTTTCGATTTGCATTCGCACCTAAATCCCGATGCCAAGTTCCTAGAATCAACAGTCTCTAAACTTTGACTTAATCGAAGTTTCACTAAATTTAGGAGGATGCCATGGAAGGTAAGGCAAGGCAAAATAACTGCGTTACCATATTTGCTAGCAAATTTGTCGATGACATCACTATGGCAGTTGCCCTCCAAAATTTTAAACATACAGCACTGGGTACAAAATATACCATGCCCTGATTAGAAAGTATACAGATCTTATTAAAATATGAAGAAGGAAAAGGAATGTGGTTGGGAAATTAGTGGATGATGAAAAGAAAATAGAAAAAATAAAGACTGGGTACAAAACATACTAAGTCCTGATTATCTTGTCTATACGGTGAAACTGTAAGATATCACCACTAGACAATTTGGAAATAAAATGGACTCAAAGGGGTGTAGTATCAACGATGGCTTCTAAAATCTTCTTTTCCAGTTCTGGTTCATTGATCCACAAGGAACTCTGACGTCGCAACAGTTCATTCTTCTCTTTTTTCTTCTCTTCTCTCATTTTTTCCTTCATCTTCCAATTCTCAAGCTTCTCTGCTCTTTCTTTTAACTGTGCATTTAGACAAATCAAAACATGTAAGACATGCAAGTGAAAGAAACACATAAGCTGTATGAAAAGAAAAATTATTAATTGAAAAAAAAAAAATCTCTCTTTCCTGGACATAAATGAATTGAATTCAAGTATATAATTGTCACATATGAGAATGAGCATCAACTCAATTCTTATTATAGTTTACATTAGATATTCAAATATTTGCATACTTAAAGTAAGCACAAATCCCCGATGTCAGTACAAAAACCAGGTGAAAGGAACTTGCATCCACAACTGATACACTTTCTATTTTAAGATAGACAGTGAGATCTTGACTACAAGAGGAGAGAATGAGTTAGAAAAGCTTGAACCCCAAGTGCACTCTAAAAGGAGCACTTTAATCCTAGAACCCGCCTAAGAACTTAAAAATTATGACACCTTGTACCCCAAAAAAAAACCCCACAACACTATGGATGTATTTTCTTTAGATGATCAATGGAACCTCTGGCAATTGATATTGTTCATTAAAAGTTTGTTAATCCTCATTATTCATGTTAGCACAGTATAATGTAGACACCACTAACAACTATACTGATCTAGTTCATGAAGTCAATGATTATGAACATTTACTTAAGTTTCAGTTGGTACAGGAATGGTAGCTAACACGGACAACATTCTAAAAAGATTCCAAACCAGAATTTCAATCATGGTTAAACAAGAAGAATGCATGTAAGGGCAAAGGAGATTGGGGTACCCTACCCCTTAGGATTGCAACACTGAGGAGATCCAGATGAGTGATCTAAGATCACTACTATCTATCAGCTCCGCATGCATTAAGCCTTATTATGTCAAGTTTGTGAACTCAACTACGGTAAGGTTTGAATTTTTATTTGGTTTTACTGAGGGAATATTTTTAATTGAAACAAATTACGGTACCGTGAGTGAATAAGTTGTCCGCTAACAGCAAAACAACAAAAACAATCACCAATTGATAACTATCATACAGTATATGTGTGTTGCATCAATACACCGAAAACTGAAATTTAAAGAACAGCCCTCCATTCCACAAAAGGAATAAAATGGTACGTCCCAAAACTCTAAAGAATTCGATGTCCAGAATCCGACTTTACCCCACAATACCTCCTTCTCACTATAATCTCCAAAAATCCTTTTATATTTTTCCATCCACAGCAACAAAAACACAGCCAGCACACTACAATTCCATAAAATTTCTGCCTTCTCCCCCCCACCAAAATGCATTGTGCTTCTCCCAAAATAGGCGAAATGCAAGATACTGAAATTATCCAACTCACTTTGGCTTCCCTTAAACCATTTCAATAACAAAGACGCTAACACATGAGTCCGTGCTAAGTCCTAATTACTCGTCCTTGGTTAAAAAAAATATGTGTTTTCGATTTGCATTACCACTTTTTAGATCTGAATTCAATAAACCAAAATTTTTTCTGACTCAAACCTCTCTTCTGAGTTTTCTTCTCTTTGATCTTCCCAATTATTTGTCAGATACCACAAATCTAAACCAAAAAGATCTCATAACTCAACTTTTCTCCTTCCCCCACATTTCTACAATCACAAAACAGAGAATCAAAACGAAAAAGAAGGCTAAATTTGAAGGAAACCTGAGGCCACATAATAAAGTTTCAAACCAATGTCAAACTAGGAAAAAGAAAAACTCATGTTCCCTTTCCCATATATTCTTAGTAACAAACAGGAAACACTTTAAAATTCACCAACTCAATTCTCTCATTTCCACAGCTACCGAACCAAATAACCCTAAACAAAAAAACCCACAATCTAGGTTTCTAATCAATTCCAGACCCAACAAACTTCCCCTTCCATTTCCCACACTTTCCCATCAACCAAACACCGCAACAAAAATCAAAACCACATAAAGAGAGAGGGAGAGAGAAAGAACCCAATGCACATACCAGGGTCTGGCGGAACTCCTGCTCAGCAACCTCACGCTGTTGGGCACGGACCTTAGCAGCCTCAGCCTTGAGTCTCTTACGTTCCTCATTTTGGAGCCTAAGGGCTTCTTTACGAGCCTCGTCCTTGCGAAGCTTCTCGAGCCTCATGAGCTCGACCTCCTGGATGTACTCCTTGCGGACCTCCTTGACCTGCTTGGCGTAGTCTCTGCGGAGCTGCGCAAGCTTGGCCTCGGCCTCCTTGGGGTCCTTGGGGGCCTCCCAGCACCCAATGAAGGAATTGGGATCTGTGTACTGGTGATTCTGCTGGTGGCTGTTGTGGTGCGACGGCTTCGTACTTGTGGAGAAGGACCGCAGGCGCAGTGTACGGTACAGTGAGCGAGACGTGGTCGCCATTGGAGAGTGTTTTCTCTGTGCCAGAGAGAGGGTTTAAGAGTGGAAAATTTCGGAGTTAAAAAGGAAGGGAGGTTTTTGGGTTGGGTTGGGTTGGGTTGGAGCTCGACCAAAAACCTCGAGGCCCAATGCAATTTTGTTGGAAAATTTACTCACTGCACTCCCCTTCAACTAGCCAAAGTCAGGTATAAAACTCATCACAACTACCATTAAATTGAGGGTTAGTTGATAAACTTATCGAGATTTAGTTTACTCTAATAAAGCTTAATGACCCTAAATCTTCATTTATTCCATGGAACCAAGAAATATTTGACACATGTACGAGATTTGTTTAATTGCTTATGAAGGACAACATTTAAACCAACTTGGTCACCAAATGGAATACTTTATTTTGATTATACTACTAGTTTGAGGTCTAAATTGTTTGGAGTGCAATTTGAGGCCGAGGCCGAAACTATGCCCCTACACCAACATAATAATTATGTTCACAAGTTGGGCTCTTTTTGTTCGAGGGTCACAAGTTGGACTTGGACATAATTTGAATGGTAAAGACATGTTAATAAGCTCTGTTTAACCTTCTAGCAAAAGGGAAGCAAAGCCCCAAAGGACAGCAATTTTTTACCAGTTGGCGTAGAACCCCGTTTTAAGAGCATTTGTATTGGTGAGGGTCATTTCAATTTTATTTCAATAAATTGAACTTTTGACTTACAGTAGTAATGTTCATTTCATTTCATAGATCAATATTTCATTTCGATGATCAATAGTTCATTTCATAGGTCAATAAAATGAACTCTAAAATGAAATTCATTTCAATAAGTTGGCCTACCCATAATAATTGTACAATCTCTCTCTTAATTTTTTTTGGGGTAAATACCACGAGTTGTTCCCACACTCGAAGGACGGGATTAATCCCCACTCGGGGTTCGGCTTGCCCCCTAGCCACAAAATGTTTCCAATAGATTTCGAACCCTGCCATTGAGGTACTAAGTAGCTCGTTAGCTGGAGGTGGCAGTTTGCTAACTGCACCACACCTTGTGGTTCAATCTCTCTCTTATTGACACATGGACAACATTACGGTTTACTTTTTAATTTTTCCATTACATTTAATTAGTGTAAACTAGACGTTACTTTTTTTTTTTCAAAGCAACTAGCCATTTCTGCTTTATTTCTCTATTAAAAAAAACATATAGATAATATATACTAGCCATTACTGATTTGTTTCACTTGAAAAAAAGGATAGCTAATTTTTCATTTTGAGAAAGGATAGAATTATATATACTAGCCATTGCTATTTATTTCACTTTTCAAAAACACAAATGGCTAGTTCCCTTTTCAAACGGCTAGTTATTTACCTATAAATACATATGTAGAAAACAACTCTCCCACAAAGTTCCTACACCCACAAAAAAATTGTTTATGTTGAAATTTTATTTTTCAATAGAAAACTTTGTTATTAATTATATATATTCAAAATTGGTCTCTTTTTAAAGATCTCTTTGAAACCATTTTAATTGTATAATAATAATTGTAATTAAATTCATTCATTTTATTTTATGCAATCTTTAAAAAATATAATTTTTCATTTGTAAGCTATTGAATTGCATCGCTACAAATGAAATTATAGTCTAGTTCAATAGCTGCAAAAAAAAATTCAATAAATTGAACTATTAAACTAAACTAAAATGAATTGTTGAGTAACCATTGTGGATGCTCTAAGAGGCAAATATGGAAGGAATGTGTTTTCCCCAATCCACCATATCCTCATCTTCGCTAGAAATCCCCCTCTACACTTGAAAAGACAAATTTATTTTTTACTTACTTCATAATTTTAAATCGTAATTTGTATTTATATTTTGGTTTTAATGGTGTAATTGTGTGATTATTTGTATATAAAATAATCTATGGTCTTTTTTTGTCATGTACCACATAATGAATTTTTATATTTGCCAAAAGTCACTTCTGGTCTTTGTAGTTTGATACTTCAATTACTTTTGACCCTATAGCTTTAATTCCGACAATTTTTCCATTTTAGTTTTCTATTCGTAGCAATTCACGGACAAGTTAGTGTTCTTGTTAAGGGATATTTGTTGAAATGTTACCTGAACTTATACTTTAGTTTCAATTTGTCACCTGAAAAAAAAATTTAAGTGAAATGTCACATGAAATTTTCAAAATCCATGATTTGTCACATGAGTTTACTATCATCCAATTTTCCATATATTTTCAAGGGTATTTTAGTCTGCTCATTTTCAAGGATATTTAAAAAATGGAAAAAATTATTATTAAAAAAATAAAGCTTAAATGTAAAAATGGTTGGGGGTTAAATGTGAAAAGATATATAAGTTTTATAATTTTCGAGGGTCTTTTCATAATTTTTTTTATAATGATTTTTCAATTTTTAAAAATACTCTTGAAAATAAAAGACTAAAATACCCTTGAAATGTTACTTGAACTTATACCTTAGTTTCAATTTGTCACATGAAAAAAAAATTTAACTGAAATGTCACATGAAATTTTCAAAATCCATGATTTGTCACATGAGTTTACTATCATCCAATTTTCCATCTATTTTCAAGGGTATTTTAGTATGTTCATTTTCAAGGATATTTAAAAAATGGAAAAAATTATTATTAAAAAAATAAAGCTTAAATGTAAAAATGGTTGGGGGTTAAATGTGAAAAGATATATAATTTTTATAATTTTCGAGGGTCTTTTCATAATTTTTTTATAATGATTTTTCCATTTTTAAAAATACTCTTGAAAATAAAAAGACTAAAATACCCTTGAAAATAGTTGGAAAATTGGATGATGTTAAAGTTAGGTGACAAATCATGGATTTTGAAAAATTCAGGTGACATTTTTCTTAAATTTTTTATTTAGGTGACAAATTGAAACTAAGGTACAAGTTCAGGTGAAATTTCAATGAATATCATTTCTTGTTAATTTCTTTGATTGTGCAAGGGGAAATTTCGTCAACTCAAAACCCTTGAACATAAAAGCTCGTCTGAAACTCTCTCCATTTTATATAGGGCTCAAATTCAACCGTCCCAATTTTTGAAAAATCCTAAACCTAAATGGCCAATTTCAAGTCATAATATGAAATGAGGAGAGTTTTAGATGAACTTTTATGCTTAAAGGTTTTGGGTTGATGAAATTACTCTTTGCTATGTACTAACTTGTCCTTGAATTGTTACAAATACAAAATTACAAAGTTAAAATTGAAGAAATTGAAACTACAAAGTTTAAAGTAGTTGAAGTGTCAAACTATATGGACCACAAGTGACGTTTAATGTTTTATGTTCTTATAAAAAAATAATGAATTTTTTAGATAATTATTTTGTTGAAGAAAACAAAAACAAAAACATCGGGAGCCCGCATACGTTAACCGACGAGTTGTAGCCCTGAGATACATTGGGGTTATATAATGACCTTTTTTTTCAAAAAGAACCGAGGAAGCCAAGTAAGCATACACTGAAAGAACAGAGCTTTAACCTAATTACAGAAAAAACACAAAACATCCATTGAAACAAAGCTCCTGGGGACGTAGATGCTTCTGGGTGCAAACCCTGCAAACTCCCTCCAACAATAGACAAAACTCAGTACACCCGGCTTTTTCCTTCTCTCACCCTGTTTCTTCCTCACCATGTACGGTCGCCCTTCTAGCTCCTCCGGCGGCGCCTGGGGTCAGCCGCCGCAGCAACCTCAAGGCACTAATTTCTATCTCCAAAACCCCATCAATTCGTCGTATATTTATCCTTCAAACACCCCCTTTATACCCCAAAATGCCCACAACCCCTACCAAAATTTCCCTCCTAATAATTTCCCAATCCAAACCCCTAAGTTCCCTGTCCAAAACCCTGGATTTAATCCTCCTCCACAGCAGTTTTCAAACCCGGCAGGGTTTCGGCCTCCGAACTCGAGAGATATGCTCGAGAGAATCGACCGCGCCGTGGGGAAGGCTCGCGACGAACATGCCGCTGCTGGAGAGAACGTCTCGGCGTGGAAGGTCTCGCAGTCTGTGCTTCTGATACTCAAGGTTGATTGCTGGAGCTCTCTGGGGTTTCAAATGCAGCAAGTGCCGACATTGCACCGCCTCATGCTCACCGAAGGGAAGGTAATGGCGCCATCTCTGCCCTTTTTAACTCTCTTCTTTTTGCTTTTAAAATTCAAGTTTCGTTAATGCTTTGTTTGGTTGCTAAGAAAGTGTGGGAAAAGAATTGTAATTGATATAAGAAGAGAACCTTCATTTATAATAAAATACACTTGGTTTGCCTGTTTGGAATTTATTGAAAACACTTCGTTTTGGGAAAAACATACTTGATTGTTTAACGAACGTTCTTTTTTATTATTTGTATATATGAAAAGGGAATTGATGATGATTATAAGAGATGCGAGCTGATCTTATGACATCATTAACACTGCATATTATACACAAATGGTCCCCGTCTTCAGCTGTATGCTTACATGCATAGATATGTATAAGCAAGCGCAAGCATGACATGAAGTAACTGCCCCCGCTGGGGTGGGGGGTTCTAAGAAGTTATATTTCTGATTTGGGCGAGAGCAACTAAGGGCTTGACCCTTTTGTAATGATTGTGCAAATCCAGGAGGTTATGTATCACCTATCATTAGTTGCCTAGGCTCTAGGGTCACTACACTTATCATTATCAGCTGTTGTCTCACTCATTTCAGTATAAGATTCCATTTTGTAAAGTAACAGAAGCAAGCACAAGGAACATGCAACTATTTATTTTTCTTCTTTTTTCAACCAAATGAAGCATGAGATACAATGTTGAAATTTTATGTATTTTATCTTATGAGGTTTGTGTTTCTTTATTTATATTTACTTATTTTCTATTGGAATTTAGATAAATGCATTTATCCATTGTTTTGTTGGGGCTCGAAGAATTACTTCATTGTATGATTTGGAAGTAGCAATCTGCAAGAATGAAGGAATTGAGCAGTTTGAAGAGCTGGGATTGGGCCCTTTGTTGCGACATCCACTTGTTATGCATTATTTCTCAGTGAAGTCTGATACAACTGAAGTATTTAAGATAACTAGTGGGGAGATGATATCTCTACTTTCTGAGTTCATGGATACTTGTGAAAATAAAGATATTAGGGTTGAAGAATATTTAGATTTCATTGTTAAGAAGCGATCAGTTGCAAGCAAGGAAGCGCTTGGAATACGAATTCACAGCATGGGGTATGTCACATTTTTGCTTCTACTTTTTGGTTTAAAAAAAAACTATTTTGTAGATAGCTGAATACTGAACTTAGAACTATATTGGCAAAGGAGACCTCTTTTTATAGTACTTGGTGTGCATAAATTTGATGTCATATTTACTTATTTATAAAGTTTTTCATGCATTAAAAGTCATTCTAATGTCCATAAAGAGCATGTGGAAGTCAAAATTTCATCTATTATGGATGTTGAGTTACAAGGATCATGCCTGTGCTCATGTTGAGTTACAGGGATCTTTAATGCATACTTTTGCTGATGTACTTGCTTCTTTGAATAACATTTGATGATGCAGAAGCTATTACATGCACAGTTTTGGGTCTTGTTGATTATTTCTCGGTCTTAATTTTAAATGCTCCCTGTTCACATCGTTCTTGATGAACGCCCGCCCCTCCATCCCCCACCAGTTTTGGGTCTTGTTGATTATTTCTCGGTCCTAATTTTAAATGCTCCCTGTTCACATCGTTCTTGATGAATGGCGCCCCCCCCCTCCCCTCCCCTCCTCTCCCCCCTCCTCTTAAGTTTTCAATTAAGTTCAGTCCAACATGATATATAATTAAACAACCCAATCTCAAACATTATATACTGATTGTGTTCTGCTTCATTCCGAACCTTTATGAGCTAGGTGGTATTGTGTGGCTTGATTTCACCTCTGTGTGTGTGGGTGTAGTAAATTTTTCAGTCATGACTTAAGTTTTCTAAGGGGTCAATCCAGTGTCATATCATGTGTTCAAGTCATCTCATTTGTCCTTTTTCAGTTTGTAATGTAAATTTTAATGACGTTGATTGGAGCAAACTTTATGACAACAGGATGCATATTTCTGCCATCCGGAAAGCCAGGAATCTAGAAATTTCCACTCTAAAGAAATCGGAGAAGGCATTTCAGCCAAATTCAGATAAAAAGGATAGGAAGTTTCCACTTTTATCTGCAGAGAAAAAGGTGTTAGACAAACGTTTCAGCACTATTTCTCAGCGCGTTGAATCGTTTTCCCCCATACATAAGGATTTTTGTGGCAAGCACATTAGATTTGATCCTTCAAGCTCAGAGGATGAAGGTAGGGATGATTATTTATCTGAAGAGAATGATGAAAATAATGACCATGTAACAGGCAGTCAGGTTAACTTCTCATCACAGTCTGTTAAAAGTTCTGACCGGGTGAGTAGTTGTCCTTACCCGTCTGTAATAGAAGAGAGGAGAAGGCTTGGGTTGAGCCAGCTTTCTCCAGCTAGTGGCAGCCAAAAGCACAATGATAGTAGCGGGTCAGTTAAAAAGAAAAGAAAATCTGAAAACATAAACAGTGCAATCTCCATGCCCCACAAACTGCGTAAGAGAGATAAGGTACAAGATGCCCTTCCAATGGAAAATGGCAGGGAAACCAATGAGGTTAGCAATTTGCATGAAAATGATCTTTCAATTGACAATAATGATTTGAGGATGTTCATTACAACCTGGAAGGAGGCATGTCTGGAGTACACTGTGGATGAGGTATGTTCATGCTCTTCTTATGCTATGTAAACAACTGATTATATGGATGAAACACCTGTCAATAGTTGGTATCTATTTATGTAATGAATTTTAGTTTGCTACATATTTGCATTGTTCTTCAGAATATTTAATGAATTTCTATTGATTTTAATGTATAATGATTTTACCAAATTCTCTAAGTTTCAAATATTTGAAGAAATATTGTGATTTGGAATGCACCTCATTTTCTGACCTGAAGTCCTGATATTTTTTATGATTGATATTTATAGCGAATTGCATTATGGGGAAGGTTAGTGATATAAAGGAAATCTTTTTGGGGAAAGAATTGGAGGTACTTGCTGATGTTTCTCATGCCCAATGGGTGTTGACAAGATTAAGAAATACATATAGAATAATTCTTTCATTTAGATTGTGTTACCTTGCTAAATTTTCTTGTATAGTTGCACCATTGTTTCATTATTTATTCCTTTGTGGTTTTAACTAAGCCTTAGTATGAGTGCTATAAATTATTCAGTATGATATGAAGTTGTAGCCAATATAGGACTGACATGAGGTCGTTTTGGTACTATGGTGATAATGGCTGAAGAGGTTCATAATTTTATATATTGAAATGCAAGGCTTAGAATAGTCGATGTGGGATTTTATATTCTCAACAATTTGATTAATGTTTTAACAATTTTGCTGATGTTGTTTTCTCTTTATTTATTCTAAAAATATGGGGTTTCAGAAAATATCTTCTGATTCTTGTAGGTACTTGATAGGATGCTGCAGTTTAATAATACTAAAGCTCAGAAGAGAAAGAAAATCAAGTCAATGTTTTCTTTGTATCCATTAATTGGATTACTAAATGTTGCTGTAAGTTATTGTGGTCTGTTTAATTATCATTTTTGTTTTGTTTTACATGTAGTATTTTATTTTTGCGCAGATTTTGTTTATCATTCCATTCCTGAAGAAATTAAAGTATGCAGATGCATATATGTTTATGTTATATTTGTGTGTTTTGGTGTTTTAACTCTCGTTATAGATGCACTGACTGGGTAATGTTGTTTGGCTATTGTCTTTGTTGTCCAATGGACTGCTCATCCTTACTTGTTGTAGTTCCTTTTGCTTTTTCTTGATAAAAAGTGTGTTTCTTATAATATAAATGTGTGTGTGTATTCATGTATGCAAAAAGCAAAAGTCAATCTTAATATATGCTTATGCTTTCAGTTTTGGTTTTCCTATCTTGGATTGAATACATTTAATTACCTTAAATCCTTTAAGGTAAGTTTCAGCTAAGCCTTTATATTTAAAAGAAAGGTGCTACCTGAGACTATAGAAAGGATACAAGAAAAGAACATAATGTAGTTAATAATGGTTTAAATAAATGCTTATAGATGTCATATTGTAGGCCATGTATATCATGTTGAATTCATTTTTATGTTGTTTTTATCAACATTTCACCTCTATAATATGTACTGCTTGTCTGTAAACGTACGTCTCTTTGACAATTTTCTACAAAATTACTTAACCCAGGTACTCAACTTGTCTTCTGTTTGTTTGAATTCTCCACAATATTGCTAAGTTTAATATTTCATTGAACCAGGGCAATCCTTAATTGTGATGCAATAATAGCTGATCACTTGTACTGAAGTTGTTACTTCCATTGTTGCAGGTCTCATCTATCAAATGTGGAATGTGGGATAGCATGTATGACACATTCCAAACCATTGGTCAATATGAATTAACTGACAGTATTGCTGATAACTGTCCCGAATATGTGAACATAGATGTTGAACCAAGTACTAAAGATGAGCCAAGAATTAAGGATCCAGCAGTCATCAATGAACGTATTGTTGAGCACATTCAGAGTAAGTAATGTTGCTTTTGTATTTTTTTTTCCTTTAAACAGAATTATGGCATGTTTACTTACTTGGATCAAGTATAGGAATAATTTTGATTCCTGAACTACCCAGCATTTACTAACATATGGTTATTAGAATTATTTTAATGCCCGACTTCTGATGCGTTTACTAACACCTACGGAATAAAAAATCATGTGGGTTCCAGTCCCTCTTTTTTTTATATTTGCTCTAATGAAACTTATATGCCTTATGGGGCTTTGTAATTAAATTTCACAGGTGTTTCTGTTGAGGACATAATCAGGAAAGTTACTGTGTATTTCGAGAGTGATCAAGGAAAACATAACAATGGTCAATCACTTCTGGAGAAGATGTTTATCTTCTTGAGGAAGCTTTGCAATTGCGAGGTTTGGTTGGTGAAAGAATTTTGTGTAAAGGAATTTAAATCCCTCGGTTATGGGGAGTTTTTGATGTTCTTAGAAAAATATGCTGGTCTACTGCCACATGAGCTGTGCAAGTTCCTGACTGGTGACTTGAGTGGAAAGTGTCCTTTCGAGGTTTGCATGCTCCAGCACCATTTGGTTGTTTTAGTATCTCAAGCCTTAAATAGTTTATGGGAAGATGAAAAAGTTACCAAACAAAATATATTGTTGCTGCTTAGGAAGCAGTTCCCTTTGGTTTGTTTCAAAACTATCGAAAATGGTTCAGTGGAAGATTTCTTAAGCATAGTGGGAAAACATAAAAATGCTGCGAGTTCAAAATGTGTTTTATTTTCAATGGCACTGTGTGGAACTAGTTATGCTATAGAGTCATCATTACACATTGAGAATGTCCTATGGAAAAGAACTTCGGTCAATACTGACAGTGGCCAGAAAGCAAAGTCCCATGAATCTGTTACATCCAAGGATGCAATTGAAGTTTTACTTACAGCACCAGTGATGTCAGATTTAAATTTATGGTCGCATTGGGACCTATTGTTTGCTCCCTCTCTTGGCCCTCTTGTACCATGGCTATTGAATGAAGTCAACACAGATGAACTGTTGTGTTTGGTGACAAAAGGTGGAAAAGTGATTCGGTTAGATCATTCAGCTACCGTGGATTCATTCTTGGAATCTGCACTTCAAGGATCCTCTTTTCAAACAGCAGTGAAAATGTTATCTCTCTTTTCACTAGTTGGGGGAGAAAAACATGTCCCTGTGTCGCTTTTGAAAATTCATATAAAACATGCATTTGAAGTAATTCAGAAGAATTATCTAGACGATATAGAACTACAAGACAATAAGAATTCCATTAATTATGGAAAAGCACTATCTGGACAAAAAATGGATGGTGAAGTTGCTACTGGTAAATTCTGTAGTAAATTACACAAGGACTTGAGCAAGATGAATATTGCAACAACTGTTATATCAAGATTTTTCCTTGAATGTCTTGGGTATCTACCTGCAGAATTTCGTTATTTTGCTGCTGATGTATTGCTTTCTGGGATGCAGTCTGTTGTTAAACATGCTGCTTCAGCTGTTCTGAATGAATGCAGCCAGTCAGAGCAGCGTCTCATGCTTCATGAAGTTGGGTTGTCTCTTGGTGTAGTGGAGTGGATTAATGATTACTATGCATTTTGTTCCAGTGATGCTACTGGCTTGTTCATATCAGGGGCTTCATGTTTCAATGCTATTAGGTATGAAACAGGGTCAAGCTCAAAGAATATGCAAGATGTGTCAGATAAGTATTCCGTTAGGGCAGATGAGCAGAAAGGCGGATGTACTGATATTTGTTTGAAGATTGGTGGGGCAGAAGCCTCTGATGCTAGTATTAGCAGTGGTTACATGCAACATCCTACTGAGCTTAATGAACATGAAGATGCAGCCGAGGTAATTGAGTCAATCAGGAGAGATGAATTTGGTCTTGATTCAGGCCTATCAAGTGTTGAAAGTATCATGTTAAAGAAGCAGCATGCTCGCTTAGGGAGAGCTCTTCATTGTCTTTCACAGGAATTGTATTCACAGGATTCACATTTTCTTCTTGAGCTGGTAAGGGTGCTCTCTTTTGTGTCTTTCATTGTGCTTAGTGCAGTCATCTCCTCAAGGCCTTTTATTTTCCTTGTTGCTAAATTGTACCAATAGTCCCTGAAATATTCCCCAATTCGCATGTTGATAGAGAGAGAACCATATATAGGTGTAGCCCCACACTACACCCAACAAACTAAGAAATAAGTGGGGAATGAGGATTGGATGTTTTGAACGTAGGACCTCTTACGAATAAATGCAAGGTTTAGAGTTCTCAATGTGGGATATACTCTCATCTATATATTTTTTTTTAACGAAAAGATGAAAATTTTATTTCACAAGAGAAGCTGTACAGTAAAGTTATTGTATTTGTCCTTCCAACTATATATTGCCAATTATTATAATTTCAATTTGGATTTGGATGATCTTTATATGTTTGATACTATAATTGAGTTTGAAGTTGAAAACAAGCCTTTGATAAGTATGTGATGTTTGATTTCAATTTTATACATCCAATCTTTGTGTATATTTATTCTTCTTTATTGCCCCAGGTTCAAAATGCTGATGATAATACCTACCCAACAAATGTAGAACCAACTCTAACATTCATTCTTCAAGAGTCAGGTATTATTGTTTTAAATAATGAGCGAGGCTTCTCTTCCCGGAACATTAGAGCACTTTGTGATGTTGGAAGTTCAACCAAGAAAGGATCTAATGCTGGATATATAGGTCAGAAGGGCATTGGTTTCAAATCAGTTTTTCGGGTAGGTCGCAAAAACACTGCAGTCATCACTCTCTTTCACTCTCTCTATCTCTTCTCTTCTCCCTCCATCATGTCAAACCGTATTTATTCTTTCTTGATTGTTTGCTGCATTAAGTGAATTACCTTGTACAGTCATACTATCATTCAAAATCAGGCCTTGTCACACGGGTCTTTGGTTTAAAGGTTTCGTTGCTGCTGTGAATTGTTTGTTGTAGCTTGGAATGAAACCTCTCATCTTTATTTTGCTGTTCAAGGATTCATTCCCTGCATTGATAACATGCTTTCATTAACATGTGCACATTGTTCTGCAGGTCACAGATGCTCCAGAAATTCATTCCAATGGGTTTCACATCAAGTTTGATATAAGTGAGGGTCAGATTGGTTTTGTTTTGCCAACAGTTGTACCTCCCTGCAATGTTGACTTGTTTAGTAGGCTTACTTCTAGTGACCATGATCAATCAGATAATAACTGCTGGAATACTTGCGTTGTTCTTCCTTTCAGATCAAAAATATCAGATGGAACTGTCATGAAAAGCATTATAAATATGTTTTCAGATCTTCATCCATCTTTATTACTCTTTCTGCACCGCCTCCAGTGTATCAAGTTTAGAAACTTGCTTGATGATTCCCTTACTGTCATGAGAAAAGAAATTTTGGGAGATGGTATTGTTAAAGTTTCACATGGGAAAGAGAAAATGACATGGTTTGTAGTATCTCAGAACTTGCAAGCAGATTTTATTCGCAGTGATGTACAAACAACAGAAATTTCAATAGCATTTACATTGAAGGAATCAGATAACGGTGATTATGATCCAGATCTTGTCCAGCAGCCTGTTTTTGCATTTCTTCCTCTTAGAACATATGGACTGAAATTTATTCTTCAGGGTGATTTTGTCCTTCCTTCATCTAGAGAGGAAGTGGATGGAGATAGTCCCTGGAACCAGTGGCTGTTGTCAGAATTTCCTGGTTTATTTGTCAATGCGGAGAGATCTTTTTGTGCTCTTCCGTGCTTTAAAGAGAATCCCGGGAGAGCTGTGACAGCTTATATGTCTTTTGTTCCCCTTTTAGGTGAAGTGCATGGTTTCTTTTCTTCTCTTCCACGGTTGATTGTTTCTAGATTACGTATGACAAATTGCTTACTTCTGGAAGGAGGAAATAATGAATGGGTTCCTCCTTGCAAGGTCCTAAGAGGTTGGAATGAACATGCTCATTCGCTTCTTCCTGACAGTTTACTACGAGAGCATCTTGACCTTGGATTCTTGGATAGAAATATAGTTCTGCCAGATCCACTTTCAAATGCAATAGGTATTGTGGAGTATGGACCCAAAGTTCTGCTTCAAGTTATGGTATCTTTATGTCATACACAAAATGGTCTCAAATCAATGGGGTTGGGTTGGCTGGCCTCTTGGCTAAGTGAACTTTATGCCATGTCATTCAATTCTTCTGTGGAAGCTTCTTTTGATCCGAGAATACAAATGGAGCTTATAGAAAACCTTCAAAAAATTCCTTTCATTCCTCTTTCAGATGGTACATATGGTGCAGTAGACGAAGGCCCAATTTGGTTACATTTTGATGCCTTAAGCAATGGCCTTGAGGCTCAGGATGGACTTGAGTCTTTCCCAAATTTATATGCGAAACTTCGGATCGTAAGTCCTGCCCTCATTTCTACAGTGTCTGCAGATATGTCATCCATGGATGTGACAGTTGATAAACTCACATGTATGCTCTGTAGAATTGGTGTCCAGAGGTTGTCTGCACATGAAATTGTCAAGGTACACATCTTGCCTGCTATATCTGATGACAGAATTACAGATTGGGATAAGAATTTGGTGATTGAATATCTCTGCTTTGTAATGTTCCATATACAGTCGAGCTGCTCTGATTGCAATGTTGAAAGGGAATACATAATCTCAGAAATACGAGATAAAGCTTACATATCAACAAATTATGGCTTTAAGCGGCCTTCTGAGGTATCAATTCATTTCAGTAAAGAATTTGGAAATCCTGTGGACATAAAGAAGTTGATTAATATGGTGGATATAAAGTGGCATGAGGTTGACATCTCCTATTTGGGACATCCAGTCACAAAACCACTCCCATGTGAACTGAAGAAGTGGAGGGAATTTTTCCAGCAAATTGGGATAATGGATTTTGTCAAAGTAGTGCAAGTTGAGAAGGGAATTGCTGATATTTCTGATGCACTAGTTAAGAATGTGATTTGGGATAAGGACTTAATTTCCCTTCGATCAAATGTCACAGATTGGGAGTCCCCTGAATTGGTCAACTTATTATCTCTATTGGCCAGAGATGGAAACAAAAAAGGTTGTGAATATCTCTTAGAGATTCTTGATACTTTATGGGATGGTTGCTATGGTGAAAAAACTACATGTTATTGTGCTTCTAAATCTGAAGCAGACGGAAGGCCCTTCAAATCTTCATTTATAAGTAGCATCTGTGATGTGGAATGGGTGGTATCAACGATGGATGATGTACTGCACTATCCTAAAGATTTATATCACGATTGTGATGCAGTGCGCTCGATTCTGGGGGCATCTGCTCCATTTGCTATCCCAAAGGTTAGTTTAATATTACTACATATGAAATTAGCTTCCCTTTTTTCTTTTATTATTTAGCCAATATTTCCCAACAAATTTATCAGATTGAGACTTTATCTACTAGAATGCAAATGTGAATTTGAACCAAATGCAGTCAGTAAGGCTATTGTGTTTTTTTCCCTCCCTTTCGTAATAGATCTATGGTTCTGTATTCATCCCTAAAAGTTATGTGCAAATAAATTCATCGTTGTTGGGATCACAAAAGATCCTTCATAGTATACACAACGCCCAGATAATCCTTAACCAGCAAAAGAAATTCATTGCCTGACCCACGCCACTCCGACCAAGTGAACAACCTCATGCAAATTTGTAATATCAAAGAACAAGGAAAAAAGGAATTTGATAAGGACATTCACCGTCACCTTTGCACAGAGCTTATATAAGCTCTTTAACCTCAAAACACACTAACACAACACCGCCATCTTAGTCATCAAAGCCAAGTGCCAAGTGAAGCACAATTGTTCGGTATTTTACCACCAAACAATTATTGCACATTTGATGCTAATGTGTTGAACAAACTCCAAGTCTCATGGAACACAAGAAGCATATGCACCCATAGCTTATTTATTCCAAAACTTAGGTTATGGCACCATCCATGTGAAGCAGTTGCTATGGCCAGGGTTTGGAGTCCATGGTGGTTATTTGGTTCTTCGTGTGTTCTAATGTCTGTCATCTTATGGTTAATATTGAGAGTATGGCTCATATTGGATCGTACTAGCAAAAGGCTGTCTTTCACTAGTAGAAGTTTTGTGATATTGTGTGATAGTTTGATTTCTGACTGTTCTTCCTCTTTCTTCTTCCTGTTCTTACATCTTTCTTTTTCTCTCTTAACTTTTCTGCGTGCACTTTGTTGACTTTAAAGTCAGGTCAGTCAGGTCTAGAATGTTACCCAAAAAAAAATGTCAGGTCTAAATTCCACTCCTTTGTAGCAATCCCTACCATTTCTCCATCATGAAATGAGTGCTGCCCCTCAAAATTATTTTGCAGCTCTTGCCTTTAAAAGGCCTACTGTTTGATTGTTTCTATGTTATATGAGACAAATATACTTTACATATGGTAATTACAATTTCAGCTGTTTAAAATCTTAAATCTTCTTTAAAGCTTCTGCTTAATCTGTTGTGCTACAAATTTTTATTTTTTGAAGCAGGTTAGAAGTGAGAAGTTTGTGCTTGATATTGGGTTTAAGACAACAGTTTCCCTTGACGATGTTCTGGAGGTCTTGAAGCTATGGAGACGTGAGAACCCATTCAGTGCCAGGTATGTGTACGATTATGATTTTTCCCTCATAATGTTTGACCTCATTTATTTGGGAGTGATATCATTAGTTTCTGTTTGTACATTGGATATCTTTTGCTAATTATTGTGGTCCACCAATATTATGAATACTAATAGACAAGAAATAAAGTTCTTTAACCAAAAGCAGTGGTTCTATAATTACCATTTGCCTTTTCGGGCATTAGATCTACGTGATTGGAAGGTACTTTTAAGCAATGTTCTCATCAGGGGAAAAATATAAAGCCTTAATGTAAAATAAGAACCCTTGCAAAGATTTCTAAGAACTATTGGTCATGGTGACGGCAAGAGTGCTTATCAAATTCCTTTGTTCCTTATTCTTTGATGTCACAAATTTGCGCCAGGTTGTTCACTTGGTTGAAGTGGTGTAGGTTCGGCCATGCATTTCTTTTGCTGGTTAAGGATTATTTGGGTGTTACGGATATTATCAAGGATCTTTTGCAATCTGTATGTAGTCTAGGTTTCACTTGGGTTTGTTTGGATAGGAGGAAATAACAGAACCATTGATGATAACGTGGAGGACGTGATTATCTGTGAGAATTAATTAGGGTCTTAGCATCTTTATGGTCGTCACTGTCCAAGCATCTTCATATACTTCTCTCTTTTACCCAAAAAAAAAAGAATTTATTTCCTGTAAAATTCCCAAAAGGGCTATCTGCATATTTGGTGCTCAAGGTGCATTATTATCTTTTCTTAGACTCAAATAAGCAAAGGTTACTTGGTCAATGTTAGATCAAATTCTTTATGAACCCATGTCGATGGCTAATATTTCAGATGTTCTGCGTGATCTCTTGGTCAATTTTTTCTATCTTAACCAAGGTTGCATTAATACTGCCACTTGTTTTATGATGTCTTTACTAAGATGCTTTACATAAGGTTTCCTCTCGAAACCGCCTTTTATCCTATACATTTTAATCTTAAATTATTGAAAATTATCCTACTTCCTTTCAAATCATTCTGTCCAAATTCACTTGTAACTTTTTGAGATTGAAAAAGGTCGCCTGCAACCAAAACTATTATTATTTTCCATCGTTCACAGAATTTTTTTATTATTAGAAGTGTATCTTCTGATACCTTGGGTTTGCATTATCTGTTACACCGTATGAAATGTTTATGCACATTTATTCTTCTATTTGTTTAATTTTGCATGATGCCACACGTTTTAAATGCTAGTCTTTTTTTTTCCTTTCTTGCAGCCTAGCACAAATGTTCAAATTTTACACATTAATCTGGAATGAAATGGCTGCTTCAAAGGAGAAAATTGCAGAGGCTTTCCATTCAGGACCTTCTATATTTGTTCCACACGCATCTAGCTTCAGGCACGAGGATGTGGTATCTGGTACATTGTTGTCCCCTGAAGAAGTGTATTGGCATGACTCCACTTCCTTTGTAGACCAAATCAGGGAGATTCATCGTCAGTGCAGCTCAACAGGTGTTACTCATGGCCCCTTGAATAAGACACTTTGCAATTTCTACCCAGGCCTTCATGACTTCTTTGTTGACGGCTGTGGAGTACATGAAACCCCTCCTCTCCGGAGCTACCTTCAGATATTGCTGCATTTATCAAATGTTGCTTTGCCTTCACAAGCAGCTAATGCAGTAAGTAATCAAGTTTAGATTAATATTACAATTAGCACAAGCTGCTCGCTGACCTAATTGTTCGGTGTTCCTTGTCAGGTTTTTCAAGTTTTCCTGAAGTGGACTGATGGACTAAAATCAGGATTGAGTGCTGAAGATGTTGTTTACTTGAAAGATTCACTTACAAAGATTGAGTGTACGGTGCTTCCTACTGTACAGGATAAGTGGGTTTCTGTACATCCTTCCTTTGGTCTTGTGTGCTGGTGTGATAATAAGAAATTAAGCAAGCAGTTTAAGCACTTGGACTGCATTGATTTTCTGTACTTCGGTGAACTGAGCAAGGATGATGAAGAGATGCTATGTACAAAAGTCTCCATCCTCATGCACACTTTAGGGATTCCTGCTCTTTCAGAGGTAAGATATCTCTCTATGTGCACACGCACACACATGTGGGTAATGCAAGTAATCTTTAAATTTTCTATGCATTATTATGAGATATGACATTGAGCAATGCATTATATTACAAAATTAAGGATACATATGTTGTCCATCAAGGTGAACCAACCTGTACACCTGGATTCCTCTTACTTGCTCATTTATATGCAGGTTGTAACTCGTGAGGCAATATACTACGGTATGGAAGACTCTAGCTTTAAAGCTGCATTGCTGGATTGGGCTCTTCCATACGCACAGCGCTACTTACATGGTGTACACCCAGATAAATATTCTCAACTCAAGCAGTCTGAATTTGATATCCTTAATCGCCTGCAAGTAGTAGTTGTTGAAAAGCTGTTCTACCGGAATGTTATAAAGAGTACTGGAAATGAATCCAAGAAGCGAGTTAAATGTAGTTGTCTTCTGACGGTATGATGCTTCATCCTTCATTGAATGTGCATTCCTGATCATGTGTATTTTAAAATGGTTTTACTTCAAACTGATTTCGAAGATCGCTGGAACCACAGTATATTTGCTTTCTGCTAGAATACTAAGAATTAGCATTTGAAGCATATCATGCTGGTTACGTGGTATGCATCGCCATACTTTGCTCTGGTAAAGAATAAAGCAAATAATATGTTTTCCAGGAGAGTTTCTCTTTTATTCAAATTCTGTTATCAAATTTCTAACGGTTTCATGATTCTGGAAGATATTTCCCCAATTATGTACAGTACTTGGTGTGATGAAGACATGCAAATTTTATCTCTCATTCATACCCTTATTCCTTTTATCTTATAAATGCAGGGTAGCATTTTGTATACAACACAAGAGTCAGATTCTCATGCATTATTTATGGAGCTTTCTCGTTTGTTTTTTAATGGAAATCCTGAACTACACTTGGCAAATTTCCTTCATATGATCACAACCATGGCAGAGTCAGGTTCAACTGAGGAGCAGACAGAGTTTTTCATCTTAAATAGCCAAAACGTGCCAAAGCTTCCTGATGGAGAATCTGTTTGGTGCCTTTCTTCTGTGCATTCATTGATAGAAAGTGATAAATCACTTGAAACAAGTTTCAATTCACCAGAAGTAGATGAGCAAAACAGTTGGAAATCCAAAAGTAAAGCACGGAACTGGCCTCCTGTTGATTGGAAAATTGCACCAGGGTTTGGGTATGCGCGTGCCAATGGTTTTAAGACACAGGCAGTTTCACAGCCTAGCACAGCCTTACAAAATAAAGTGGGGGATGATTCTGAAGGTATCAGCAGGCAAACAGATGATTTAACACCTATTTCAGTTGACACTATTTGGACCATTGAAGGTTGTTTGGCAACAACATCTGCGGCTTTGGTTTTGCCAGACTCCAATCATCTGCAAGAACATTGTGGTGAGGCTGGCAATGAGGCTGACTTTCCAATGCATATGGAGTGTAATCCTATTAGTTTTGATCTTGTGTCTGACCCATCTGACTTTGGCTCATCTAATTTTAGCAAGAGAGATCAGCTTAGATTTGGTACACCCAATTCAACACAAGCAAATTTAACCGGGAGGCTAGGTGAGCTTGTTGCTTTTAAATACTTTGTTCAGAAAGCCGGCAAATCAGTTGTGAAGTGGGTCAATGAGCATCATGAAACTGGGCTACCGTATGACATAGTTATAGGGGACAAGGAAAACAGTAAAGAGTTCATTGAAGTTAAAGCAACCAAGTCAGCAAGAAAAGACTGGTTCGAAATATCAATGAGAGAGTTGCAATTTGCGGTTGAGAAAGCTGAAGCTTTCAGCATTGCGCATGTCATTCTATTGGGTAATAACGTTGCAAAAGTCTCAGTATACAACAATCTGGCAAAATTGTGCCAGCTTCACAAACTGCGGTTGGCTGTCTTGTTGCCTGAGCAGCAGAGGGAATTTTCCATCGTGTCCCAATCGTAAAAAGCACTTCATGGTGGTCTAAACCTGTTTGAAATCGAGTCGGCAAAAATATTATAGCTAAATGCAGCTGTGCATTTTGGGGACTACATTGCATGCTCAATCAGATTTTACACATCAAACTGGTAGGCCATTCCAGTTAATTTGCAGACAAGTTCTGCTTTTCTGGATGAAACTTAGTGTGCTGGAATTGGACACGATGGAGCTGAGAACGGCATTCTGAGAAACTCCTCGTTCAAATTTTAATATCTATGTGGTGTAGCGACTGTCAGCCAGGATTCTTCATATTTAATCGAAGAATGGGAGTTGCCTCTGTGGTTGTATGTACAGTGGAAAAGAAATGTCTCATGCAACAACGTGGGATCTGGGTCAACTTTTCAATCAAATGAAATTGTATATTTACAAAACTTACCATCTTTCTCTTCTGTAGAATAGATGACAGCTTCGACCAAAAAAAGAAAGAATAGATAACAGCTATTTATTAGGTGCCGTCAAAGATGTACAGTTTATTTACCATAATGATATAAGAAAGTTTAGAGCTTGGTGGTTGACCACCCTGTTGTTATTTTGACTGCCAGGCGCTGGTTCCTTCAACTGGCTATCTCTTAATGAATATTTTTATTATTTTTATTGACATTTGTCAACATATTGATGGTTGTTCTAACGTAGTAGTGTACATAGTTGGCCTGAGCACGGAGGATGTTGGAGGTTGTGTCTAGATGATTGTTGGTTATGGTGGGAATGAGGGGATGCTGTAGGGAGAATAGAGGAAGAGGACATCGAGGCTGGGTATGACACATGGCAATTTCTTATTGGATCTTAAAGTAGATTCTCTGCGAGAATAAACGTGAAAAGATGTTTTTTTCTAACCCTTCACCTGAGCCGGTGACATTTTAACGGAGTTTGAACGGAAATCTCAATTCTAACATAAATTGGTAACAAGTTCACTGTATGAATTCACAGGTCGTCTTTTTTTAATCAGTCCCCATTCATCAAATTTTTATTTTCTTACACCTCTGTGACCACATGGATGGCAGGTAACTGACATTCTCTCTCTCTCTCTCTCTCTCTCTAACGCCATGTTCGGGCACCCTCATCACTTCCGATCCCCATCTGGCGGGCCACGGCAGCAACCGCCTCCACTTCAGCATCCATTCCCACAGCCTCTAAACCCCAATTTCTCCCTCCAAAACCAAAACCAAAACCCGACCAATTCATCATATATTTTGCCTCCAAACCCTGCTTTTCCATCCCATCCTGTCCTCAACCCCTACCCAGCTTTCCCAACCCAAAACCCTAATTTCACTCCCCAAAAGCTCCCCAACTCTTCGTTTCGGCCTCAGACCTTACCTGAGAACCCGAGACTGAATGTCGATCCCCAACAGCTCTCGAATTCAGCTTTTTCGCCGCAGAGCTTGTCTGATAACCCGAATGTCGGTCCTCTCCAGCACCCCTCGAATTCAGCGTTTTGGCCAAAGGAGATGCTGGAGAGGATCGACGGCGCCGCGGAAAAGGCTCGCGCTGAACTCGTCGCGGCTGGAAGGAGCGTCTCTGCGTGGAAGGTCTTGGAGTCTGCGCTTCTGATGCTCAAGGTTGATGCTTGGAGCTCTCTGATGCTTCCAATGCACCAAGTGCCGTCTCTTCACCGTCTAATGCTCACTGAAGGCAGGGTAATGACTAATGACTAATGAGATAGCAATAATCTACCCAGTTTCTTTTTTATTTTTTCAAATTAATTTGTGTCAATACTTTGTTTGGTTGCTGAGAAATTGTGGGAACAGAGTGTAATTGATAGAGAAGATAAAAGCCCTTTAATTTCCAATTGAAAAAGATTTGGTCTGCGCGAGGAATACATTGAAAACGAATTCTGTTAAGGAAACATACTTTCCTGTTGATTAATGACAGAGTGAGAACTTTAGTTTGAGGGAAAAAAAGGATAGTAATGATAATTGGAGATGTCAACTGACCTAGTGGCATCAGTGGCTCTTTTGGAACAGTTGTTTGCTTTCTGGGCTTGTCGGGCTTTATATCTTATGACTCTTCAAACCCAGGAAGTTTGCTGTCTGTATTCACCTATCCTTAGTGGTCTAGGTCCACTCTATTTATTAGCCTGCATAGCTCATCTGAGTCTGAGATTTCATTTGTAAAATAATAGAAGCAAACATTGGGAACATGCACTACTTTTCTGTTGGTTTCTCAGCAACTGAATGAAGAGTAAGATTTTGTATTTAAAATGTGCATCTTTATGTATTAAATCCTACCAATTTTTGCTCATTTTCTATTGGTATTCAGATAAATTCATATATCCATTGCTTTGTTGGGGTTCGAAAAATTACTTCATTGTATGATTTGGAACTAGCAATCTGCAAGAATGAGAATATTCAGCAGTTTGAAGAGCTGGGATTAGGCCCTTTGTTGCTGCACCCACTTGTTTTGCATTATTTCCAAGTGAGTTCTGATACAACTGAAGTGTTTAAGATAACTAGTGAGGAAATAGTATTTTTACTCATTGGATTTCAAACACATAAACGTGAAGTTACGGACGATTCTGTTGAAGAATTTTTGGATTTTATTGTTAAGAGGCGATCAGTTGCAAGCAAGGAAAAGCTCGGAATTCGAATTTGTAGCTTGGGGTATGTCTCACATTTTTCACTTCTACTTTGTGATAAATATTCATTGTGTCTAATAATATTAACGATTTTGTATGGTGAAAGATGTAGAACCCCTTCCTTCTACAAAAATTATCAAAATGTTGGTGCTTTGAATGGTTAAAATTACATTTGGCATGGACTTTTGATTTTTTTTAAAATAATTAATGCACATTTTGGATAACATAAGTTTTCAGTCCTTTGAAAGTACGAGAAATTATAACTTATAATGCTCCTGATTGAAGTAAACTTTATGATCATAGGGTGCATGTTTCTTACATCCTTGAAGCCAAGAAGTTAGAACGTGCTGCTCTAAGGAAATCCAAAAAGGAATTAAGACTGTGGCGCTCTAGGAAGAAGCCACCAATTTTCTCCACATTGAAAAAGCGGCTAGATAAACATTTTTGTGCCATTTCTCAGCAAGCTGAATTGTTTTCTGTTGTGCACAAGGATTTTTGTGTTAAGCAAGATAGGTTTGTTCCTTCGAGCTCAAAGCATGGAGGTAATAGGGATTATTCACATGAAGAAGATGACAAAAATAATGATGATGTTACAGGCAGTCAGGTTAACTTTTCATCACAATCTGCTAAAATCTCTGAAAGAGCGAGTAGCTGTGCTAACTTGTCAGCAATAGAAGAGAGGTGTTGGCTCGAATCGACCCACATTTCTCCAGTTAGTGAAAGCCCAAAGCATAATGAGGGTAATGGATCTGTTAAAAAAAAAAGAAAATACGGAAATCTAAGCAGCCCCATCTCTGTGCCCATAAAATTGCGTAAGAGTGACAAGGTAGATCAGATGTTCTTCCTACAAAGAATGGCTGTGGAACAGAGGAGTTTAGTGATGTGCATATAATTGATCTTTCAATTACCGATACTCTTTTGAGGATGTTCGTTACAACTTGGAAGGAAGCATGTCAGGAGCAGCCTGTGGCTAAGGTATGTTCATGCTGTTATGATATATGAATAATTGATTATCAAGATATATTTTACTGCCTGGATCAAACACTCGTCAATGGATTTCTGTCTAATTGTCTGATGAATTTGAGTTGTTTACATATTTTCATTCCTTTTCAGAAGTTTTAATGAAGTTTCCATTGATTGAACTTCATATAGATTTACCAGTTTTTCCAAGTTCAAAATAATTGAAGGAACGCCATGCTAGAGAGTTTTCCTCGTTAATGTAGCCAGAAATTCTCACATATATGTATATAATGATTTACATACATATATATATATATGTATATATATAGTGAAATGTAATTGATCTAAGTTTTTTTTTCGTGTGAAAGAATTCTTTCTGTGGAAGAATTGTTGGTATTTGATGCTCTTTCTCATAACCTATGTATGTGCATTTAAAGAAATAAGAAACACATTTCAAATAAATCTTTTTTTAATCCTTAGCTTGTTAAATTGTCTCATACTAAGAAAGTTGAGCTTGTTGGCTTATCAATTATCTCTTCTGGTCTTAACTTAGTCTTAGAGCATTCTCCTTATTGTGTTCTATCATCGGGTGTGAGTATGGAGTACATTCTAATGGGTGGGATTCTCAGGTTGTGAAGGGGTTCTTTTTAAGGGGTATCCTTTTTTCCTTATTTTTGTCTGAACTGGTGGTTGGGTAAAAATTCATTTTTGGGAAGGCAGTTGGTAGGGTGACTCGTATTTCCAGTTTTTTTTTATGGTTTTAGGGTGACTTTGTAGAGCTTAGCGTTTAGAAGGAACCTAAATATAGATGATAGGAATTCATCGAGTTTTTCTCTATCATCTAGTTTTAACATCTTGTCGAATCCACTCTGGTCCTAAAAAAATTGGAGTACTCTGGGGTCAGGGGTCTTTTCCTGTAAATACTTTGTATCTATGGTCGGGGAATCTTGGTGTTCTTGCCTTTTTTTTATTTATAATTGTAGTAGAGTGATTGTGAAACTGGTACCAGATTCTTGCACATAAGGAAATCAAATACTTGTGATATGCTACCCCAAAATACAAAGAACTATATACTTATCTCCCAGTTGGTGTGTCTTGTGCAAAGAAGCCTGTGAGATTGCTATTTATATTTCCTTGCTTTGCTCTTTCCTTCACCAATTTGGAGTAGGTTTCAGAATGTGTTTGGCCAAGAAACTGTTATTCTCTGCTGGTCGAAGATTTTCTGGGTATTGGTGTGAATATGAAGACTACTACTTGGCATTGTGCAGTTGGGTTGTTTTGGTGGAGAGAAAAATCTTTGATGACAATTATTGCATATTAGATTAACCTCTCTTTGAGCATCTTTGTCTAAGAAATTTAGGGATATTCTGTTTGGTGTATTTGTCTTAATTGGGGTGAGTTTTTAGTCGTGCAACCTTATCTTCTTTAAATACAGGAGTAGCTTTTGCATGAACTTCTTATCCATCTTTCATTTTTTTTCTCTTCTGTGGTAATTTCCGTTTCCTTAAAAACAAGAAGCCTTTATCCTAAGAGCATTAGTGCTAAGATGTTCACTTATGGTTTGGATTTGCTTAACTGTAGTGATTCTCTAGTTCATTTTAAGTAATGCTTCAGTTTTAATTTCTACAAATATAGGTTCTCAGCAAATGTCTTCTGTTGCTTGTAGGTACTTTGGAGCATGCTTCGGTCTTATAATACACATTATAAGAAGTCAAAAACAATCATGTCAATGTTTTATTCATACCCATTGATTGGACTGCTGAATGTTGCTGTAAGTTATTGCGGTAGATGCAATGTTATTTATTTTTTATGATATTACTGGCAATATTTAATGGTTAATCTTAAAAGTCTAGTTCATAAACTTTTTCTTATCCAAAAGTCACATAATCATTACTGCTGTCTTGTAGAATTATTTGAAACAGGTAACTTTATGGAGGGCTGAGATTTTTAAATAAACTAATATGTGAAAGATGTGTATTGTTCGCTTTCCAAACAGTCTGGATTCCTTGGGTAAACTGCCAAAATGCCCCCTGAACTTGTACATAATTATCAATTTACCCCCTGACCTTTTTTTATTTATAGAAAATTAAAGACTTGAACTAAATTTTATTCCCAACCCCTCCCCCCCACCCCCCCCCCCCAACCGTCCTAAATCAACATGTCATCCAATAATCCATCAAATCATTGAAAAAATTGAAGGAAAAAAAAAATTCATACGGACCCCAGCCCCCGGCCCCCCACCCCCCCTCTCTCTCTCCAAATGCATCTGCAACTTCCCACACACAAACAAGCCAGCCACAGAGCATACGGAATAAACCAGAATTTGCAATTTACTAGCCCACCAACACAATCAAACGTTCTCTCTTTCTCATGGTCTTCTTCTCCACCCCATTTCCCTCATGACCACCAACCCTTCACTCCAGACCAATCCCCCCACCTCCCTTCCTTCAGTTTTTTTTTTACCCCCAGACCATTCACCCCTTCCCATCCTAGCCCGATTCCCCCATGACTATCACCCCTCAACGAACCCAGAACCCACAAACCCACCCCCATTGAACCCATATCCCCCACAACCACCCGTTACCCCAAACTCACAACCACCGAATTATTCCAAATTATTACAAATAAAAAAACAAAACTAATTGGTTTCTGAAAACCCCAAATTTGACCACAACAATCTTGTGCGTGGTGTCTCTCTCTCTCTCTCCCCCACCCCACATTCGAGCTCCCCATCCCCCATCACAGACCCACCCCTCAATGAACCCAGAATCCAGAGACAAACAACACCCCCCCCGAACCCATAACTGCCGCAACCACCCATTTTCTTAACCATTTTAAATGACCAATTTGCCCTCATATTTAATGGCAAATTGGATGAAATGTTGAGATTTAGACGGTGCTTTTGTTGTGGGGTGGGGGGGAGAATTGAGAATAAAATTTAGTTCGAGTCTTTAATTTTCTAAAAAAAAAGGTCAGGGGGTAAATTGATAATTAGGTACAAGTTCAGGAGGCATTTCGGCAGTTTACCCGGATTCCTTTAATGTGTGGACCCCTTCATTGAAATCTTTAGCAATCATCATTTCTTTTACTTTTGGTTAATTATAAGTCGTGCATTTAGTTGGAATGTTTCTCTTTTGTCCTTCATTGAAATCCTGTGCAATTATCAACTCTATCGAGGAACTGTGGAATGATGATTGAGTTTTGGGCATCCTTATGGGCTTCAGTGAATCCAGTCTTTAAGGACGTAGCTTATCCATCTATAATGAGAGATCTAATGGCTGTGGTGAAATGACTTTCCTATCTTGATCCTATTGTAGGATCAATGGAGTCTAGACTATTGAGTTTGATTATTATGTTGTAGTTTGATTTCTGATTGTTCTGTCATGGATTTCTTATCCACTGGCATGTTTTGTACCCCTTTTTTTTAATGTATAAGAGCACTTCCCCCCATTTGCCATGGCAAAGGGCAATGGTAAGGCACGGCAAGGGCTGTTACTATTCACGTGAATAGTGGCAACCCTTGCAAATGGCTTGTGGTGTTTCCACCCATTGCCATGGCAACCCAAGGGCAACCACTATTCACATGAGATATGAGGAGAGTAATTTGTATAGAGTTTTGGTGTGGGAAGTGAAGAATATGACTAAGTATTTATTTTAAAAAAATTCTGAAATTTTTAGTGTTTTTTTAAATTTTTTAAATTTTTTTTCGTTGTTGACGTCAGCAAACCCAGGCTGTTGTTGTGTTCGGGCCTGCCCAGGCTTGTGGAGCCCACCAGCTGCCCGGGCTGCATTTGTGCGCTGGAACATCTACTTGGGGCTTGGGCCCCCTCCTGCCCGGGCCACAGCCTTCCGCTGGAAGTGCTCTAAAGTTTCTCTTAAAACAAAAAAAGAAAATCTGCTCTGCTACTTTTGGTTAATTATAAGTTATGCATTTACTTTGAATATTTCTTATTTTTCCTACAGTTTTACGATTCCTTTCAAAATTTGACCAATAATATATATGTATGTATTTATGTACGTATGCATTGTTGTTTGTAGTATTTCAGTTATTTGTATGTATGGATGTATGTTTGCAATTATCAGTTATTTGTCCTAGAACTGAAATTGTTACTATAATCTGATGCCGTTGTGTAAGACAGTTTCCAAGAGTTTTGCCCAGAATTTTTTAGATCGACTTTTAAATTTGTTGGATCATTTTCGCCGCCGTCTTTAATTATAATTTATCAAAACAGGAAATGGTGACTCTTGTTGCATAGCCTCATAAAAGTAGAGTGCTCCTTACAATCTTGTTTATCAACTTGCATAGAAACATTAATGCTGCTTTGCTGTCTCTTATTGACTTTCTCTTACTCAGCTTGTCAAGCAATGCTTCTTGTTGGCCTGTGGATCCAGTTGAAGGCAATGTTTTGATACCAGGATATTATTTAGTCTCTTAGTTTGCCGTAAAGAACTGGGTTTTTTGTTAGTAATAAATAATTAATAAAAAGTAACAAACAATTCGACCTGAGCATGGAAAGTGTACAAGAGAGAACTGAATGTAGTGAAGAATTGTCTTTTAAAATTCGATGTTGTGCTTCTAGAGGACAATTATAGGTTCCGGTTTATCAGGTTTCACAATTTCTATTCTTGTATGTTATTTCTAACAAACTTTTTTGCTTCTTTGGCATTGTTAAACAAGTAACATTTGTTGCAGGTCTCATCTATCAAATTTGGAATGTGGGATAGCATGTACGATACATTCCAATCCACTGGCCAACACGGGTTAACTAACACTTGTACTCATAAGTGTTCTGAGTATTTGAGCACAGATGTAGAACCAAGTATTAAGGATGCAGTACGAGTCAGTACAGAACACAATACTGAGCATACACTGAGTGAGTAATGTAGCTTTTATTTATTTATTTTTTATTTTTTATATTTGGAAAGGAAACAAATTTTATTGCAGTAGACAATAAAATACAGAGTAATGTTACTTTTTGAAGTCATGTTTTCATTACTAGCGGTTAGGCTGTGGTGCAGTATTGCCCGTTTTGTATTGTTTTGTAATTTTTGGAACTGTTGGTTCATATTTCTCTTTCTTTTTCTTTTATCAGAACTGAATTAAAAATATACAAATTTATAAATAAACCCAATCCTAGACATGTATTTATAAAAAACCCCAGGCACTATTTAAACATAGAAACACACCCAAAATCAACCCCAAAATCAACAATTGTATATTTTTTGGGTGTGTTTATAAATGGGTTTTGAGTGTGTGTAATGATGAGTTTTGGGTGTGTTTATAAAGTGTTTTGGGTGCTGGGTTTTTTTATAATTTCAGCCCCCATTTTGGGTGTTTTAGTGAAACTCCCTTAAAAATAAAACTAAAAAACCTACAGATGAAGAACATGCAGACAATGAAATATTGAACAAGAGAGTAGCTGAGTGTGCAAAAAGGATTGGCTATTTTGAAAGGTCAATTTGATATTGTGCTTATGATGTGTTCATCGTGATATCAATATTTATAGCCACTTAGTGTTTGTAATCAAATAGCAGTGCTTAATCTTAAGTGCATCTTTTTCTTTTTCAAATTTTTACAATCTTCATTTATGTTAGGACAACTAGCGTGGCTGCATGAGCAAGTCAAAAGAAATGCTGTGCAGCAGAAAAAGTTTTCTGCTAAATTTTCCATAGGAGATTAACACAAAAAGGGATAGGAAGCAGTAAGATCAAAGATGGAACAAATCATTTAATTTCTAGGCCAAGTGACCCAAGACAACTCTGTATTCTGATTGTATCTTCTTTGAAAACAGATTAAAAACTTATAACAAAGATCTGTACGATACTTATACACTAGTGATTATGACGATGTTATGGCAGCCTGCATGGAGCAGGATCAACAGTATTATCCACGTCGTGAGAGAGTCCATAGTAGGCGGAAGGTCCTCCAAACGAGTCAGAAGAACAACATACACAAAGGGTTATCCGGAGGATCTCCTTCTGAATCAAAAGTCTGCTTTCTGTGTGGTCAAGCCGGACACGTCTGTAAGGACTGCTCTCAACTCCAACAGGCTGTATCATCTTTGGCTCCACAGAATCCCCAGAAATTGGTTCGGTACCCTGCTCAGTCCTACACATCTGTTCAACTACTTCCAGTTGAGTCCCAGCCACAACAGAGCACGAACAGAGCACCAATGCCCCAGAAAAGTAGATGTGCACCTGTAGGTAGGGGTCAAGTCTTCAGAGTCACCGGAGGAGAAGCGATGGAAGAGAGAGTCAATGCTGTGATCAATGGTAAGGTTCTCTTGTTTAATCCAGAAATTAGGATTCCAATAGATACTGATGTGCCACATGGTTTTATTTATGCCTTGTTTGCAAGAATATTGTGATTAATACCAGAGATTCTGGAGCCACCATTGCATAATCTGCAAGTGTCTTTGGTGTACCAGTCCTGTCAACTAGTTGTTGAGGAGAAATTATACAATGGTACCGTATTACCACGTCAGCTGGTGATACTTCCATTCAAAATATGCCTCGTATTATTATTATTTTTAAATAATTAAAGATTTTTTTTACAGCTGGACTTTAAATATGTTTTTATCTTTAAAATAAAATTGAGAAAATAAGAATATCCAAAAGACAGAAGAACCACCGCCCACCCCAACCCTGGCTCCCTTGACTGACGCGCCCTCCCTGTCATTTTCTTCCTCCGTCCATCGCTCTATTCCATAAACAACAACCATATCTCTATTTCATTGGATCGACGTGCAAAGAGAATCATAATGCCCTTTTTTTTGGGCTGATTTTTCTCCACAATATTACCAAAGGGGTTAAGATTCTCCTTCTCCTCCTCCTCCATCACTCACTTCCTGATACATATTAAGACAAAAAACACCAACCCAGTTTACAGTTTACTTTTTTTTCTTGAGCTATGCTTGAAAATGAAAACCCAAGTTGAAGATTTAGATTTTTATCGAACTGGGTTTAAGTGATGGATACTCCTGACATACTTAGAATATATGATATTGGTTTTGTTTTCTGCTCCCATGGTTTAAGAGATCTTGCAGATTTTTATAGAGATAGAGAGAGGGGACAGCAAGCAGTGGGAGTGGGGGAATTGGGTGTGGTTATGCTGTCTTTTGTTTTGTCTTTCTAAAATTTTATTCTATATGTAAATAATGAATTTTAAATACAGCTTGTAGAAAATCAAATTTATTTAAAAAAGATTGACATATGGCGTATTTTGCGTGGGAGTATCACCAGCTGACGTGGTGATACAGTACTATTCTATAATTTCTCGTTGTTGAGGGACAATGGCAGCCAATCTCATTTTTTTAGAAATGATACTCTTTGATCTCATTGGCCATGGGTTGGTTATCTAACTACAAAGTTGGGCCCTACTTAGCCTTTGGTTTGAAAAAGAGTGGTGTCAATTCTATGTTCACCTTTGAATTTGATTACCAAGGTGAAATAATTATAGATCTGTTTATATGCAATAACAGAGAAATTCTACCAACGTGGGAATTGTCAGGCCCATGGTTTGCTCCCATGTGGTCTGAGGTTTGAAACCCCCAAAGGTACCTACCTAGATATTTGCTAGTGTTTCCTGCCTCCCAAAGCCCTGCCCAGGGGGCTGGGGGGTCCCAGTTTTAAGCTGTGTCTGCAAAGCGGATTGGTGGATTTCTGGGTATCAAAAAAGAGAAAAACAGAGAAATTCTAAGTGAATCGGTGTGTTTTTCCCATTTCCAATACAATTAGTCAACTAAAGTATATAATGAGCCAGCATATATAAATAAAAAAATCATTATTGAGGAAAGATGGTCGTCGTGTGTGACTAGCTAGTCCTCACTGCCATGACTGCATATCCTAGTCCGTAAGTAGCAAGTTTGCTGTGTAAAATGATCCAATTAGTTTGACACCCTTTCGGCCTTTCACATGTTCATCCTCTCATGAAACTGGTGTGGCTTATTGTATTTTGTGATTAGACTTCACAGGTGTTTCAGTTGAAGACATAATCAGGAAAGTTGCGACGTTTTTTGAGAGTGATCATGGAATGCCCATCAATGGTAAAACAATTCAGGAGAAGATGTTTCTCTTTTTCAGAAAGCTTTGCAATTGTGAGCTTTGGTTGGTGGAAGAATTTTGTGTCAAGGAATTTAGATGCCTTGGTTTTGGGGAATTTCTAATGTTCTTAGAAAAATATGCCTGTCTACTGCCACATGAGCCGTGCAAGTTCTTGACTGGTGACGGAAATGGGAAGTGCCCTTTGGAGGTTTGCATGCTCCAGGATCATTTAGTTGTTTTAGTATCTCAAGCTTTAAATAGTTTATGGGAGGATGAAAAGATTACCAAACTGAATATTCCTGTACTGCTTAGGAAGCAGTTCCCATCGATTGGTTTCCAAACCATCGAAAATGGTTCGGTAGAAGATTTTCTAAGTTTAGTGGGGAAGCATAAAAACACTGCAATTTCCAAACGTGTTCTTTTTTCAATGACATTATGCGGAACTAGTTACGGTATGGAGTCACCAGAACACTGTAAGAATGACACATTTAGGAGCACTTTGGTGAATGCTAACATTGGCCAGACAGCAGAAACCCATGAATCTGTTACATCCAAAGATGCAATTAAAATCCTACTCAGGGGACCAATGATGTCTGATTTAAACTTATGGGCACATTGGGACCTCTTGTTTGCTCCCTATCTTGGTACTCTTGTACCATGGTTATTGAATGAAGTCAACACGGATGAATTGTTGTGTTTGGTGACCAAAGATGGGAAAGTAATTCGGTTAGACCATTCATCTACTGTAGATGCATTCTTGGAAGCTGTACTTCAAGGCTCCTCTTTCCAAACAGCAGTGAAAATGCTATCTCTGTTTGCACTATTTGGGGGAGAAAAGCATGTGCCTGTGTCCCTTCTGAAACTTCATGTACAGCATGCATTTGAAGTCATTTTGAAGAATTATGTAGACAATATGGAAATACATGGCAATAAGAATTTTCTAAGTCAAGGAGAAGCATTGTGTAGACAGCAAATGATTGGTGAAGGTTCTACTAGTAAATTTTGTAATGAATTACACAGAGATGTAACCCGGATGAATACTGGTGAACCTGTTTTATCAAGATTTGTCATTGATTGCCTTGGCTATCTACCTGCAGAATTTCGTAGTTTTGCTGCTGATGTATTGCTTTCAGGGATGCGATCTATTTTCAAACATGCTGCTTCAGCCATTTTGAGTGAGTGCAACCAGACAGAGCAGCGTCTCATGATTCATGAAGTTGGCTTATCTCTTGGTATAGTGGAGTGGATTCATGATTACAATGAATTTTGTTCCTATGACACTACTGATTTGTTCATGTCTGGGGCTACATGCTTCAATGCTGTTAGATATGAAACCAGGTCAGGCTCAAAGTATATGCAGGATGTGTCTGATACGCTTGCCGCTTCTGAAGGGAGTATTGGTGCATCTGTTGGGGCAGATAAGCAGAAAGGTGAATGTACTGAACCCTGTATAAAGATTAGTGGTGCAGAAGCTTCTGAAGCTAGAGTTGGCAGTGGCTCAAAGCATTCTACAGAACTTAATGAACTTGAAGATGCTGTCCTCGTAATTGAGTCAATCAGGAGAGATGAATTTGGTCTAGATTCAAGCCTATCAAATGTTGGAAGTAGCATCCTAAAGAAGCAGCATGCCCGCTTAGGGAGAGCTCTGCGTTGCCTTTCAGAGGAATTGTATTCTCAGGATTCTCATTTTCTTCTTGAGCTGGTGAGGCTACGTTCTTTGTTTCTTTCATTGTGCTTAGTGTAATTATCTACTCCACTATAAAATAAACCGTATGGAAAGTATGCTGTGGTTGTCACTGGGGGATCTAGGAATTATCCTTCCTGGAGGCAAGAGCTTGTAAACTCTGGCCTAGCAACAACCTGTAAAGTTTTTCCTAATGCAGCTCAAGTCTCAACCATTTCTTTGCCCCTTTGCCCCTCCTTTGCCTTCTTTGAGGCAATTTATCAAACAGTTTGCCCCCATTCAACAGAAAATACCATGAAAACTTGACACCTTCATGGGTGTAGAACAAGACTGAGTAGGGCCTAGTGCCTTCACTGGCTCCTTACTAGATCCGCCAGTGGTTGTTGTCCCCTCTGTTTTTCTTCTTTTATGTGTTTTCTGTTGTCCTATGCATTTGCCAGTTTTCATCGTTGCTGATCCTAAATTCCCAGGTGAAATTTTATTTACTTTTTCTTTGTTTTTTAACAATTGGCTACATTTGTAGATGCTTGCATGTATATACAATCTATATATAAGCATTATATATAGATTGCCTGTAAAACCCGTAAAAAAAATATTTCTGTCTGTGTGTCTATTTGCTTGGGTATGTATGGATACAACTTCTTAACAGGGTAGTCTATGATATATCATGGTACATTTTTAATGACTCCTTGGAGTACTTACTAAAATGTTTGAGCTTTGAACTTTGTACTTTGTTTTGAATATTAAGTGGACTCCGCTGTCTGATCAGTTATCACGTCTTACTATCTTGTCAACCGATGTTCCAGGTGAGTAATTTGTCGCATGCCGATCTGAAAACATAGATTTTAATTCTTACCCAGAAAGTCATACACATACACATGCATAACCAAATCCCCACACCACATACACATTTTTTAAAGCCTCCCCGAATAGAAGGGTTTTTCTTGGATTGTGGCCCATGGGAAGGCTTATATACGTGTGATATGATTCAAAGAAGAAGACCCAATTCCTGCTTCTCCCCTCATTGGTGCATTCTTTGCAAGGGATGTTCAAAATTGGTGGTTCATCTCTTCTTGCATTGCTGGGTGAACTCGAATTTGTGGCTGCGTCTGTTTAGGGAATTCGGAATTAGCTGGGTTGTTTACAGGGACTGTTCCTCCTTCTTGTCTGAGAAGCATAATCTTCAAGGAAATGGGAAGAGAGCCAAGGTTTTATGGGATCGTATTGTATTGGCAATCATCTGGATGGTTTGGTTGGAACGAAATAGATTGATTTTTGAGGATCGTACTTGTCGTGAAACGGAGAAGCTATGGGAGAAAGTTAGATCATGTTCCTCGCTATGGGCTTCGACTTCTACAGACTTTATAGATATGTCCTTTAGGAGCATTTGGCTGGATTGGAATGCAGCCATCCGCTAGCTTTCCAGTCAAAGTTTGTTTTAAGTTTTGTTCTTTTGTTAGAAGTTTTTTGTTTTGCTTGGTCTAACTGCTATTTCGCTGTTTAGACTTCTATTGTGGCCATCTTCACCACCTTGTGCTGTTTTTTTATTGTCATAATTGCAATAAAATTCTGTTTCCTTTTATAAAAAAAAAAAAAAAAAAAAAAAAAAAAAAAAACAGTAACTAGAAGTCTTTTGATTTTGATCATCCATGAGATAATCTCCAGTTTCTTGATTGGGGTGGGCTGCAGCTCAGGTGAGCCGTGGCTATGGTCTGTCCTTGCACCTGGCGCATATGCTTGGAACTTTGACATTTGGATTTTTTTACTGTAGAATATTAGTTATGCCTTACATACGATCTTTACTTTATTACTGATGTGGTGTTACATATAATGGACTGATAAACCAATATCTGCAAGACCACTGTTATTTGAGTTTGAAATCTGTTTATCCTTTGTGAATCTATTTATCTGCAGCATTTTCTCATCAGCAATATATTGTTGATACAATAAACTACCATTTTAATTTTCTTCAAATCTTGATATGATGCTATAATAAGAGTCTGGAGTTGAAAACAATCCTCTTATAAGTTTGTCATGTTTTAAATGCATCTAATTATTCTTTATTGCTTCAGGTGCAAAATGCTGATGATAATATTTACCCAACAAATGTGGAACCAACTCTAACATTCATTCTTCAAGAGTCAGGTATTGTTGTTTTAAACAATGAACGGGGCTTTTCTGCCCAGAACATTAGGGCACTCTGTGATGTTGGAAATTCAACCAAGAAAGGATCTAAAGCTGGATATATAGGGCAGAAGGGCATTGGTTTCAAATCAGTATTTCGGGTAGGTTGTGAAAAATACTGTAGTTATCGTTCTGTCTGTCTGTCTGTCTGTCTGTCTGTCTGTCTCTCTCTCTCTCTCTCTCTCTCTCTCCCTCTCAATGTCGTTCCACCATCCCTACCCAGAAAATTTTCATTCAACATACGTTTTATTGATAATAAGGTTTCATTAATATGCGATTGTCTTTCTGCAGGTTACAGATGCTCCAGAAATTCATTCCAATGGGTTTCATATCAAGTTTGATATAAGTGAGGGTCAGATTGGTTTAATTTTGCCCACAGTTGTACCTCCTCGCAGTATTCACTTGTTTAGTAGCCTGGCATCTAGTGACAATGATAAAGCGGATTGGAACTGCTGGAACACTTGCATTGTTCTTCCTTTCAGATCTATTTTATCAGATAGAACTGTCATGAAAAGTGTAATTAATATGTTTTCAGATCTCCATCCTTCTTTACTACTCTTTCTCCACCGCCTCCAGTGTATTAAGTTTAGAAACTTGCTTGATGATACACTTACGGTCATGAGAAAGGATATTGTGGGAGATGGTATCGTTAAGATTTCACATGGGAAAGAGAAAATGACATGGTTTGTAGTATCTCAGAAATTGCAAGCAGGTTTTATTCGTGGTGATGTACAAACAACAGAAATATCAATAGCATTTACATTGAAGGAATCAGATAATGGCGATTATTCTCCTGATATTGCCCCACAGCCTGTTTTTGCATTTCTTCCTCTTAGAACATATGGGCTGAAGTTTATTCTTCAGGGTGATTTTGTTCTTCCATCGTCTAGAGAAGAAGTCGATGGAGATAGTCCCTGGAACCAGTGGCTATTGTCTGAATTTCCTGGTTTGTTTGTTAATGCAGAGAGATCTTTTTGTGCTCTTCCGTGCTTTAAAGAGAATCCCGGAAGAGCTGTGACAGCTTATATGTCCTTTGTTCCGCTTGTCGGGGATGTGCATGGTTTCTTTTCTTCTCTTCCGCGATTGATTATTTCAAAATTACGTGTGTCGAATTGCTTACTCCTTGAAGGAGGAAATAATGAATGGGTTCCTCCGTGCAGGGTCCTAAGAGGTTGGAATAAACAGGCTCGTTTGCTTCTCTCTGATGACTTACTGCAAGAGCATCTTGGACTTGGGTTCTTGGATAAAAATATAGTTGTGCCGGATCCACTTGCAAGAGTTCTAGGTATTGTGGACTATGGACCCAAAGTTTTGCTTCAAATTGTGGACTCTTTATGTCATACACAAAATGGCCTCAAATCAATGGGACTGAGTTGGCTTGCCTCTTGGCTAAGTTCACTTTATGCAATGTCATTCAATTCTTCTGTGGAAGCTTCATTTGACTCGGGAGTAGAAATGGAATTCATAGAAAACCTTCGAAAAATTCCATTTATTCCTCTTTCAGACGGTACATATGTTGCAGTGGATAAAGGCCCAATTTGGTTACATTTTGATGCCTTTAAGACTGGGTTTGAGGGTCAGCATGGACTTGAGTCTTTTCCAGATTTGTATGCTACCCTTCAGATTGTAAGTCCTAGCTTCCTTTTTGCATCATGTGCTGACGTGTCATACATGAATGTGACGACAGTTGAAAAAGTCACAAGTATGCTTCGTAGAATTGGTGTCCAACAGTTGTCCGCACATGAAATTATCAAGGTGCATATCTTGCCGGCTATATCTGATGGCAGGATTACAGATAGGGATAAGAATTTGATGACTGATTATATTTGCTTTGTAATGGTTCACCTGCAGTCGAGCTGCTATAATTGTCGAGTTGAAAAGGAATACATAATCTCAGAACTACGAAATAAAGCTTATATACTAACAAATAATGGCTTTACACGACCTGCTGAAGCATCAATTCATTTCAGTGCAGCATTTGGAAATCCTGTGGACATAAATAATTTAATTAATGGGGTGGATATGGTTTGGCATGAGGTTGACATCTCCTATTTGAAGCATCCCACCACTAGATCACTACCAAATGGACTGCTGAAGTGGAGGGAATTTTTCCAGAAAATTGGCATCACGGATTTTGTGAAAGTAGTTCAAGTTGAGAAAGGAATTAATAGTTTATCTGATTCTTTTTTGAAGAAGTTGATTTGGGACAAGGACAGCATTTCCCTTGGACTGAATGCCACAGATTGGGAGGCACCTGAATTAGTCCAACTATTATCCCTATTGTCCAGAGAGAACAACAAAAAAGGTTGTGAATATCTCCTAGAGGTTCTTGATACATTATGGGATGATTGCTATAGCGATAAAATGACCGGTTACTGCACTTCTAAATCTGTAGCAGATAGACAGCCCTTCAGATCTTCATTTATAAGCTGCATCTGTGATGTGCAATGGGTGGTATCAACAATGGATGATGAACTTCACTACCCCAAGGATTTATATCACAACTGTGATCCAGTGCGCTCGATTCTGGGTACATCTGCTCCATTTTCTGTTCCAAAGGTTAGTTGGAGATGGAATGCTCAAAATTATATTTTCTTTCATGATTAAAAAAAAATTATACATAGGGTATTTAATATAGTGCATATGGAAATGTCTGAATTTAAGTCCCAACCTGAAAGTAATTGGTAATGAGTGGAGAACCCAGGATTTTATATGCTGTGATGCAATGCTTTGAAATTAGAATGCCTGATGTAGGACTTAATATCCTCAACATTAGGTCATGTACTTGTCCTCGATAAGGGTTTAGGGTTTAGGTTAACATGCTGCAGCAATACAACCGACCGAACAAATATAAAGAAAAAACCGATCAAACCAACCAAACTGGCTGGTTCTGGCGGTTTGGTTTGGTTTTTAAGCTTAAAAAATAAAGGAAATCGGCAAGAAAACCGGCTGAACCGGTTTCAGGCCTGTTTGATTACTCCAGAACTGGCGGAAAATCGAACTGGACTGCCAGTTAAATTTTTTTACATGTCATATTACACGTGGCTCTGTTCATTGGGCCCAAAACCGAGCCGGCCTGAATGCTCAGATCTAGATATTACTGTTTGATTGTGTGTTGTTATGATGTGATGATAATTTATGTTTTAGTTTTCCATTATTCATCTGACCATTATGCATCATAGTTTCAGCTATATGAAAATCTCAAATCTTGTTTTTGGCATATCTACATTTTTCCTTTTGAAACAGGTGAGAAGTGGAAAGTTCGCAAGTGATATTGGGTTTAAGACGAGAGTTTCTATTGGTGATGTTTTTGAGATTTTGAAACTATGGAGATGTGAGAACCCATTCAGAGCAAGGTATTTCTTTTCTTTTTTCTTCCTCATTTTTCTGGAAGCGAGATCAATTGGTTTTTTATACTGGATGTCTCTATCTTTATGGGATTCACCAATATCATCAATACAACTGGATCAAAATAAATATGAAGTGTTTAAACCAAAAGCAGTTGTTCTATAGTATCATTTGGTTGCTCATAGACAGAAATTCTCTTTCATATCAATGTATTTTATTTTATTACAGAATAGTTAAAGTTTTTGCAGCTCTGCGTAGACATGCATTATGTTTTCATAGACTTACTAAGCAGAGGTCACTGATGTGAGCCACATGTCACTGGGTTAATGTTAAAGTGCAATTTGACACCATCCAGGTGGCTAATAAAGCAGATGATGTGTGTGGTCTCTTGATGAAGTTTTGCCATCTTGACAAAGGATGTATTCAATTTCAAAGAGACTTGTTTTATGAGTGTCTAAGATCCCCTTTGTTATGTTTTATTTTGGCATATTTACTTAATAGCATCTAGCTGGCTGTCCTTAAGCATGCCTTTGGTCGTTTGGGAAACTTATCTCAACTTTGCTTTAACTTTAGCATTTCGAAACAGAAAGCAGTTTTAGTGAGTGAAGTTAAATGGTAGATTAATTTTTCCTTATAATAGATGAAAACTTTGTTTGGGTTCATGTTGGGGTGTATTATCTATCTTCTTGCCTTCTGCTTTTCTCTACCAAGTCATCGTATTCTCTCAATGTAGTTTCTAAAAGCTTTGTCAGAAGGGATAAGGTGTCTTTTGCTTAATAAATAAAATCAGAATTAGTGCACATTCTGTTTCAAGCGTAGTCTTGCGAACCTCTATGTTGAATGTAGACTTGTGAAATTTTATGCTATTTGATACTGTTTCAATATCTGCTCCTGATCATATGAAATTCTCATGTTTGTGCGGATCCATTCCTATTTTATTTGTTTAATTTTGCATGGTTATTCATATTTTAAATCACACTTATCTTCTGTCCCAGCCTAGCACAAATGTTCAAAATTTACTCATTAATCTGGAATGAAGTGGCTCCTTCGAATCAGAGAATTACTGATGAATTCCATCCTGGACCTTTCATATTTGTTCCATATGAAGCCAGCTTCAGTCATGAGGATGTGGTGTCTGGTATATTTTTGTCCCCTGAAGAAGTATATTGGGATGATTCCACTTCCTTCGTTAACCATATCAAGGGGATCCGTCCTCAGTACAGCTCAACAGGTATTAATCATATTCCCTTAAATAAGATGCTGAGTAATTTCTACCCAGGCCTTCACGACTTCTTTGTTGGTGGGTGTGGAGTACATGAGATCCCAGCTCTCCGTAGCTACCTTCGGATTCTGCTAGATTTATCAAATATTGCTTTGCCTTCACAAGCAGCTAATGCCGTAAGTAATTAAGTTTAGAGATATATTATAAGTAGCACAAGCTGCACAGTGATCTAATTGTTTCTTCCTTGTCGCAGGTTTTTCGAGTATTCCTGAAATGGACTGATGGACTGAAGTCAGGATTGAGTGCTGAGGATATTGTTTACTTGAAAGATTCTCTTACAAATATTGAATGTACGGTGCTTCCTACTGTTCAAGATAAGTGGGTTTCTCTACATCCTTCCTTTGGTCATGTGTTCTGGTGTGATGATATTGAGTTAAGAAAGCAGTTTATGCATTTGGATGGAGTTGATTTTCTATACTTTGGTGAACTAAGTAATGCTGATGTAGAGATGCTATTTAAAAAAGTTTCCATTCTCCTGAAAGCTTTAGGGATTCCTGCACTTTCAGAGGTAAGATATCTTTGGTAATATCAGCAGCATGCTTTGAAGTGAAAATGAACTTGAACAGGTTATAGCATTCTTTACATTTTCCCATGCATTGTCACTATGAGATTCTGCATTGTAAAGATCGGGTGTTACAAGATTTAGGATGCCATATGTTGTTAATCAATAAAATGAATGTGGAAAATAAATAATTATAAAACTGTACAACTGAGAAGAAATGTAATTCTCATTTTTCCACTTTGTGCATTTATATGCAGGCTGTAACTCGTGAGGCAATATTTTATGGTCTGGCAGATTGTAGCACAAAAGCTGCATTGATGGATTGGACTCTTCCATATGCACAGCGCTACTTACAAAGTGTGCACCCTGATAAATATACACAACTCAAGCAGTCTGGATTTGATATCTTAAATCGTTTGCAAGTAGTTGTTGTTGAAAAGCTGTTTTATCAGAATGTTATAAAGAGTTCTGGCAGGAAATCCAATAAGAGGCTAAGATGTAGCTGTCTTCTGCAGGTATTCTCTTTTATCTTTCATTGAGTGTGCGTGTATTTCCTAATGCTTATATGCTTATACCAAAATGCAAACTGACTTACATGTTGGTTGGGATTACTATATTTACCAATGTTTTCAAAGGCGAGGCCTCTTGTGTTTCACAAGGTGAGCCGTAAGCGTAAGTGTTCAGGTGTGTGCCCTTTGGACCTGAGCTAATTAAAATTGAAATTTTACTAATTTAAATATTAACAATTATATAGTTAAAACTAGCCACTGGAATGAATCATTTAATATGAAGGCTGGGAGCTTAAGAAACATTAACAATCATTTAGCATCAACATAAAATTTCCAAGTTATTGCTATCAAGTATCAAGAACAGAGGTTGGGAGCTCTAACTTATAACAAAGAACACTTAACAGAGGCAGGGAGACATGGAGAATAGAGAAGAAGAGATGACCTTTAGTTGGAGAAGGAGATGTTGAAGGTGGTGTCAAAGAGAGAATTGGGAGGTGTAACGAACAGAGAAAAAGAGGAGACATTTTGGTGTTTGTTAATTTTGTTCTGGATTCTATTCGTATGGAGTTCTTTTTTATTTATATATTTTTTAAAAATAAAAAATAAAAAATAAAACAAAATAAAAAAAACCTTCCCAAGTGGTTGTATACATGGGTTTTCTTGAAAGACAAACAATTTGGGCTGTTTGGTGAAAGTTGAAACGGCACTAGTTGTCTTAAGGTACTAATAATAATTTGGTCACAATCAGGGCTCAAGCTTTAGCTGCGGTGTTCTCATTTCTGGGAAACTGCTCAATGGAGCCATGGGTCAGGAAATTCTTGACCACCTCACCTCGACTCATTCCTCAAGGCACGCCTAAGCCCTCACCTTTCAAAACACTGATATTTACAATGTTAACAAATTAGCATTTGAAATCGTATCGTGTTTGGATACAAACATGTCTTACTTCTCTGGCCAGAAAACAAATAGTAAATAAAAACTGTCTTCCAAGAATACAGACTAATCTCCTTTTTAATCAAATTCTCTTTCTAATAAAATGTTGTTTACTATTGTTTTGGAACATCGGAAGATTTTTCACCAAGCCATTATGATACTTGCATGATGTGGACATAGAAACCTCTCTCTTTCCTAACCTTATATATTTTCGTCCTATTAATACAGGGTAGCAATTTGTATACAACCCAAGAACCGGATTCACACGCGTTATTTGTGGAGCTTTCTCGTTTGTTTTTTGACGGAAATCCAGAATTACACTTGGCAAATTTCCTTCATATGATCACAATAATGGCTGAATCAGGTTCAACTCAGGAGCAGACAGAATTTTTTATCTTAAACAGCCAAAAGGTACCGAAGCTTTCTGGTGAAGAATCTGTTTGGTCCCTGTCATCTGTGACTTCATTGACAGACAATTATAAGTCACTCCCAAAAGGTTTTACTTTTACTGAAGTAAATGAGAAAAACAGTTCGAAATCCAAAAGGAAAGTAATTAACTGGCCACCTATTGATTGGAAAACTACACCAGGTTTTGGTTGTACTGATGCAAATCTTTCCAAGACACAGGCACCAGTTGCACATTCTGTTTCAGTTGACATTAATTGGACCATTGAAGATGATTCAGCAATGACATCTGCAGCTTTAGTTTTGCCAGGCTCTGATGATCTGCAAGAACATTCTGGTTATGCTTGCAATGAGACTGGAAATGGAATGCATACTGAATTTGATCCTATTAATGTAGGTTTTGTTTCTGACTCTCCTGATTTGGGTTCATTTCCTAATTTTAGCAAGAGAGACCAGCCTAGATATGGTACATCCAGTGGAAGAGATGCAATGCTAACCGGGAGACTGGGTGAGCTTGTTGCTTTCAAATACTTGATTTCAAAAGCTGGAAAGTCAGTTGTGAAGTGGGTTAATGAATGCAATGAAACTGGGCTTCCCTATGACATAGTTGTAGGGGAGAAGGAAGACAGTACAGAGTTCATTGAAGTTAAAGCAACCCAGTCTCCTAGAAAGGACTGGTTCCACATATCAATGAGAGAGTGGCAATTTGCCGTAGATAAAGGTGAAGCCTTCAGCATTTTGCATGTCATTTTATTGGGTAATAATGCTGCAAAGGTCTCAGTATACAAGAATCCTGTACAATTGTGCATGCTGGGGAAGCTGAAGTTGCATCTTATGATGCCTAAGCAACAGAACGAATTATTCCTTTTGTCCTGAAAGGTACTTGATAGGCTGGTCATCGGTCTGAGACTTCAGTTGGCTTTCATCTGCATCCAGAGTTTACCAGGTACAGGTTTGACTAGCATGCCAAGATACAAGAACGTAAGAACATAGTGATATCTGCTTTGGTGTAATTGAGCCAATAAAAACACTATAGCCAAATTGCAGCTATGCTTTGATAGGACTGCAGGTTGAGTTGCTGCTTTTAACCCTATCGATAGGCCAGTCGGGTTGATTTGCTGGAATTTAACATAACTATGATAAGGAGATCCTCAATGTACAGACCCTCTGCAGGTTTCCTTGTGGTTCGTCGAAGAATCGAGTCACCATATATGTATAATAGATAAATTAGGAGTGGTATATGTATATACGTAGTTTGAAAAAGAACCACCTCTCCGTTTCTTTCCATAGGCATCAGCCGTAGCACAAGACAAGTCGTTGCAGACAAAGATAGTGTACATGTAACCAGCCATTGTAAAGTATAATAAAGTTCAGAATCTCAATAACGTTTATATATCCTTCCGGCTTTGAGATGATTTATTTTCGGCTATTAGATAGAAAACAATAAATTAAAAGGGAATGAAAATGGCATCTAGTGCTAGTACAACGTTGAGTATATTATATTCAGTAGTCTGCATAAATTTTTTATACTATATATAATATAATTTATCCTAAAGATTTTTTTTCAATTGGAATTTGGCTATTCACCATCTACGAGGATCCCCGCTGACGCAAGCATCTGTGGCTGCCTGGTTAAAGCGTCCAACTCATAATTGGCGAATGGGTAGGTACAATTCCTAAAGGATGCTAATTGGCGAATGGGTAGGTACAATTCCTAAAGGACGTTAATGAGACCCTCCAATGAGGAGAAAGTCTTAGGCAACCCTAGCAACAAAAAAAAAAAAAAAAAAAAAAGAGATATTTAGTCATATGTCCATTCTTAGCACTAATAATATAGAAAAATCATACACCATTTAATTTCTATAAACAACCCCAAAAAATGACAGCTTGTCCTATTGAATTTAATTTACATTACTATGATGCCCTATTGAGTGTTTTGGAATTTTTTAATGAGGTTTTGGGGTTGGGTTTGTTTTAAAAAATTAATGATAGTTTTGTAATTTAAAAGAAGTTAAAAGCCTTTTTGTTATGTTGTAAATATGTTTTAGGTGTGTTTCTAAAGTCCATTTCATATAGGGTTTCGTTTATAATTTGGGCTCCTATATTGGGTATAATAGTGAATCTCCCAAAAATTAAACTCCCCACCCCTTCAACACCATATCTTTAGGTGGGGTGGTGGCGGCGGCAGGGGAGGAGGTGATCTGCCCCTCCTCCCCTCCCCTCATATTCCTCCTTCCTCTTGAATCACACTTTTCTCCTTCTCCCCCTATTTTACAATATGGTGGGATGAAGACCATGGGCATGATTTCCCACATCACCACCATCTTTACCCTGTGGGTATTGCTCCATACCGACTCAAAATCCATGGCTCATCTAGATTCCTTCACCTCTCCTTTGATCTGGCCTCATCCTTGGTTTGTAGCTGCAAATTTCAAACGCGTTTTGGCACTTTTATTGGAAGGTGTGTAGAGCTCTAGCTCAGTTGCTTGCACCACCTCCTTCCAGGTTCTTGGTTCTTTTTCTCCTGTTTCTGGAATGAGTTTTCTCATTCTTTCTTTGCTAGCTGTTGTCTTTTGGATGTATTGGTTGGTTTATTTTGGTTATGTTTGGTGAATCTCGAGTGGGCTATATTTTGAGGGATATTTGGCTTGGTTTGCTAACCTATGGGTGTTTGGTTCTTCATGTTGGTGATTGGTGGTTTGTCCATCTACAATTTTGGAGTTTCTCTTTGCTAGTGGCGGATTGGAATTTCTCTTTGGTAATGACAGCTAACTTTCTTGTGCTTGATTTTATGTATTTTATATTTAATGTAGGCTTTATGCTGAATGTGGGCTTTATGCCGAATGTGGCCATAATGCCTCTTTGTGGGCTATATGCCTTTATGTTGGCTTTTGCCATTTTAGTTTTTTTTGCTCGGGAACATGATCTTCATGCTATACTGTAATGGTTTTAGCTAGATTTGTTCCTATTTGTTTCATGTTGATTTTCTGGCCGATGTTTTTGCTCGTCTTTATTTGTATTGTTCTCTGCCCTTTTGAGGGATTGCAATGAATTGGAACTTTGACCACACCAAAAAAAAAAGACCTCCAATAACTCATTGCATCGTAATTATATCCACTCTTCTAGATTCTAAAATTAAAATTTGATAGAGATGAAATGGGATATTTTCTCTTTTTGGACTAGGCAAGAATCTGTCGAGATATCCGAATAATGGGTGGTGCATTTTTTTCGCATTTCGCTTCGTCTGATTCATTAAGACAAGAATTTTTATCCATTCTACCCCTTGAACTATTAACCTTTTCGAACTTACCCCCTTTGATTATTTAATCTACCAATTTATTCTTTGAACTCATTAAAAATAGCCAACATAGCAGTTGTGGTTAGTTTTTTGAGAATTTCATCCATATTTTCATCTAAACAGGCATGTGAGGGGCACATGCTTTGTTTGTTAAGGACATTATGGTCCTTCAGAAGTGGGCGGCATTCCTTTCTGTCATTTTTGCCAAATCGTGTTAGGCCACCTCCAGCGCAGGAGCCCTGCCAGGGCAACAGGCCCCCCGAGAGCCCAATCCACCCTCCAGCGCTACCAATCCAGCCCGGGCAAGCCCAAGGGTAGATCACCCACCAGCCCACATAGCCCAATGGTTATAAGCCACGTGGCTTCTCCTGGAGCCTCCGATAAAAAAATCTTGCCCAATCCAACGGCTGTCCATTTTTTAGCTTAAAAAAATTGAAAAAAATTGAAAAAAATTCTGGAAATTTTTTATATAAATACCTACCAATATTATTTACTTTTCACACCAAATCTTCATACAAATTCATCTCATTCCAATATTTTTCACTTTCCACACCAAATTTTCTGCTACAAAATTTCATTTGTGCAAAAATACAAACGACCTCTTCCATCGAAGCTGGAGGGTCGTGGACAAACATTCGAAGAGGTCAAAATCTTGGCAACGAGGTAAAAAAAAAATTTGCCGTTTTATTCAATTTAATGTAATTATATATATATATTTCTTCCATTTCCAATTTCCTTTTTATTTATTTTTTATAAATAGATTATTCAAGGGAAAACAAAAAAGAGGAAAACCATTACACATGGCAACTCAAGTGAACAATGCCTGCAGTCGGTTCCAGTGGTGCATTCCGTGTCGGAAATAATGGCACTATTACGTCCTTCGAAGGAAAATACTCCCCCACGTCATGATCCGGTGGAACCACCTCTGCCAATGATGGAGTTGTTCTTGGATTCCATTGTGTCGGACTATGAGGACTGAGAATATTTCAATTGTATGATGAGTGAGATGTGAATTTTATAATAAATATGGACACGTGGCAACCAAAAATTTTATCCGTAAAATGTTATCTTAAATTTTAAGTGAGAATTTTATAATAAATAGTGACACGTGACAACCAAAAATATTATCTAAAAAACTTATCAAAATTAATGGTTTAAGTATAAAAAAAAAATAGAAAATAAAGTAAAATGAATAGTATTTGCCTTTACCCTAGCCTTTTGGGGTGGAATCAAAAAAGGCAAGGCTGCCACTGTTCACGTGAATAGTAGCAGCCCTTGCCTTGCCCTTGCCCATGCCCTTGCCTTAGCCTTTTGGGGTGGACATGCTCTTAGGGCTGAAATTTTTGGGGATAAGAGATTAGTTCTGAAAGATTTGCAGGTCGGGGGAGTTGGGGGTTGCAAGCATACAATTTAGAGACTTTGATGATGATGTTGACGAATTAATGGCTCCATCTATACCACTGGAAGAGTTGTTGAGGCTAGATGCTAAAATCAATGGTGATGAAGATTACAAGAGAGATCAAATATTGAATATCCTTGCTGCCCATCATGCCAAGTGCTCAGATTTAGTTGGAGATCCCTTTTGAAAGAACATGTCCTCTAACGGTCTAGCATGGAGAAAGAATATGATGAGGTAGATCGAGGAGATTGGTGACAATAAAAGCAGGGAGACAAATGAAGGAGATGAAGGAGAAAATCCCCAATCGGAAACAATTATTGTTGCCTTGGAGAGATGGTTGCATATAGCCGCACGGCTATACTATTGATAAAAAAGAATTAAAAAAAAGGACCACATTAATGCCAGGCAGCTATACTATTTTTATATAAAATTGTAGGGGCTTTTTTCTTCCGGTAGCTACTACGGGCATTGGCTGCCGTAAAGAGCAAAATGGAAGAAATTGCCCCTTGAGCCTGAGTTCGAAGATCAAGCCCCAAGAATGCTTCGAAAGGACAGAGATGCCTCAGGAAACACCTTGGTTACCTTCACCAACGAAAATAACACCAGCTTACAGATAAATTCTTGGCTTGGCATGAGAAGCTTGTGGCATGGGAGCAAAATTATCATAAATTTAGCACTGAAGAGAAAACTAAGTGTTCCTAGGAGAAAGATGGGGTATTAAGATTGGAGAGAAATGATTTTGCAGAGAGGTTTGGTTGAGCATGAGGAAAAAGAGAGAAAAAGGTGGCTTGAGTGTTTTTCCGGCAGCTTGACAAAGACTCTGTCAAGTGTTAGAATAGCTTGCCAAGAGGGAAAACTAAGGGAAAATGATGGGCTGAGCACGAAATTGCTGGGTTTTGGGAGTAAGAGAGGAAGCTTGCTCTCTGATGTGGTTGATGCTTGTTCGGTAGAAGAGGCCCCCTTTTATAGTCGCTGGAGGCTGATATTTTCCAAGAAACCCTAATGGTTTCTATCCAATTTGGCCATGTCTTTCCCTTCCTTTCTCCCTTCATCTCTTCAATTATCATTTTTTGGTGAAATCCACTCTGCATATTTGCACAAAATCAGGGATTTTCGGTTGCTCAAAGCCCTTTTTCCCGCGGCTATTTCAGACTCCTATTTTCAGCCATCTTTCTTCCTTCTTTTCTCTCCTCTTCCAGGGCTAGGTATGATGAGGGAAAGAAATGGGTATGCATGATGGTTCAAAGGGTGATCTGCGCTCCAATATCCCTTGGTCATTTGGAAGTTTTTGCTTGAAACTTGTTCCTCCCATGTGCTGGAGCTTCCCAACAACTTTCACACATGGATATTTTTCAACGTGGCTTTTGTTTTCCAGCAAAGTGCTGATGGTTTTGCAAGTCTTTATTTTATTTATGTGGGCCTTTTAGAACAATGGATTGGCTTATCAAATAAATGGGCCAACTTCACCAAGGTTTGGCTTGAGGTGTTGGGCTTTTTGGTTGAGTCAATAGGCTATTTTGGTTAGGATATTTTCTCTTTGTGCTCACCCACATGTTTGGGCCTAAGAAATGGGCTTGGGTTCTGAGGCTCCCAAGCAACCCGGAACCTCCATTTCTCGGCTCATCAATGGGCCTCATGACAACTTATTACCATCCATACCACAACCCACTCAAGCAAGCCCCAGGCATCTTGCGTGGCTTGGGCCCACTTAAGCTTGTGGCGAGATTAGGTGCTGAATAATAATTCATTGCTTGGCGTGGCATGTGTGCAAGCACATATGATGAACTTTCGCATGCCCAAATCGGGTTTCTTCTCGATAAGGTATCGCATTGAGCTGAGAATTTATTTGGAGCGAAGCGTGGATTTTTTGGGCCTCAACAAAAATAAAAGCTATATTATTATTTTTTTTTCAAAGGGACCCGCCTAGCGCTTAGTGGGTGTTTTGTGAAAAGATTATAGCTGCGCGGCTATACTGTATTTTACAAACCTATAGCCGCGCGGCTATACTCCAGAAATAGAATTGCTTGCAGGAATAAGGTACCAAGCTAATATAATAGCTCCACTGAACTAGATGGTTGGACCTGTTAAGGAACTCTGTTCAATTTTGTTATCATATCTGTTTAATCTATTCTTGTATATTCCTATTGCTTGTATACATGCTATATACTTCAGGAATGGGGAGCACATATTGCCTAGTTCATTTGTCTATCTGCTTAATTCGGGTAAAGAAAATTGATTTTTCCCTTTGGACTTTGTTCTTCTCCCTGTTCAATCCACATTTAGTGTTGTGGTGCTTATAGTTATGGGAACTTTGATTTTCCAGGCCTCTTTAGCAATCACGGCCCTTATACTTTATTGGAACAAAGAAATTTTTTTCGAAGATGGGTCTAGCTTACCACATTGCAAAAATTCACAGTGAGGTAATGAGTCATTACTCTGTGATCATTGCTGACCGAGTTTTGAGAAATTTGTCTTCCCTTTTCATATGTTTTCTTGGATGAAGGCATCTGTTGAGCACAATGGATGGGAACTCAAGCAATACATTGAGGAGCTATACTGGGGATCCGGTAAGCATGTGATGCTGCTGGGGGCACAGCGAGGGCGGCGTTCTGCATTGTCAATCTACTGGTGTGATTTGAAAGACAAAGTTGCTGGTTTAGCACTGGTACAGAGCCCCTATGGTGGCACTCCCTTGGCTTCTGATATTCTTCTCGAAGGCCAGATTGCAGATAAAGAAAACCGCAGGATCATGGAACTTTTGATATGCAAGCTAATGAAGATAATATCACCAATACCTGAGCTTGTTGAAAGTCCTTTGTGTATATACAGTATACTAAACAAGTGGAGAATTACAAGTTGTATTTGGAAACATCCCAATTCATATTTGCATTGTATTGTGACGTTTGGGCACTGGAGGATCTTACTTACGAGAAGCAAAAGGACTTCATCATGAAGTACAAGCTGCCATGTGAGCAAAATCCTCTGGTTTCATCGTGCGGCTATACTATTTATATAAATAAATAAATAAAATTTTAAAAAAAAGAAATTTTTTTTAAAAAAAAAAGACCGCAGTAACGCCATGCGGCTATACTGTTTCTATACTAAAAATAATTCGGAGTATAGCCGCTTTGCTATACTATTTATAAAAAAAAAAATGGAACAAACAAGCACTTAGTGCGTATTTTGTGAAAAGCGTAAAACTGCGCGGCTATACCCATTGAATAGCATAATCTGATTTTCTCTTGTTTAATTACTTTGATTAGTAGTTATATTTTAATTATTATTTACTTAGTGAATAATTTGTATTTAAATATATTTTATCTTTATTCAATAATATGTGAGTATTCTGCGAATAATACTTGAATTTGTGTGTATTATTGAAAATTTTATATTTAAAAAAAGGTGTTTTGTGAAAAGCGTATAGCCACGCGGCTATACGCTATGAATTGAATTGCATTTTTCCACTGTATAGCCGCGCGGCTCTACCTCATAAATAGAATTTTTCAATAGTATAATTGCGCAGCTATACAGTATAAATTAAAATAAATTTAAAAGTAGAGCCGTGCGGTAGTACCCACTGAATAGCATAATTTGAATTTCTCTTTTTCAGTTACTTTAATTAGTAGTTATGTTTTAATTATTATTTACTTAGTAATTAGTAATTTAATTTTTTTTTATTTTTTTATTCAATAATATGTGAGTATTTGAATGTATTATTGAAAATTTTGTAACAAACAAGTATTAAACATGAAAAATGTGTACATACGTGTACAATACGAGTATTAAATGTGAAAATGCTAAATTCTTTATACGGGTAATAACTGTGAAAAGTAAAAACTCGAAATGAGACAATAGAAATACAGGTAATTGCCTAATAGTAATGGATAATGCTCTAAACTCTTATCGATAAACAAAAATCGGGGAAAAACAACCCCAAAAAAAAAACAGTATCTATGTAAAGCTTATAGCCGTGCGGCTATACTATTTATAAAACGGAATTTAAAAAAGACCTCAGTCGAGCCGCCCGGCTATACTCTTTAATTAAAAAAATAATTCGGAGTTTGGCCGGGCGGCTATACTATTTGTAAAAATAAAAAAAAGGCCCGCCTATTTTGTGAAAACAGTATAGCCGCTCGGCTATACTCTAATAGAATTTCTCAAAAGTATAGCCACCCGGCGATAATCCATAAATTGAATTTCTCAAAAGAATATCCGTGGGGCTATACCTATTGAATACTCTGAATTTCTCTTTTTTAATCACTATAATTAGTAGTCCTAGTGACTGCATTCTACAGAAACAGCTAATCTACATGAATCAAGCAACAAGTTGCAGAAGTAATAACCCCTAGCGAACATGAACCACAAAAGGATACTATAATGTTTCATTCAAGAAAAAGAATCATACATCGTATTTGTTTCAAGAATCAAACTGAAACCCCAAAAGTGTGTACTTTGAAACCAAAATAAGCAGTAGGCCTGGGCACGGTTTGGGTCGGGTTAATTTTTTACAGACTCGCGGGCCGAACCGAAGGTGTGCTCAGTTCTCGGGTCGGGTCGGGTCTAGAGCAAAACCCAAAATTGGGCCGAACTGTAAATGGACCTCGGTTCTCGGGTCAGTTCTGAGTTGTGATCGGTTTGGGCTTGAGCCCAAATTTACCATTTTCAAAAGCCCAAATTTCCCATTTTCAAAAGCCCAAATCATTTTACTTTCAGTCAAAAAGAGCCCAAATTAGATTTACTTTAAGTTAAAAAGAGCCCAAATCAGATTTACTTTCAGCCAAAATCCATTTTTTGTTGTCAAATGACCAAAACCTAATAAGTTCTTATGAACAAGCCCAAATCACTTTTTAATTTTCTTTCAAAACCTGAAATTATGCAAATTCAGCCTATAAAAATCCATCATTCCAATCTAAGTTTCTAAACAACTATTAATCACAAATTCACAAAATGCAAACCATCACAAAAAAATACACAAATAATAAAGCAAGAAATCCAAATTATAATGATTACAACCCATGACTATCCTTCCAAAACATCTGCATCCATCCATCCAAAGCCTTAACAAAGCAACCTGCATTCATCTGTCCAAAAATACACTTGTATCAGTCAACAATCAATCACCAAACATATAATTTCAGTACAAATAGAAATGAATAGTTTGCTTATCTTCAAAACCCTTCAAAGTTTAACAAACGAACATGTCAAACATCATGAACTACTCCTGAATAAGAAACAGATAAACAACAAAATTATATAACCTCATATTAGAGCTTTATAAAAGTAAACATATGCACCAGAAGAAAATTATCATCTATCTTCATATCGTTGAATGTATATGTAATATACAATCCAAAACCTACAGCTCTCACATATGCAAAACCAAAAACTTAAGATCCACACATACAATCGAAAACCCAATACAAAATTGACGAAAAAAGGGCAAAACTTACAGAATAAAATTGACAAAAACCCAAAACTAAAAGTGACCCCCAGCTTCCTTTGTTTCAAGCTGAAACATCAAGAAAACTAACTAATTAGGCACCCCACAATTGATCATCACCCATAACTAAAAGTCTACTAAACTGCAAAATAAGAAAGAAACACAACACTACATAAATAACAGACCTATCATGGAAGTTAAGTTTTTGTTTTGTTCTTCCAGTTATGCATTCTTCCTTTCCAAGTCTTTTATCTGAGCAACCAAAACGCCAACGTCGCTCTGCACAAGCCACTAAAATTACATGAGAATTTAAACTTGACTTTCTCAGCAACCAAACGAAAGCTGCAAAAAAAAATCAGAATCTTTTTCTTTTCTAAAAAAAATACAGAAACTAGCTCCTCCTACCTCAGATAGCCGTTGCATTCTCAGATTTTCTCATTCCTACATGGTCTGTGCAAAGAACGATGTTAGCAGTAACTCACAATCATCTTAATAGAGCTTAATAGATATTCATTTTAATCCCTCCTCTTTAGAGTTTGAATCATACAAACAAAAAAAGTTTATAAAAGTAAACATAGATTTGAAGACCATGAACATCACTACGGTTTAGCTTAGTTATCCTTTGTTCTTATTTCATAAATTTGACTTTGATGAACTATAAACCAAGGGATACAGTTAGAATACAAACTGGCTCTCAAAACTTACCTAAAATGATCTAATCACCTACAGCAGCTCTCAAAAACCCATAAAAATTCCAATATACAATCCAAAACCTACAGCTCTCACATATGCAAAACCAAAACTTAAGAACCCCATACAATTGAAAACCCAATACAATATTAAAATTGACAAAAAAAAAGGCAAAAAAAAAAAAAGAACAAAATTGACGAAAACCCAAAACTTACATAACAAAATTGACAATTTTTTTTAATTACCGTTTTCTATGAAAAGTCTCCGGTGCTGTCGAGCCAGAGAGAGAAGAGTCAGGTCGAGACAGAGAGAGAAGGTGAGGTGGTCGAGCTCGAGTCAGATAGAAAAAGGGTGAGGTTGAGCGAGACAGAGAGAGAGTGAGGTCGGGTGAGAGAGAGAGAGAGAGGGTGAGAGCTTGAGAGAGAGAGCGAGCGATGGCGTACCGTAGCCGTACTCGTCGCCGTCGACTTCGTGACGACGAGAAATCTTGTCTTTCAGAGCTAGGGAGACGATAGAGGTTGAGAGATGGAGAGCGGCGAAAAAAATTAATTGAGATGGAGGCTGGCTGCGAGTTAGGTCAAGAGATGATGCTTATATTAGGTTAGAGTAATCCAGTGCAAGCAAGCGCGCAGTACAAGTTCCTTTTGGCCAATAATATCATGCCATGTGTCAAATTTATATATAATTAAATAATGGGCGGTTCGGTTCAGGTCCACCGGTTCAAAAAAAATTGGAACCGGAAGCTGAACCGTTGACTTCGGTTCGGGTCAGGTTCAACTTTGACTTTTTCAGTTTGGTCAAAAAAACCTTATTTTTCGGTTCGGTTTGGTTTGATTCGGTCGGTTCATTCGGTTCATCGGTTTTTATGCCCACCCCTAATAAGCAGGATGGAAGATCATCTCCGGCACAAGGAACCTTTCACTTGTCAAGTCAAATTCCTGCCCAAAAACAACAAACGCCACTCAGAAGTGGAAAACAAACACAACCAGTTACTAAATTAGCTCAAATATATAGGAGAAAGATTACATTCTTGGTAGGCCGTTGTCTTAAAGAAAAGTTTGTAACGCTAATATAGAGACCACCCAAAAAGGATAAATAAAAATGATGCTGATGGTGGGGTTCCCCACGAAATCATTTTGCCAAAATGTCAGTTAATGATCAACACTTTTTGAGTTTGCACTCACACTTCTGCTCGCTAACACACACACACTCCGTCTATTTGTAGGAGTGGTTTGGCTCCTCTATCTTAGAGAGCACGAACATCTATTAGTGGTAATGTAGGTGGAGCATGTGGACTTTATGTAATGGCCAACATAAGGTAGTGCAGTTTTCCCCTTGTCATTTTTTTATTACAAAACTTAAGGGAATGAGGGGAAATAAAATATTATAATCATAACAAAGGCAACCAAGTATAATGTTGAATAGTGAAAATGTAATTATTGTCTTCCTAATTACTAAACATTTTATTATGGTCCTTCAGGGAAAAAAATAGGTTCCCTTTAAATTTGTAACATACTTAATATGGTGCTTCAGGAAAGAAAAAAAAAACTTCATAAATTTCAAAAAAGAGATTGGCAAACTTGTCAATTACAAAAGTTCAAACCTAGGATCTCTACCATCACCACACCCATCTCACGCTACCTGAGTTAATGGGCTATGGAAGAATAACTCATTTCCAAAGTTGTGCGCATATACCAGACTATTCATCTATAAACTTCCGCCATTTCTGCAAACCAAAGCTACCTACCGAGTTGGAATTTCCGAAACGACAGTCTTTGAAGAAAGGCTTCATCAGGAGGAGAATGCTGATCTTTCAGCCATTACACTAGTGGTTCATTAAACATGGTGGGACGTCTGATACAAAATAAATATATAAAAAATGGCAAATGGTCGAACAGAATCTGTAAAAGGCAAATTCATATACAACTTGGTAACGAACAGAAATATTACATAAATTGTTTCAAAAACTCTGTGGCCACCAGCCTCCCCCGTGTGTTCACTGACATCTTTAATTCACTTATCTCTTTATCAATATCCTGTAATCCAAGAAGCAACGGAGTAAGAATCTCAAAGTATAAACATAACAGCAGAGCAAATATAGAGAACCAACATATTGATATCACACATCTTCAGAGTAAGCACTTGAAATTCCATATCAGTCAATAAAGATCCAACTAGACCGTAAAAATATCCAACAATATAAGCCTTAAGCCATATAAAATGCATGCATCCTACTGACTAATATCTATTTGACTTCCACTTACTGGATACATTCCTCTAACAGATTAACATCAGTAGCAACATAAGCAAAGAGACAGAGAGAGAAGCAAGTCAGATATGCTCCTCTTGACACTGATTACTGCCAGTGAGTAAATTTTCAAATCTAATATTAAACTGAAAAAACGAAAAAAAAATTATATATGGTTTAGCTGGATTGCTAACAAAATACCACAATTTGTGATTTGTGATAAACCAAAGGCCAAAGTCCGTTTCAATTGTTATCTCTGCGTGTAGATGATGCTGTAGTGTACCACCACATACAACACTGAACCGAAAAAATGTAAGGTTTAACTTTTGTCATGTTGTATAAGGCGGTAGTTGTAGTTGCATTGACTTAGGACACAAAAGATGAGAAGAATAATTGGAGTGTGAAAGCCTCAATGAATTTAGCTATTGATTGATTTTCTTTATGGAACCCAAACAAAAAGAAAAAAAAAGGAAAAAAAAAGGGAAAACACAAAGAAAATTGTTTCCTCAGAGTACCAGCTCCAAGGCCTCTTCGTACAAAAGGAATTCCATATGAGTTTGCATCAAAACTATAAATAGTCAAATGGCTACTATTCATGCAAAAGGACAGGAAACTTGGGTGTTCGAAACTTCACTCATTAAATTTGTGTGTTCCAGAAACAACCCACCCTACCCCAACAGAGGCAATTGGTATTCTCAAATATTAATTGACCAACTACCATTCAAAAATAAAAGGTATAAATTGAGCAATTGTTTCAAGCAGCAGTCAATTAATACATGCAATTCTATAAGGTTTGGAAATATGCTTGCCTCCATGAACTGTACAATAAAATCAATAAGCTTGTGCTTCTGCATCTCCTCGCAATGGTAATTTGTTACAAGAAAACTAATATCATAACCCTGCATAGAAAAGCATTACAAAAAGTAAATGCATATGGCAGATTAATTTACGGGGGTTCATCTTCAAATATGCTTTCATAGTGACTTAACAACATGAAAATTAACATTTTCCTACAGAAAAACAATTCCTCAAGTCAAGTTCATGGCACCCACTTAGTTTGTCAAGCAGTATAAAATTCACAAAGTCTAATTTGAACTCCATACAAGAAATCTATGTACCTGCACTGGCTTTCTCCTCAATACCTGGAATGCTTCTGCCCTCATCGATAAAAATCTAAGAAATTTTTTAGTTAGTATATTTTCAAGTTCATCTGCCTGCTTTACCTATACAAGAGAGAACACCCAAAAGAAAAGGATATAAGGAAAAAATAAATGGGATACTGATTTCCAAATTATATACAACAAAAACTCTTGCAGGTGAGAACTGTAAGCTATCCGGACAAAAAAGCAAAAGAAAAGTGAACGGCAAGTCCACTTCTAAGAAAACACAGAATCTGCAACCAACTCTATCCTAAAATAGATACAACAAAACCATATAGAAACCATAAAAAACAGCTACTATTGAGCATAGAAAAACAGAAAGCGGGTTACGACCAACTACATACTAAGATATATTCAAGTAAATATGAATACCTTGAGGCTTATGCGAAGGGAATTAATAGATGTCTCAATTAAGCATTTTTCAGCCTCATTTCGACATATCAAAACCTGCGGTAGCAATAGTAAATAATCAGTGTTAATTTTCTTTTCTGAAAAGAAAATAAAAAAAGCTCGGTAACGTGAACTTAAGATCTCCATCACATTCTTTTAGGAGTATCTGACTCATCAGAGTTCTATGTGGTCAATGACAACTTTAACATCTTGTAACCATAAGCTATGAAGTCTAGAAGTTTCACTTTTAACAGCCACAAAATATAGAGGCAAGAGCTGTTTCCTAGCATACGGCATGGACATTTAAAAGTGTAGTAATAATAAAGTAAAAAACAAAGAGTCCAGCATGCTGTCCACATTATTAGCTGTAACCTCCAGTTTTTTTATATATTCAATTTGCTTAAACCCAATAAACTATTGACCCAGAATTTGTCTAGAAAATGGTAATTATATTACTAAAAATGTTTAGGCATGAAAGGGAACTATCCTCGCCAAAATTTCTAACTCATATGACAAAGTTCACAACTTTTGGAATGTTTAAACTAGGTGTAGAAAAGTAAAATGTGAATCTTCACACAGTGCAAGGCATTAGGAAATACATATATGCTAGCGACCAACTTTTTTAAACATAACATTAGAGTACGAAGAAGAAAAGAAAAAAAAGAGGGAGGGGGGGCAACTGTTCTTTATCATATCAACAAGATGGTTCTCACAGGATTTAGCAGAAGTTCTGAGCTGGTCCTGCAAAATATGAAGAGAAGATTAAAACTTTATTGAAAAACACATCAATCAATATTTCTAAATTAGTTTAATGGCATATACTTTGAGAAAAGCATTTTTATTGTGGCCACCTTACTAGGACCTGTTTGTTTTCTCCATACAGCTTATATAACATTAAAATAAGCATTTAAGGCAGCAGCAAGTGTAATATTAAGATCAAAGTGCAACTCATAAACATACTTTAGCTCAACTTCCGGCTTGTTATGCCTTTCAACTTCTTGACAAGGAAAATTCTGCAAGCAGCATATGGTGCAAGACATAGAATCTATCAGGCATTATAAGCAAATGGACTTTTTCTCTTTTCTTTGATAGAATAAGCATTTGAAATATAATTACATGAAAACAATGAAAATTTAGTACTGGGGTCTAAGCATTAGGATTTCATGTGCGTGCTTTCAAGAACCAGAAAACAAAATTTTCTAGAATTGACAGTGCCCACCAACCAAAGTAAAAAATAAATAACAGGTCAGGCCTCACAAGACATTTTCTTTCTTTCTCTCGGTACAATCACAAGACATGGTTTAAACCGGCTTTGTACTTCAATTAAGGCTAAACTGTGAAGCAAGGATATATGAATTTACCCACTTAATATGTTTATGTACACTGTCCCATATGAAAGTTGATACAAGTGTAATATATCCAACTTTTTCTATTCATAAATATATGATGTGCTCAACATGAAAAACATACCCCTTTTTTTTTTGTCAATATACTTAAGATTCAAAGCTATATTGAAAATGAACAATTTTTTAAAGAGCTTGTACAGATTGCAGAAAGAGACCAAAAATTACTAAAATTGATAATACCTGAAGGCACATTGCGGCATCGAGAGTGTTCCTTATACACGTCAAGTACAATCGCAAAGTATTCGACTGAAAAAACAAAAAGGAAAAAATAAATGCAACCCATCACTGAAATATGCTTAATTGAGTTTAATTCAAGCTTAGAAGTCCGATGGAATACGATAATAATTGTAGTGCACATGTAATGGAAATCAAGCAAACCATGCCCTAGATACGTAAATTTGGCTCAGCAATCTCAAATTTTCTTTAGGGTCTGTTTGGCCGCCGAGAAACGTGAAATGATACTCGTAGACTTTCCCGGCAACCAAAGAGAGAGTAGAAAAAGCAGAAAAAGGATGCTGCTCATTACACATACGCGGATTAAAAAAAGTATAAAAGAGTAAAGATCCGATGGGTTTACCATTTTAGGAGCAGACAAATTGGTTCAGAAACCGGAAGGAGAGATTTTGCTGGAAATGATCGCGAGAGAGAGAGAGAGCAAACAGATTGTTTGGAGTAGTGCTATTGTGCGCTTGTGGAGTGTATTTTGAGGAAATGAGTGCTAAAATACGCGTGCTTCATAAGGAAAGTATAAAACAAAAGAAACGGAATTGGAAAAAAATCCGACCTGCCGGATTCGAACCAGCGACCTAAGGATGTCTGCTTTCAAACAACTACAGTCCTCCGCTCTACCAACTGAGCTAAGGTCGGATTGTTGAAATTATAGCCTAACAAATTATATTTAACGGTATTCAATGAAGCAGGTGTAATTATCCCAGATACTTACCACATTTAAACGTAATGGCTTCTGCTAATTGCCAAGCCGGTGAAAGAAGTTAGGAAAAAGAGTTATTTTTTTTTTTTTTTTTTTTTTTTTTTTTTTTCCCCCTCTTTTTTTTTTTTAAGTTGGTTGGTGTCAGCCAGCAAAGACCAAAGTAGTATTGAGTGTTTAGAGACACCCATGGAGAAATATTTGCTACAGTAATGATGCGCAAACATTCAAGACATGTTGCACATTTTGTACATGTTCTGGAACACAAAATGCATAAACAAGTCGAGTAAGTCAGATTACATGTGATTCATTATTATGTTAGACATCCAGTAAATTGTTAAGAAATGAGCCAATAATGTATATCAAATTCTAACAACGTCCACTTCCACGGGCACACGATTTTTCAAATGCATTCACATACGTTGAACTAGAGAACTACATGTTGACATTAGATTGATTGAGCAGTTGTCATGTAACTTGCAAGCCATTTATTTGTGTCAAACTGAACAAACACGAATATATAACTCGAGAATGTACAGTTCTTTTGTTACCCATCACTGTATAGATTTCCTATAGAATGGTTTCTTGTCCAATTTACTCCACTTTTTTTGTTACAAATTTCACTTCTTCAGGAAGACCTCAATTACTGCACCTTGATTCTTTAACTTCTTTCTCTTGTAGAAGGGAATAACTCAGACACAAACAAAATAAGAACAAAACCCAATAAGAAGGATCTCAACATCATCATTGTTTCTTCACTCTCTTTTTTCCCATGGTTTCCTCTCAACTAGCTGCTAAGCATATGACCAAGGCTAGCATAGTCAAACACAGTTCCTCTTTAACTCCCTCCCAATAATATTACAATTTGAACAAATTAAGGAAACTTCAAGGTGATTTCCCCAAAAATGTTATGTAGAATCATGAAGTACATACGTACTCTCTCTAAGACCTGCTTAAATTTCATCCTCCTCGAATGGATCTCGTTCAGGGTAGTCACCAACCTGAAATTTCATTAGTCACATTAGTCAACTCCATGAAGAAGTTGTGCAGGAAATACAAAAAGGCCACTCTATAAACAAACGCTTTCAATTAGGTCATCACAAACCAATTTCATTTAACATAAAACGCTTCAGATGGAAACAGAATTTGCACCAAAATGGTACATAACAATTTGTAAGATACAGAGGAATCCAATTGCATTTAACAGCCAATGCTGACTCCACAATTTGCAATTTACCAGGTCATCATTGAGGAATAATTCCTAAGCTGACTCTGCACTCTAACCTGGGGTTCTTCTTATGTATGACGGTATAACTTATAAGTCATAAAAATGTTACTGAAAAACAATCACACCTAGGTTAAATTGTCAAATATGAGAGAGGTTCATGCAACAAATTTTACCTCAAATCATAAACAGACTTCATTTATCATACTTTTGCAACAGGGCCCTGTGCTATGAAAGCTACAAGTCTTTCTAAACAAAACTACCAAGAAGGATATAAGTTAACTTTCAGTTCAGCCTATCCAGGGCTCAAAGGTGAGCCACAAACTGTTGTTTTGTTTGTTGAAATACCACAAATGGGTATTAAAGTTTAAAAAACAGTCATGTTCCTTGTCAAACAGCCAATGGAACCAAACAATAATATACTCCACATCTTTATAGGAAAATCAGAAAGAAAAAAAATCATTTTGAAGTATTTCCAGTATACAAATGCATACAAACCTTTACTTTGTCTGGCCGAACCATTCCACCATGAAGTGGGGGGCAATTGAAATATCGTGTTCCTTTCACCCTATAATATGAAGAAGAGGAATCTCAACCAAATAATATGCAGAAAACAGGAATGCAAAATTAAAATAGGCAATTCAAAATGTCTACTCATGGTATAGCAAAATCACAACATGAAAGAATTTGGTTCCATAGGATTTAGTAACATACCAAAGATCACCAACACTGTAATGGACACCAATTTCAAGAAATATAAGATTGTATATGCAGAATTTCAGAGGGAAGAATATTCAATATTCATCAATCTTAGAAACAAAAAAACCAAGAATAGACAATTTTATTATTGGCACGTGACATACCAAAAAAACCATCGTATGAGTCAGGAGCTCACTTACATGCCATCATGCTTTCCCAGTGGTTCATCATATTGAACTCCAATCCAGAAACCAGGAGCCAGAGATTCTGCCCGACCAACATATTTAACAACACCTCTTTTATCCCCTGGTTGAACTTCACATCTATCTCCTACCTTCAGTGTATAAGTAGGAGAACTGAGCCAATCATGAATATTGTTTCACAATAAACAAGAAAAGAAAATGCTAGTTAACAAATATGAGGAAGATTTGGAAAACCAAGAATGCTCTCAACTCCTACACAAATACAAGGAATTAAAGAAACATGATATCAACATATGTTCATATAAAATTACAGTTCAAGTGCCATCAAGAATGCTGAAGAAAATGCCCACTGCAACTGGAATGGAAACTAATCCAACTAAATGCTTGAAACCAACAAGGTAAGGAACAATCACTACTTAATGACACAACACCCTATATTATTTCGTGGAAATTTAAATGCTACAAACTTTAAAACCTTCAGATCTTAAAAAGATTAGACATAATTATGTCATTCTTGTAGTCTGTGTATGTGCCACAACGCTAACTAAGTCAGTAGTACATATAAACCAATGTAAAACTGTTTAACATGACAGACTGAGCCTTGTGGTTTGCTTGTGACCCAAGAACTACTAATACTTAAACAAAAAAGATAGGAAAAAGGAAAGAGGAAGCACACCTTGATATTCACACGGAGATCTTCCATATAGTTCTCTGGTATCTGCAAACAAAATTTCAGTCAACAAACTTATGAACATCATGCAAAGCTGACTAACAACAAAAGTTTCTCAATTTAATTCATGATTAGCATGGACCGGTAGAAGCAATGGCGTGTCATTTGATTTGACAGTCAATATGCATCTTAAAGGAATAAATAACATAGGTGATGCTCACTTTATTCTCAACAGTTGATGGGTTCTGAGATGCCAATTTGTCCTTAAATTTTTTAAAAGTCCCTGAAACGAACCACAAAAATGTGATTTCAAAGGCAAAACATATTGAACTAAGTACACTTTACAAGAACTATACACACAACAATATATTGCGTAACTTACCATCTCGTTTCTCATAAGCTTCTTGAGAAATAGTGTACTTCTCCACCAACGATGTGTCCTCAAGCCACCCACCAGAGGTCACTGATGAAGGGTCCAGATCTATAACATGTAGCCGGTAGCTTTCGATTTCAAACACAAATCATCAACAAAAATCACAAATTTAACCAAATCAAAACTCACAAATAACAAGAGAGAGAGAGAGAGAGAGGAGAGAGAGAGAGAGAGAGAGAGTTTGTGTTTGTGTGTACTGACCCGTCGTGAGGGGAATAGAAGCCTAGGGGCTTGGAGTTGTCGTCCAAAATGGAGACTTGGGTGTTGGCGTCGTCGTAGAGGTGGAGCGACATGGAATCTACAGAAGTGCCGCATTTACGCCATAGCTTGTCCTTGACGGACTCCACAGAGCTCTGGAGGGAGAAGCGGATATCGGCGGAGAAGGTCTTGAGGTTCGAATGAGTTACGCGCAACAGTACGGACTCATCTCCTTCGATCTTCTGTAACCGAGTCGCCATTTTCGTGAGTGCGAAAGCTGTGAGCAGCTCTAGCACTTTGCTCTAATCCAGGTTCACTGTAAAACTGGATTAATAAGAGAATTAGACGGAAATGTTCAATTGGGATTTTAAAATATTATTTAGGGATAAAAAGTGAGATTTTCTATTTACACCACACACTTCTCTTGGTTTAAGCCAATACTTAAATCATTAAGCTGTAAGTTTTATTATTGTGTAAAAAGACAAAAAAGGTCATCCAACTTAATACTTAATTCTAATACATCTATACACACACCCCATTACTCTTCATATTAAGAACGATAAGGGCATAAATCTATTTTATGTGCATATATATGCATGGTTGCAATGCTTTATTAGAAATCAAGGGCTCTAAATATGGGTCTCTAACATTGGAGATGTTCTTGATACACAGTTCCTATGCATTTCTTAAATAATATTAACTGTTGCAGATTTTATTGTTCAAGAATCACATAGTTTGGCAATTTACTTGTTTATGCGTTTGAATAGTTTTCGTCCAAAATCTTTATTTTGTTTCCTGAATTATTTTTTCTTCAGATCATATACCATAAACATAGCTTGTGAATTTCTTTGCAAAACTGATTATATATAATAAGGCCATACGCCAATTCCTCCAAAACTACTGCTAATAAATTCACGTTTTATCGAAAAAGAAAGTATTCACAAATGTTGTAATATATCATAAGAGCAACTCCAGTGGTTAGCTGAGCCCAAGGTTGGGGGGAGAAAAAAAAACCCAGTTCCAACGAGGAGCCCAAGCCCGGGTTGGGAATGGGACCCACGAAGATGGGCTGGCCCGAATGCCAGTTTCGTCCGAGCTCGAGCTTGAGGGCTGACGAAGTCATGCGCGACGTCATCGTGTGGGTTTAAATTTTTTTACCGTTGGCGCGTGCTGATAAGTTCATAATTTCATACATTCGCATGCCTTCTTTACTTAGTGATTTTACTTAGTTTCTCTTTATTTTGAGTCACTTACCTCTTTTTGTTTGTTTTGTAGACTAAGACAGCAAGAGATCACATTTGATGCAATCCATGCTTGTTAAGGGCTGATTGGATAAGAGGAATATGAGCTTAAAGACAAACCCAATTTGGGCCACACTCCTTGTCAGTTCAGTTTCGTAGGTCATCTTTCAGACCTCATTTCAGCAACTTACACAGGTCGGATGAGGAGACATCCTTGATAGAAGTTGTTCCAATGGGTGTCTATTATAACATATCCAAATTTCAGCCCAATTGGATAAATCTGGAGCCCACAGCACGTCAAATACTGAACCAAGTTCACAGAAATGTCATGTTGGCTGCCATCACATTTAATGTGGCTACATCCCTAGAGCCATGTGCTACACATGGGAGTGAAATTAGCTCAAGAACTCAGAAAGATGAACAAAATTCAAGCTCTAATCCATGATCATGGCGTAGTGGAGATTCAAAATATTAAAGATGGCAGAACCTTCAAGGTGAACGGACATCGGTTGAAATCTTACTTTGATGCCAACTTTGATGCCAATATTGAGTCTCAAGCACTCAAGGAGCCTCCACCACTCTCTTGAAGCTCACCAGAGTTTGGACGTCCGACTGAAGACATAAAACTTAGCGCTTCTTGGGAGGCAACCCAAGGTGACGAGGAGAAGATAGAATATGCGAGGAAGCTTGCTTGCGTCCTAATCGCTTCAAATGGGAGTTTTTCTGAACTCTAACCTTTGGTTATGTCTTTCCCTTATCTTCTTTCCTTTCATTTATGAGACATTGCTTTTTCTTACACTCTAAACATTGAGGACAATGTTTCATTTAAGTTTGGGGGGAAGGATTTAGTTATGTTGTTTCAAATTGTCAAATTTTAAAATTTTGAGTGTGTCTAATGGCCAAAAACGCAGGATTTTGTGTGTTGTTTCGTTATCCTTCCGAACACCTATGATAAGACTTGGATTTAATACTAATATGGTTTCTCAGAAATTGATAGTCATTGTTTAAGGACTTTGTGTGGTTCTGAGTTAACTCTGTCTTGCATGCCATCCTTGCACTTATTGAGCACTTTGCCGAGTTATTCCAATTTCTTGCTACTTGGAGACGTTATGCAATTCTACTTATCTCATAATCTTGGTTTTGTACTCTAGAACTTATTTGAATATCTCTTGAAACATTTTGTTGCCATACAATGCTTAGGAAGTGATTTAGGCCATGTTTGAACTGTTTGAGCCTTTCTAACCATCCCTCTACATGTATTCATCCCTAGTCAACCCATTTAAGCCTACGTTAGCCTTTCTTTGTGTAAACCATTCCTACCATAACGAACCTCTGTTTTTTTATTCTTACTTATTCTATGAGCAATTAAAGCTATCTTCAAAAGAGAGTTATAAAGAATGCAAGGTTTTTTGAGGAAAAGTGAATCATTAGTGCCATAACCCAAGTGTTGAAAAGAAATAAGTTTGGGGGTATTGGTAACTAATCAAAAGAGGTAATGAAGTGTAACCAATGTAGTCACGGCCCTAGGTGTTATAAAAGAGAAGATCATGGTGATCTATGGTAAAGAGCCACAAAATTAGGTCAAATAAACAGATATGAAGGTGTTGAAATTCTGTTGAAAATATGCTCATGTATGTGTTCCCTGCTTGTTACAAAGATCCGTAATCTCTCACACTCTTACTTATGCTTTAGTTGTTCTCAAGATGTTATATATCTATATCCCTTTTTTCATTCAACCACTACCCTAAGCCTCATTACGACCCTTGTAAAGTCCTTTTGATCCTTGGTATTATATGGTATTACTGTGGAGAGCTAATTTGATAATGAGCTTATGGGGTTCGGAATTCGTGATTTTGCTCTAAGTGTGTACACATGTACTTATTTGAGTTGCAGTGTTGTACTAATTCGGCATTTACACGCTACATTTAAGGATGTCATTGTGAGCCTTGGTTACTCTTGAATCATGTGGAACTTAGATTGTGATTGTTGTGTTTCTTTGAAACCATATATTTCGGTGATTCTTTGAGGATATTGTTTGGAAGGCTAGCAGCTTATTTCCTATTTTCTAAATGGTATTTTTTCCTTTGTTTGCTCGAGGACTAGCAAAATCTAAGTTTGGGGGGTGATAAGTTCATAATTTCATACATTCGCACGCCTTATTTACTTAGTGACTTTACTTAGTTTCTCTTTATTTTGAGTCACTTACCTCTTTTTGTTTGTTTTGTTGGTTAAGACAACAAGAGATTACATTTGATGCAATCCATGCTTGTTAAGGGCTGATTGGGATAAGAGGAATATGAGCTTAAAGACAAACCAAATTTGGGCCACACTCCTTGTCAATTCAGTTTCGTAGGTCATCTTGCAGGCCTCATTTCAGCAACTTACACAGGTCGGATGAGGAGACATCCATGATAGAAGTTGTTCTAATGGGTGTCTATTATAACATATCCCAATTTAAGCCCAAATGGATAAATGTGGAGCCCTCAGTACGTCAAATACTGAACCAAGTTCACAGAAATGTCATGTTGGCTGCCATCACATTTAATGTGGCTACATCCCTAGAGCCATGTGCTACACATGGGAGTCAAATCAACTAAGGAACTCAGAAAGATGAACAAAAGTCAAGCTTTTTATAAAGAAACCATACCAAAGCATGTATTTGGCAGCTGAAGCAGTTGGCAAGTATGTCAGTTGGAGCAGTTGGCAAGTATGGGCAGCTGGAGCAATTGGGAGCAGCTAAGAGAGGTGTGCTTCACCAGCCAAAGGGGAGGACGAAATTGCACTCTATAAGTAAAGAGCTACACACTGATTCAAGGAATGGAGTCAGATACACATTTTCATTTCATCCATTACTCTCATACACACATTCAGATTCACCACAAAGAGATAAGAGAGCTTGGAGCTGTCTTGGGAACTACATTGCTGCTAGCTAGTTCTTCTATTCTTTTTATTCTATCTATGTATTTCTTATTTTCTTTATTCATAGTTATGTCTAACTAATCCATTTAGTTAGGGCTTAGGATGAAGCCCTAGTCATGAATATTCAATGTTATGGATGATTTTATAGTTAATTGATTTCCTTACTTTCATTATCAAGTTGTTAATCTCCAGTTTATTATGTGCTTGATGTATGTTTTCTTGGAGTAGCTAACTAGGATTTTATGCATCTAGCACTGGTTGGGAAGGGGTTTAGATTCACCAATTCTACTCTCCTTTCACAAGCAACATATGAATGACCTAAGAATCATTCAAGGGGTTAATAACCATAGGTTGACTAGGACAGATATCATGTTCTAGGACTTGTGTGATTATCATATTCTCATGGAGCTTAATGACTCTTGTATGCTTTATTCTAAGTAGATACCATGCTTAGGTTGCATATTAGAGATCACGTGTTGTGTAGATACCATGCACAATTACATGCCTTAGGAGAATCATGCATCCTGCACCTAGATACCATAGGTTTGTATGCGATAATCTATTGTTGATGAAGCTTGAGTTAATTTCTATGTATTCATAACTTAGATAGGAAAACTAGTGGTGGATTCCAAGGCTCTAACACCTCTCAATTATTATTTCATAGTCTGTTAATTGCAGCTAGTGTTTACTTTCGAGTACTTTCATTTCACTTTCTTCTTTTCATTTCAACAACAAAAACCCCCCATTTCGAGTGCTTGTGTGGTGCTAGGATTCTGTCCTAGACCTTGAGTAATTAGCAAGAGGCATTGTTGAATTCGACCTTGCCTTTAGCTAGTTAGTCAGTTTCTTTGTTCTATGTTTTTCTAGCATTCTAAGTAACTTAACTTGGAACCAAGTTACCATTCTCCTTGGGATCGACCTCGTATTTACATAAGCTATACTATAAACGGTTCGTGCACTTGCGAGAATTAAAGTTGTTGTTTTTCATAACTCATTTTAGTTGTTAAGAATTGGTTCAACACGTGCAATGCACATGCCAACGGTAAAAAAAATTTAAACTCATGTGCGCTGACATCAATCTTGCGCAAGTTCCAACAGGTAGAAAACAAGTGTTAAGCCCTGGGCGCTCCGATCAGCTTCTCCTCCTCCAATCCAACGGCTGTCATTTTTTTGACAATAAAATTATAAAAAAAAATCGAATTTTTTTTATAAAAATACCAAAAAATTCTAAATTTTTTTTTTCTATAAATACATATCAATACCCTTCACTTTCAACACAAATCCTCATACATTTTCTTCTACTTCTACTATTATTCACTCTTTACTCAACATTTTCCTCTCTTTCAAATTGTATTTTTATTTCTTATATTTATGGCTTCTTCTATCGAAACTGGAGAGGCGTGGAGCACCATGGAAGATGTTTCCTTATGTGAGGCTTGGCTCCAAATTTGTCATTGTCCCGTGTCAGGCAATGAGATAAATTTTTTCATATGTGGAAAAAAATTTATGCCGAATTTTGTGAAAAAATTCCGGGGTCGACTCGTATGGAAATGTTATTGTCTAGTATGTGGAAAATTCTCAATAAAGAGTTGTGAAAATGGAGGGATGCCTGGGCAAAAGCGATGGACAACAATAGAAGCGGGGAAAATCTTAGTAACGAGGTAAGTATTTTGTAATTTTCATTTTATTAAGTTTAATGTCCTAATATATATATATATATATATATATTTTATGTTTATTGCATTTTCAATATTTTGTTAATATTTCTTGCATTTACAATATTTTGTTAATATTTATTGCATTTTCAATATTTTGTTAATATTTCTTGCATTTCCAATTGTTTCTTAATATTTCTTGCACTTCCAATATATTTGTAAGGTTAATCACATTTCCATTATTTTTTTTTGTTACTTGCATATCCAATATATTTTAAATATTTCTTGCATTTCCATTATCTTTTTTAATAGATGATTCAAGCACAAATGTGGTTTGGTGCAACTGGGCAAGGCAAAAAGAGTTTCAACCATCATGAATGTTGGGAGGTGGTGAAAAATTGTAAACGCTTCAGAATTATTCCCACGGGTCCCACCGTTATGTTAAACGAGACGCCACTCCAAGATTCAATGACATCGAATTCACCTCTCGATTCCCCTATGAGTCAAGACTCACCCATTGAAAAGGAGCCAAGGCTTATTGGCCGAAAGGCTGCGAAGGCAAAGAAATAGGGTAATTCGAGCAGTAATACATCAAAATTTTTGGAGGAAATTGCAAGGCAGAGCGCCATAAGAGTTGAAATTGAGCAGAAACGATAAGAGAACGAGATGGCAATGCGAGCAGAATATGCACAACAAAGGGAGTATTTGCGCAAAAAAGAGATGGACAAGACGGATCGGGAAACCATGGCGATGGATACAAGTCATATATCCCCTGAAACAAAACAATTTTGAACGCTAGAACGAAGAGATGTTATGAGAAGAAGACTTTTCCAGGATGATGGGCCTAGCAACACGGATTGGTTAAATGATCAAAACCATTAAATTAGTTGGCATACCTTTTATGTATTTGTATTTTTCATATTTTCTATTAAAGTTGTTGTAATTCATGTATTTTATTTTAGTAATAGTAATTCTTAATGACTTGTATTGGCTTTCTTTATTTAATAAACAAAGCATTCAATAAAATATCTTTTTATTCAACATATTCCATACATCAAACAAAACATAATTAAAAGGAAAAACCACAACCAAAGCATAATAAAAAATAAAATAAAAACTACAAGCAAGGCACAATAATAATAACAAACCACAACCAAACCATAATAAATAAAAAAACAACACAACCAAACCATAACTAAATAAAACCTAACAAAAGCAGCTATTCTCCATCATTCATCTTCATTGTCTTTCACTGCCCATAGATGCTCCAATAAGTCAAGTTGACGCTTTTCATGAATATACGAAGATTGCATCTCTGTATATCGATCTATCATACGAGTCATGAAACGATCATCCCTCACCAATGGATCCGGCTCAAACAGTTCTCCACTTGGCCCCATGAGCCTTTCATAAATTCGTGTCAAGGTCGTGTTCATGGGATCCGGTTCGTAGACCTCTGCAGCATCATAATAATACTCATCCTTCACAATCATATTATGGAGGATGATGCAAGTCATCATAATGCTTCTGAGGACCTCTTCATCAAACATACAGGTCACACCTTAAATAATCAACCACCGAGCTTGAAGGATGCCAAAACACCTTTCGACATCTTTCCTGTATCCTTCTTGATAGGTAGCAAATAAATTTTGCTTATGGGATTTGGGATTCGGAATGGATTTGACAAATGTGGTCCACCTCGGGTAGATGCCGTCAGTTAGATAATACCTCGTCTCGTATATTGTATTGTTGACTTGATGAGTGATATTGGGGCCTTGGCCTCTCAAAACATCGTTGAAGACCAGGAATTGAACCAGCACGTTGAGGTCATTTTGGGATTCGGCAACTCCGAAGAAGGCATGCCAAACCCATGTGTCGAAGCCAGCAACGGCTTCAAGGATGATACTTTTTTAGCCTTTTCTATTTCCGTAATCACCTTGCAAGGCAGTTGGGCAATTCTTCCATTGCCAGTGCATGCAGTCGATGCTACCAATCATTCCTGGAAATCCTCGAGCTTCGGCTTTTTGTAGAAGCCGTTGGAGGTCCTTGGGAGTAGGTCTGCGCAGGTAGTCCCTAGTGTACAGAGTTTCAACTGCATCACAAAATCTTACCAAGGCCTCCAACGTAGTGGACTTCCCCATCCGAGCAATCTCATCCACCTGATCAGCAGATGCTCCATACGCCAACATTCGTATAACAGCTGTAAGCTTTTGCTCCGGAAGAAGTCCCAAAACCCTAGCAGCATCACACTTTTGAACAAAGTATACATCATAATTGCAAATATCGTGCATGACTTTATTGAACAAATGGGGTTGCATTCTAAATCACCTTCGAAAATCAACATCAGAGTACAAAGAAGTTGGGATAAAATAATCTTCCAAAAGATTCTTACCCCGAGAATGTCTATGTCTGTCCACATTCCGCGACGGCCGACTTGTGAACCAGGGCGATGACCTTGGTTCTTTTCATCAAGCAAAGCCACTGCTATGACAACTTGTTCATCTTCTTCTCTCTGCAACATATTTCTTTCATCTACCCTACGGCTTCTCTCATTTGTTTCTCTCTCTTGCCTCTCCAAGCATCTCCCAAAATCTTCCATTTGAGAATGGAGTATGAATTCTACACTCTGAGAAATGAAAATATAGAAAGATGTGGTGTGAGAAGTATGAGCTGAGCCTCTGGTTTTATTGAAAATTTTGGCCAAATAGAGATGCCACGTGGCTTGATTTGATTGGATGAAAATCTTATCTGAAATTTGAAATTTGAAATTTATTTGAATTTTGAATTTTGAAATTCATCCGAAATTTGAACCCAAATTTATCTGAAATTTGAATTTTGAAATTCATCCGAAATTTGAACCCAAAAATTTATCTGAATTTTGAATTTTGAAATTCATCAGAAATTTAAACCCAAAAATCTTATCCGGAAATTTTATCCAATTATGAATAGTCTTGACACGTAGGAACCCGAAAATTTTATCCGAAAATATTATCCAAATTAATTATTGAGGTAAAAAATTTTGTAAAAAAACAAAAAAATGAATAGTAATTGCCCTTTGCCATGACAACGGGTGAAAACACACAATACTATTTGCAAGGGCAACCACTATTCACGTGAATAGTGTCTGCCCTAGCTTCCCCCTTGCCATGGCAAAGGGAAAATGGGTGGAGTTGCTCTAAGACCTAGGACTTGAGTTCCAAAAGTTCAACTTGGCAAGTCTTTGAACCCCTTGGGAACTTCGAAAGTTCCTGCCGTGACATCATCTCTTCTGCTACACCCAAATCATTGGTATAACAAATTGTACCTCGCCATGCTTTAGCAAATACTTTGACACCTCCATCTCGTTTAGCTTCCCGTGGAATCCCCGTATGCAAATAGTTTTGAGGTTGGACAACAAGCATACAGGCACAAATTCTGGTGGACGCCATTCATGTGCTACTAGATAACCCTCAGCATGTTTCCAACACCACTGTATGTTCTAGAGATTATTCAAAATTAATGAATTAGCACTAGAGCTTGCAGAACATACTTCCTCCTCTAAGGGTAGCTTGTGGGGTTTAAATAGAAAATTTCTTTTATTTCTTATTTTTTCAGCTTGGGGTGTATTTAAGGGTAGTTTGGAAAGATAGTGAGGTTTTCTTAGGAATTGTGAAAATTTAAATTAAAAGTTGGGGTGAACTAAGAGAAGTGTGGGGTTTAAATAGAAAATCTCTAAAAATTCTACTGGATTTAACAAGAATGCAATAGCAGTTTCACTCATTTGCCATGGCAAAGACAAGGGTAGGCAAGAGTAGATACTATTAATATGAATAGTGTCAGCCCTTGCAAAAGGCAAGGTGTATTTCCACCCATTGTTGAGATGGCAACTTTCTCTGCACGGAAGGATCTTTGAGGGGATTTGACCCTAATGGGTTAGGTATGAAGGACAAAAAATGGGTATGCAGATAGATACGGGGAATGTTTTGGGTATGATGTTCAGGGAGGGGAGGGGATAGTATTTTAATTCCCAACCCAAACCCTCCCTATTTAGAATATACACATATATATATATGGGGGCGGATCCGTGGCACCATATTTTTACACAATTTTTGGGTCATTAGATTACTCCACTTTTAATAGTTGATATTAAACCTGACAGGGCAAAACAATATTTTTTTCTTTAATTAATATTTATACATTGTGATTAAAATTATGATACCATATTAATTAAGAATTCATTCTCTCTCATCTCATTAATTATCTTCAATTAATTCATTCTCTCTCTTCTAAAGAGAATTGACACCTCTCTCTCTCTCTCTCTCTCTCTCTCTCTCTCTCTCGCGTCCTATTCTCATCCCCAAAGCCACCTTCACCACCACCACCACTCCAACCCCTACCCTACCTAAACCACAAATCACAGGGACTCTCTCTCTCTCTCTCTCTCTCTCTCTCTCCAGTAATGCCTCAAGGAAAGAGGGCTCTTGAAATGAAAGATATACAAGAACCCAAAATTCAAACAGCATTGCTAGTCCGAGCTACTCTCTTAGCTTCTTCCAAATCTTTCAAGAACCTGTTTTTCCCAGCCAAACAATAATTGGAGTGGAGCATCTCATATTAGACAATTTCAATAACCTACAGTAATTCATTAGAATAGCCTCAAATAATTACAACATGTTGATGCTCTTTTTGGAAGGGTCAACTTAGATAGAGGTGGAATGGTGGATGATGTGTGAAGACGTGGGCCTTCAGTATGTGTGTGAAGGTTTTGGGCAAGCGATAAATATACAGAAGACAAGATATACGTGGTTCACTCTTGATGAATAGGCTACGTCCACGGAGAAGTATATTCTCATTATGATAATGTTTGTTTACATTTGTACAAGGGGATTAGACCCAAAGATAAATGGAAGAAAGCCCAAGGCCTAAGGTACTAAGCCCAAAAATCCAAGACCCAAGACCCGGAGACCAGGAGACCAGGAGACCAGAAGAGAGTCCCTCAAAAGCCCGTCCCCTTCTAAGGAAAGAGTAGTCTTCTTTTATAGGTGAGGGAGAGTCTTCATCTCTTGTAGTTTTTCGATGTGGGACTTGTACAGCTTGCCCCGGTGGTGACACGTGTCCTTGGAGATTAGGTTCGGCAGTCATAAGTTTTGGCAGATGGCTGGCTACTTCTGAAGTTTCTTCCTTCGGCAGGTTGGAAGGTGATGACATCTTAAAGCATGGCACGTGGATGGTCTAGGTCAGCTAGTTGCTCGGTCAGTTACAGTACCAACACAACATATAATTGAAAACCTCTAACAGTTGATGCATATATACTTGTACCAAAATCTCTTAGAGCATCCACAATGGGCTCCCTAAACTACCTTCTTAGACAAATTTTAGAGAGGAATCGTAAAAATGCAACTCCAACTATACTCCCTATCCACCTCATAAAATAGGGAATTCTCTAGGAGCTCCTAAATTTGATGAGAGAGAAAGGACTCCTAGTGGCTCCCTATAATTTAATGCTGCTTTATTTAATGAGTATTTCAAACCTTTATGCTAACTATTTTTATTATTATTTTTTAAAATAGAGATGGACCAATCAAAAAAGAGTTATAGCATTTATGACTCTCCAAATTATGGAGTATGGTTGGAGTTGAAATTTTTTAGAGAGCTCCTAAAATAGCTTTCTTATATTTTTGGCTAAATTTTAGCTAAGAAATAGAGAGCATCATTGTGGATGCTCTTAAGCAACTGTCTACTAAGCACAACCTCCCATTGTCCAGGATTGATCAGGCGAGTGGATGCTTAATTATCATGTCCTCAAAACTTTCTAGGAACTAATATGCTAGATGAATGGTAACTATATGGAGAGAGAGAGAGAGAGAGAGAGAGAGAGAGAGAGAGAGGAGAGAGAGAGAGAGGAGAGAGAGAGAGAGAGAGAGGAGAGAGATTAGATTATCAAGAAAAAAAGAATATTACCAAGAAGAGAGATGACGTTTCCAAGAAAAAAGGGAGGAGAGAGAAAATTATTTTATTTTATTTTTATGAGAGAGAAAATAAAATTAATGATTGTTTTTATTTAAAACATTAAAATTATTTCTCATGTTAGATTTAATCTCAACCATTAAAAGTGGAGTAATTTAATTGCTCAAAAATTGTGTCAAAACTTGTGTCAAAAATATGGTGTCACGTATATATGAATAAGCTATTAAAGTGATTGTATCACTTATTAATTTAGTTAACTTCTAGTCCATATATAAACATTCTTATATTTTCTTATAAGTATAATATATATATATATATATATATATATAGGGGGCGGATCTGTGGCACTACGTTTTTTACACAAGTTTTGACACAATTTTTGGGCCATTAGATTACTCCACTTTCAATGGTTGAGATTAAATATTACATGGCAGGTAGTTTAAATTATTTTAAATAGACAATCACTAATTTTATTTTCTCTCTCATAAAAATAAAAGAAAATTTTTCTCTCTCCAACCTTTTTGCTAGAAGACATAATCTCTCTTGCCTCTTTAATCTCAGATATTTATTAGGGTCTAATAAATAAAGAATCTCTCCAAAAACTAAATGCCCAAACCACAGTCCCACATTGCACGCCTCTCACCTCATTAATCTCAAATATTTATTAAGGTCTAATAAGGACTCTTTTTAGTTTATCCTTCTTCATGCACAACATCAGGGACGTACCCACTAGCAAGCTAACCTGGGCTAAAGCCCAGGTTTAAAAGTTAAATACTCTAGCCTAGGTCAGAAAACATACAAATAAAAAAAGAAAATAAAAGGAAAATAAAATTATTGGTTCTTTGCCATCAATCAGTGGCTGCAAATGGCAACCAATTTTATCATAATTACTTTCAATTTCAAACAAACCTTCATCCAAATAAGTATTATTAACTATTCCCATTAGGACTAGGCTATCTAAATAAAATATTATTAACTAATCCCACTAGAACTAGGCTGACCAACAAATAAATAAAAAGAACTAAACCCTACACCCCACGTGAAAAAAATTAGACTCCCACTAGGCATAGACATTCCCTCTCTCCTTTATCAAAACAAAAAAAAACAAAAAAGAAAAGAAAAGAAAGAAAAAGAATTCTCTCTATTGCATCCGCTAACAGCTAACTCCCGCTCTTCAACAAGAAGGAAAATTATGCATGTCCACGGACTTAATTAAAGCAAACTAAGGTAATCTTCCATTCTTCATCTTCTTTTCTTTTGAAATTTTGGGGATTATTTAGGGTTTATGAAGTATCAATTAGGGATTTACAGTTAAGGTTTATCAATTAGTTTTTTGATTTTGGTGTTCTTGCTTGCTTGTATGAGTTGTCAATTGGGAATTTTAACTAACTATTTAAGTATGTAATGTTTTTCTTGAATTTTTTTGGGTGTATATGTTTACATCTTCTATATATTATTCAATAGGTTATACTTTATAATGTCGGGTCAACATCGTAATGTTAAGAGATCAAGGACCATTCAAGATTTTTTAAAGAGAAACAATGATGAATCATCAACTAGCATGCCTTCGGGTCCTTCTCTATCTCCTCCAATTTGTGAGGAGCAACCTCCTTCTCAACCTCAAAGAATTGAAGATGAAACTGTAAGAGTCGAGTCTCATCAAGAAGTTACTACCAATTCTCTTGAGCGTGATCCCGGATTACGTCCTCAAATAGACACATATCCACTTAATGAACGAGATAATGTTCGAAGAGCATATATTCTTTTAGGACCATGTCAACCACAATTAAAGGAATTCCATCACACTTAGAAGGGAAACAAAAGCGTCGATTTGTTGGTAGTTGGTATAAGCAATACCATTGGCTTGAGTATAGTGTTCATAAAGACAAAGTGTTTTGCTTTCCATGCTTCCTTTTTGACATTGATCACTTACATAAGGCATTCACTGTAGAAGGATTTAGAAGTTGGAGAAGAGTTGGTGGAAAAGAGTGTGTTTTCCTTATTCATATAGGCAATATAAATTCACCACATCATTTTGCTATACAAAAGTGGATGGGACTCACCATATTGACAGAGTAGTGCAAACCCCACAAGAAGTTGCAAAAAACCGATTGAGGCTTACAACCACAATAGAGGCGATTAGGTATCTAGCAAATCAAGGAATGGCTTTTAAAGGTGATGATGAATCTTATGACTCCTCTAATCGAGGCAATTTCATTGAGTTAGTAAAGGCTTTTGCAAGAATGAATGTAAACATTGAAAAAGTTGTGTTACAAAATGCTCCCTTGAATGCCCAATATATTTCAAATAAGATACAAAAGGAGATCTTAAGTATCTATTCTACCAAAGTGAGAAAAAGGATACGCAATGAAATTAGGGAAGATGGGAAATTTTGTATTCTTGTTGATGAAGCGCTAGACGACTCTAAGAAGGAACAAATGGCTATTGTCATAAGGATTGTTGGTTGTGATGGGCATATTAAAGAAAGGTTTTTTGATATTTGTGAGTGTTCATGACACCAACTCCTCAACTCTTAAAAGTAATATTTGTAAAGTTCTTGGCAAGCATAATCTTTTAGTGAGCAATATGCGTGGTCAAGGATATGATGGTGCTAGCAATATGCGTGGTGAATGGAGTGGCTTACAAGCATTATTTCTCAATGATTGTCCATATGCATATTATATACACTGCTTTGCTCATCGTCTTCAATTAGCTTTAAATGGTGCAGCTAAAGAGGTAGGACTCGTTTGGAGATTTTTTTCAATGTTGAATAACATTGTGAATTTTGTTGGTGCTTCTGCCAAACGTCATTCTGAGTTAAAATTAACCCGACAAGCTGAAATTGAAGAATTACTAGCTGCTGGAAGAGTTGGGACAGCTAAAGGGGCTAATCAAATTCGTTGTTTGCAACGACCTGGAAGTACTTGTTGGGGGTCACATTTTAATTCTATTAGGAGTTTGATTGATTTATTTGGTGCAACCAAGACACTTCTAATGGATATCAGTCATAATGGACCTACCTCACAATTTCGTGGCGAAGCAAAAAGTATTAAAATATCTATGTTATCTTTTGACTTTGTTTTTGCCTTGAAATTGTTGGACAAAACTATGAGATTCACTGATTTTCTTTGTCAAGAACTTCAAAGAAAATCTCAAGACATTGTAAAGGCTTTGAATTTGGTTGCAAGTACAAAAAAGGAGCTCGATGAGTTGAGAAATAATGGGTGGAATGATTTTATACAGAGTGTGCAATCATTTTGTGAAGAACATGATCTTAACATGCCTAATATGGGTGCCCGTCATACAATAGGCACTCGCCGTTCTTGTCAACAAAGAGATTGTATCACAGTTGAGCATTATTATCATATTGATGTATTCAATGAGGTAATAAATTATCAATTGGGGGAGTTAAATACTAGATTTCCAGATGAGACTGTGGAACTCCTTTCTCTTAGCTCAGCATTAGATCCTCGTGATGCTTTCAAGCGATTTAACATTGATGATATATGCACTCTTGCTGAGAAATTTTACCATTTAGATTTCGCTACAACTGAGTTGCATGCTTGAAATCAGCAATTGAGATTTTATAAGATTGATATGGATCGCATTGAAGCCTTCAAGAATATTGATTCCATCCCTATATTACTTGAGCGCTTAATTGAAACAAAATTAGCAGAAACATACTACTTGATTGAAAAATTGATTCGTTTGGTGCTAACTCTTCCTGTGTCTACAGCAACAACAGAACGAGCATTTTCATGTATGAGACTTATTAAAAATCGACTTTGGAATAAGATAGGTGATGAGTTTCTTGCTGATTGTATGCTACTTCATATTGAAAGAGAATTAGTTGATAATATAGATAATGAATCAATAACTAGTGATTTTAATGCTGTGAAGACTCGAAGGGTGCAACTTAAATAAGTATTATTTGAGGAGGTAAGGCTCATTACGTCCCCCCCGTGTATTTTTTTGTTATCAATGAAATTTACTCGTGCCGTTGAGTTTTCAATAGGTTTGTACGTAAGCTAAATTTAGCCCATGTCATTTTGAAATCCTGGGTCCGTCCTTGCACAACATATACGCAACCATGAATTCATCTTCAGTATAGTTCTTTTATGTCAAAGCAATTTCTCATATCTAAATACAATATTGCCTCATCAAAATATTGGAGCACACACAAGATATTTCCTCCAACTCTCAGTGCATATCTTTGGTATGTTACCTTCATATGAGAATTTTTTATTTTATTTTATTTTTTTATCTTTGTTGTAGCTCTTCCCGTAGACAATTAGGAATGCTGAATTTTTTATTTTTTTGTAAATAAGATGTTATATGATTGACAAGCAATAATAACATAAGAATTATTTTTTAAAATCAGTATGAAAGTTTATTCCATTATATTTCATCTTGCATTAATATTTTGATACAGAGATAATTATATTCTTCATTTTCATATATATCTTATTAACATATGTATAATATTTTTCTAAGTTGCATATTTAAGAATGATTAATATGTTCAATAGGTGAATAAACAATTTTTGTTTTTCATACACATATAGCACGTAGACCAATGAAATCTTCCTCATCAAATAAGCTTCTACAGCAGATCACCTTCCATAGGTGAAATCACAGTAATAAAAGAGATATTTAGTGATATACCCATTCTTAGCATTAATATTATAAATAAACCATACACCATTGAATTTCTATAAACAAACCCTAAAAAAACCCCAAAAAATGACAGCTGGCCTTATGAATTTAATATTAATTATTAAATTACTTTGATGCCTATTGAGTGTTTTGGGTATTTTTATGAGATTTTGGAGTTGAGCTTGTTTTAAGAAATTGATGGCAGTTTTGTAATTTATAAGAAGTTAAAAGTCTATTTATTATGTTGTAAATGGGTTTTGGGTGTGTTTATAAAGTCCATTTCATATGATGTATTTTATAATTTGGGCTCCTATATTAGGTATAATAGTGAATCTCCCTAATAAAAAAGGTTGGGCTATAAACTGAAGTAGCTCTTTCTTCCCAGTGGCAACCACAGCAAAATCAGAAAAATGAACTTTCATAAAAGCCACCCGTGGGCAAAAAACCCAAAACTAACAACCATGTAATATTTAATGATTGTCTATTTAAAATAATTAATGATTTCCAGCAAAAAGGTTGGAGAGAAAAATTTTCTTTTATTTTTATGAGAGAGAAAATAAAATTAATGATTGTCTATTTAAAATAATTAAAACTACTTGTCATGTAATATTTAATCTCAACCATTGAAGGTGGAGTAATCTAATGGCCCAAAAATTGTGTCAAATCTTGTGTTAAAAACGTAGTGCCATGGATCCGCCCCCATATATAAATATATATACATATATATATAGCTTCCATTAAGGGATCCCTTAAATAAGCTTATTTGAGGGACACCCCTTGTAGGCCCCACTATGGATTGTATTTTACTAATCCAAACCGTCTATTTTGTAGATACTCATTCAAAGATCATCTCTACAAAAAATCACTTGAATCCGATATCATTTGACCACTCAATTGAGTTATTGAAATTTTAGTACTTTCTTGAAGCACCGTGTTCATTGATTTTGTAAGACACAATTGGATGTCGAAACGGTTTGCGATTTGTCTAATTTTTTGTAAGGATGATCTATGAATGAAGACCTAAAAAGTATATGGTTTGGATCGTTGGAAAAAAAATTGTAGGATACCCTAAAGGGCGTTCCTCAAATAAAATTATTTGAGGGATCCCTCAATAGAAGGGGACTGTATATATAGAGCTTCCATTAAGGAATCCCTTAAATAAGCTTATTTGAGGGACACCCCTTGTAGGCCCCACTCCGGATTGTATTTCACTAATCCAAACCATCTATTTTATAGATACTCATTCAAAGATCATCTCTACAAAAAATTACTTGAATCCGATATCATTTGACCACTTATTTGAGTGATTGAAATTTTAGTACTTTCTTAAAACATCATGTTCATTGATTTTGTAAGACACAATTGGATGTATACACGGTTTCCGATTTGTCTAATTTTTGTAAGGATGATCTCTGAATGAAAACCTAAAAAATAGATGGTTTGGATCATTGGGAAAAAAATTGTAGGGTACCCTAAAGGGTGTCCCTCAAATAAAATTATTTGAGGGATCCCTCAATAGAAGGGGACTGTATATATACTAGCCCCTTGGCATATGCTCACGCATGTGCCAATTGGTTTTATTTTTTATTTTTATTTTATTTTTAGAAATTAAAATATAATATGGGTAGTTATGTTCTATAAAAGTAGGACCTATTATCTGATTTTGTTTTTAATTTAAATTTTTTAAATATAAAAAATGTGAATTTACCATAAAATTCTCATTTAATTAATAATTCAATTCTTAATGTTTGAATTAACAAAGTGAATTTTCTTGTATTTTGAACACCATTTTCTGCCTTTAGTTTATATATCTAGATATATATATATTTATTATCTTGCCTTAATACTTTTTTTTTCTTCAACAAGTAGTTATATATTGATTTTTTCTTCTATAATGAGGTGGGTCGGGGAACCCATTCCCCAACGAATGTGGGGATGGGGAATCCCTGATATAAATATTGCGGGTATAAAGGCGGGGATGAGGGGAAAAATGCTTAATGAGGATGGGGATGGAAATGGCATACACACCCTTGATTCGACCCATTGTCATCCCTAATTGTCATGGTAAAGGGCAATTAATTTTCACTTTAAATTAATTTTTATTTTTTATACATGAACAATTAATTTTGATAGGGTTTAAAGTTTTGGTGTGGGACCCAAAGAATATGGTTAGGTATTTATTTAAACTGAATTTTTTGTTTTTTGTTTTCCTTTTGTTTTTCTTTTTTATTATTATTTAAATTGGCTTCTGACGTCAGCATTACGTCACTTGCCCAAGCAGCAGCACAAACTGGATTTGCCTGTGGGCTTGCCCGGGTTGGTAGCCCCATGCCTTGCCCAGGCTTGCTCTTGCGAGCTAGAGCTGTTACGCGAGCCTAGGCCCTCTCCTGCCCAGGCTTCTCCTGACCGCTGGAAGTGCTCTAAAGGCACCCCCAGGTGGGGATGGCTACATTTAACCCTTTAAAAAATGATTTTTATAAGAAATAGTGGTTATGCTACATTTTAACCATCTCCAACAGCAAATGGCTAAATTTAATATTTTGATAGTTTTTAGTATATTATGTAAATTTATTAGTTAATTTAATTAAACTATTATTTATATCCTATTTAAAATACATTTTAGAAGGGAAAGATATTTTGGGATAGGATTTTTTACATCCATGTGTCGGCATGCGATTAGCCCTATAGATTTATGATTATATTTTTTTTTGTTCTAAAGCAAGTTAAAAATTAATTTAAATGAAAAAAGATGAAGGATAGTTTGTAAAAGATTGAAGAAATTGTGAAATTATATAAAAGGATGAAATTGAGGAAAGATAATATGTAAAATGATGAAGATGTTGTGAGAAATTATATAAGAATGAGGTAGTTATTTATACAAAAAAAAATTAGAATAGATTTAACTATCCATCATCTCTCTTTAATTTACAGAAGATTAGCCATTCGCATTTAATCCAATAGCAACAAAATGGAAAAGAAAAATGCCTATAGACATGCATCAAGTGTAGAGAAGGATGATGAGAGTACACATTGAATTAAAGTGATGAGCAAAAATAATCCCATACTTTGTCGTCTATATCTTTTCTCCCTCTATTTGATGAACTGCTATATTGGATGAACTCCTCAAATTCAAGCACATGCTTTGTTCGAATTATTTACACACGTCATAGCAACAAAATGGAAAAGAAAAATTTCTTGTATAGGCCGTCTACCTCCCTTACTTTATGAAATTATTTTTCATGCCTATGGACACGTGTTAAGTGTTGAAAAAGATGATAAGAATACACATTGGATTAAAGTAACGAGCAAAAATAATCCCATGCTTTGTCGTCTATATCTTTTCTCCCTCTATTTGATGAACTGCTATATTGGATGAACTCCTCAAATTCAAGCACATGCCTTGTGCGAATTATTTACACACGTCATAGACTATATAAAGTGTGTTTCTATACTTTCAATATATATATATATATATATATATATATTATATAGAAACACATGCCATGACTATATAATATTCAGGCCATAGACTATTAATTATTTACATATATATTATATAGTCTTGTTCAAATTCAAACACACATGCCTTGCTTGAATTGAATTGATAAGTAGATGAGAGATCATGACACTTCAACTCAAACGCAGACCAACTTGAAAGGCAGGTCATATATCATGTATGTTCATCTTTGGTTATACATACTGACACGCAGGCCATATATTCAAACACAAAATATCTTTGGCTATATTATTCGTTGGGCCTTTGAACCCAAACGTGAATATCAGAAGGTGTTCATCTTCTCTAACAGAGAGAGAGAGATAAAAAAAATCCCACGTAAAAAAATCGTGAATATGAAAGGGCCTTTGAACTCAAACGCAAGTATGTTCATCTTCTCTATTTAAAAGATGTACATACAGATGATATACAAGCGATAGTCTAAACTAAAGGAAAGTGAATTTCTCACACACACAACTAATATGCCATGGGGTTTTCCACTCTGATAAAAAACGTTTAATAATAGCCTTTTTAACGTCTCTAAGGTTAATGAAACTATCAAATTGCGTTTTTTTGGTTTTCAAAGTTTAACATGGGCGCTTACGAATAGCCCATATCATAAGCTTCCGTCAAAAAACATGTTAGATTGCTGACGTGGCACAAAGATGGTACTCGCATATCCAATAAAATCAAAACATGACTAAAAGACAAAGCTATAAATCATATTTTTAGAATATTTTTTTTATTTAATTCACTTGGTGATATCATTAGATATATGAGTCCTATTTAATATGTCACATCAACAATCTAACATATTTTTGAACACAAACTTATGGCATGGATTATTTGTGAGCACCATTAATCTTGAGATCACAAATGACAAAAAAATAAGATGTAACATGATAGTTTGGTTAACTTCAAAAACATTTTGTGATAAAAAGCCCTTAATAATAATTTTTGTGCTGATATGCATGTTCAAAATGCTTCTTTCATATTTTGTTTTCTGTTTTATTTTTATTTGTATGGAATTTTTGTGAGACATAAATTCGTACTTTCGGATATTAAAATTGATTTGAACTTGTCAAAATTGAAAATTACAGGATCGAATTCAGAATTTCCAATCCAACTTACACCCCTAAACTAGTTGAGCTATTCTAAACCATTAGCCCCTAAACCAGGTGAGCATGTGCCAATTGGTTTTATTTTATATTTTATATTTTATTTTTAGAATTAAAAAAAGATAACATGGGTATTTATGTTCCATAAAAGTAGGTCATATTATTCGATTTTGTTTTTAATTTTAATTTTTTTAATATAAAAAATGTGAAATTACCATATTATCCTCATTTAATTAATAATTTCAATTCTTAATGTTTGAATTGACTAAGAGTATTTTATGATATTTTGAATGTTTCACCATTCTCTGCATAGATATTAAGCTGGGTTAATTAATCAGAAAGTTGGGTATAAATAGAGGCCACCAATGTATTTGTTCTTTATACATAGAGAGAGATTCAATCACCGGAATTAAAGAAAGAGAGTGGCGGTTGAAGTGGACTGTGTAAGAAAGAAGCTCAATTTCTCAAACAATGCGAAGGTAAATCAACTACCATTTTCTCGCTCCGATTCAGAACTTTCCCGATAACGAAACACAAGTGGTCATAATTTTCTTTGGTTGATTTGATGCAGACCGGGGCTTTATAATCGGCAGCATGCGAAGCAAGCAGGAGCGGTGAAGGGCATGATTGGGAGGCTATTGATCGCTGTTGTGGTTGTCATCTGCACCATTTCGTTCCTGGTTTTGTGGACGAGCAGTGGCGGTGGTCCATCCGGCTTTCGCCCTGAGGTTAGTCTGAAGCTGGGTTTAGAATCATCCTGTTCAATTTTAGTTAGTATAGATTGGCACATTAGTTCAGTGCTCGCTTTCTATTTGTTTTCCCGAATTAGTGATAACGATGAAAAGGTGCTTTCTCTTGAATGATGATTTACTTCAACTATGCTAATTACTAGGTAAATGCTACTGATTCTTGGATACATTGGAATTAGGAATTTTATCTCAATAAATCAGTATCTTCGGGGAGGTTACTGGGTATGTATATTAGGTTGTAGCAGTGATTTAGTGCTAATTAAGATTTTAGGATGCAGTCAAATGTCCCCTGGAAATTAAATACCTTTACTTTTCTGTTGCTACCTATTGACTGAACATTATCTTTGATATGAATGAGATTGCTGAAAATTCAAAATTTGTAATGCCAAGGTAAATGGTATTGATAATAACCGAAAATTGATATTTTGTCTATGATCAGTGAAGAAGATATGATGACTGGTTATTGGGAAAAAAAAATGGTGTAAAACATCAAGCAATCAAGCATAAATTACTCATGCCATATCCAATTTTACATTTTTTTTAAAAAGAAAAAAAAACGCATTCGAAATCACCCTTCTGAGATGCTTTTGATGATAATGAATCAACATCTCAATGTCGCTAGGAGTTTCCTGTGGTGTATTTTGTAATGGCCCAGTAAAAAAAAGGGTTGTAAGAAGGAAGCTAAGGTGGAGTTTAATGTTTTCGTACAATAAAATTGTCTCTTGCTAAAAAAAATGTAACAGCGGAACTGCTTGTTATGTATTTGTTGAAACTTTGACTCTGAATTTTCTTACCACGCATATGCAGTTGAACTTGGATAAACTTTGGAGAAGTGCTGATTCTGGTGGTTGGAGACCATCATCAGCTCCACGATCTAATTGGCCTCGTATGTGTTTCCTTTTTTCTCAATGAATTGTGCTTTGGTTTTTGTAAAATTCATTTTAAAGTTGTTCTGGTGCTTCTACTTTGTGGCAGCTCCACCTAGGGAGACTAACGGCTACCTACGAGTGCGCTGTAATGGTGGTCTCAATCAACAACGTACAGCGGTCCGTAACTTTCTCTTTTTCTGTATGATCTGTAATTGCATATTTTCACCCATGATCTTACGAGGGGAATATTTACCTTCTGTTACTCTCTTGGATGTTTTAGATATGTAATGCTGTTCTTGCAGCAAGAATCATGAATGCTACACTTGTGCTGCCTGAATTGGATGCAAACTCTTTTTGGCATGATGACAGGTATCTATTTTCAATGGTTGTCTGACCCTTATTTCACATATATAGATTTTTTTCACCTATTCAAATTTCACTTTTAATATAGAATTATTAACTTTTATTTTCTGATTGAGGCTATTAAACCAAGAGAGACGAGGTAGGGTAGATAGAATTGTGACAAACATGTAGCTACATGATATATTTGTCACACAGAGGAATTGGAAGATGTTTTCAGATAGAACTTGTTGCTGTAAGACATTACTTCTCTTCTTCTTTCATCACGTGTGCTTAAAACCTACATAATAAGAGATTTCATTGGAAAGGCCTTCAATTTTCAAGTTTATTCATTAGCTGATCTAGGACGACTCTTCTCTTGGGGACTTGCTTAAGGGTTTCAATAGTTACAGACCAATCTTGAGTTTCTCTATTTAACAATTTTCTGATTTTGTTGACGCATGTGGATCCTCCGATTGAGGATTCTCTGAGTCTGCAATTTTTATACTTACAGGTTTAGTTAAGAATTAGGATAAGTAAGTTTAAGGAAGGTCAACTTTGTTGCTTTGGATATCTTTTTCTCATTGATAGGAAAGTAATATGTTAATAAAAACAACTGTGAGGAAAGTTACAGCTTTAAGATAACTGCATGAATGCATTTTTCTGTAGATCTTTTTGCATATTTTCATAGGAATATCTCCCTCCATATTTTAATTAATCTTATATTTGCTTCGGAAAACAAAGGAATTTGTTTTGTGGAACTTTGAGTAATGTGTCCACTGCTCTCATTGATTAGTTGAATGCTTGTTTCTGTAAACTCTATAAAATTTTAAATGCTTTTAACTGCAGCATGTCATCTTTAACATGTGCAGTGGTTTCCGCGGTATCTATGATGTTGAGCATTTTATCATGTCATTGAGGTATGATGTAAAAATTGTAGAAAAAATACCAGAAATTCACAAAAATGGGAAGACAAAGAAGATAAAAGCTGTACAGGTAAAGCATATGTATTTGTTTTTATCACATTCAGAAATAAAATTTGAGTTGTTCAATAGGTTTGAAATGTTTACTCCTTCCTCTAAACCTTGTCTCAGCTTCGTCCCCCTAGAGATGCTCCTATCAGTTGGTATACTACGGATGCTCTTGCGAAAATGAAGGAGCATGGTGCTATTTATCTTACTCCCTTTTCACATCGTTTGGCAGAAGAATTGACAACCCTGAGTATCAACGGTTGAGGTGCAGAGTGAACTATCATGCTTTGAGATTTAAGACAAATATAATGAAGCTAAGTAAGTCAATAGTTGATAAGCTTCGCTCACAAGGTCACTTCATGTCCATACATCTTCGTTTTGAAATGGATATGCTGGCATTTGCTGGGTACGTTCTTATCTGATTATCTTTTCTAAATTCATGTTTGCATCTGCTTGGTGGTGGAGGGTCAGATGTAGAACAAATGGTTGACATCATTGCATATGGGGAAATATCTGCTTAAAAGACAAGAATGTGATAGGAGTGAAAAATCCAACCAAACCTCACAGAGTCACATGTAGAAAGACACTTGTGTACAATGCATACATTGGGTTAAATTAAATCAAAGATTTGATGTGGAACAAGGAGAGAAATAAGGTAACTAATGCCGTAGTTTCAAGCATAACTAATGCCATGAGTGTCGTAGGATGTAGATCAGTGTGATACTAATTGATGTAGAACAAGGAGAGACATAAAGTAAAATATAAACTCGGATAGTAATTTAACACAACAGCTTGAACTTAATTTGTTAACTTTAGTATCAATTGGTCAAAACTAAGATTCCCAGCACAAGTGTGGCCTGTCCATATAGTCTCACTAATATGAGTTAATTTCTTGGTGAAATCCTTATATAAAATGAGGAATGACTGGACTGTTCTCCTTTATATCATGCCAAGAATTCTCCTATTTCATAGCCACTAGCTATGTAAGGGGTACAATCTGTTTGTTTCATGACTGGAATAGTTCATGATTAAGATTTTGAAAAGTAATGTTATCTGAAGACTTCTTAAAATCTGGTATGATTATTCTGCAGCTGTTTTGATATTTTCAACCCCCAAGAGCAAGAGATTTTGAAGAAGTATCGGAAAGAAAATTTTGCACCAAAGAAGCTTGTGTATGAGGAAAGAAGAGCCATTGGAAAATGCCCATTAACTCCAGAAGAGGTAACGTTATCTGTCTTGTTAATGTTTTTTTTTATTTGTCGTTGGAAAGTGTTGTTTTATACTGCCGGTGAATGGTGACATTACCCTGGATGGCTGTTACCTTGCATCAGTATCTTGTTATGTTTTGCTTACCAGGTGACAACACTCATTTCCTATATAAAACACTAACAAAGTTATGTCCCTCTTTCTATGCAGGTTGGTCTTATTTTACGTGCAATGGGGTTTAACAATTCTACCAGGATATACCTAGCTGCTGGTGAACTATTTGGTGGAGAGAGATTCATGAAACCGTTCCGGGCTTTGTTCCCTCACCTTGAGAACCACAGTTCTGTAGATCCCGCAGACGAGCTAGCAGAAAATACCCAGGGATTGTTAGGGTCTGCGGTGGACTACATGGTTTGCCTCCTCTCTGATATTTTTATGCCTACATATGATGGCCCTAGCAACTTTGCCAACAATCTCCTTGGACATCGCCTATATTATGGCTTTCGGACCACAATTAGACCCGATAGGAAAGCTCTTGCTCCAATCTTCATTGATCTAGAGAAGGGACGGACAACTGGTTTTGAAGAAGCTGTTAGGCAAGCCATGCTCAATACTAACCTTGGCGGGCCCCACAAGCGGATTCCGCCTGATTCTTTCTATACAAATTCTTGGCCCGAATGTTTCTGCCAAACATCTCCAAAGAATCCAGCGCATAAATGTCCACCAGATAATGTTTTGGAAATTCTTAACAGCCAGTTGGGTGAAGCCACTGATGACCTGGAATCCGTGCCCCAATCAAATTCAACAATATCTGTGGCAGAAAGATGAAAAAGTAGTCTCAGGATTTATAGCGGGTGATTGTTCCACACCAATACTGATGAATCCCTGTCCGTGTAATTGACAAGGAATGGCTTTCCATAATAATACTCTGCCTTCAGGTAATCATTATCTGTACTTCTGTTGTGTTTGATTTGTTTTTTAATAAAGAAATTTCCTTGCTTGTCCTCTTTCACAAACAATCCCGTATTGTTTTATTCATCATTTGGATATTTATGGATATTTCGTGTTCCTTTTGATCATACAAGTTGATGGTTTTTCGGTGACTCTGGTCTTTTGGTGATTTGAGACAGGATCCATGTTGCGTGTTGGGGGCAGGTTCATGTTATCTTGGGGTTCACGCCATGGTGATTCAGTATATCGAAAAAGAAGTTGACACTGCTGGAGGACGCATGAGCCAAGCCATGTTGATAGTTTCAGATTTGTTATGCTGTGATCTAAAAATTTACTTCTGATTAGTGATATTGTATTATATTTGATTGATTCCCTTGTATGTTTCTGCCATGTCACATGTGTGACTAATCATATAAGATTTTCAGTCTTACCTTACAAAAATGCTACATTAAGTATTAAATTACTTGGTAAGCTCATTCTGGTTTTGATCCATTTTGAAAAGCTCTAGCTTTTTGACTTTTGAGTGAGCTCGTAAATGAACTGTAGCTTCATTACATGCATTTGATGTGCGATTTGAATCAAGGATTGGGAAAAAATAAAAATAAATTATCTGACCCTAGCCTCCAGTTTATTCTGTGTCTTCTGCAATATCAACATATATTTTACTTCATTTTACTCTTCCCCAGAAAATCAGTCTTGTTATTGAAAACATATATTTGCTATTGTTGCTGCCTGTTTGCATCGATGTGGTTTGTGTTCCTTTGGGCGTACCTGGTTTTTGGAGCTTTGTTAGCTCTCTCGGCCTGTGGCTGTTGGTGATTGCTACTCTTGTCTGGCCTCTCTTTTGGGTAGTTGTTGCTTAGGCCAGCTGGTCTTGTCAGTGGTTCTAATGCTGCCTGTTGTAGTTTTGTTGCTTTTCTTCCTGGATTTTATTTCCGCTTCTTAACGTTCAGCTGCCTTGTCCCGAGCCTATTCTCTTTGTTTTGTTTTGGTCAGGGCCTGGGTGTTGGTGTATTTTCTCAATATTTTGACATAATCCAAAACATAAGCTTTGTAAAACCTTTCAGTAATTAAATACTTAATTTTTGAGTGTTCCAGGTATTCACGTATTAAAATATGAGTGGACGAAGAAATTCATGTCATGCACATATGATCAGAGTCGCACCAAAAAATTACTCCAGAATACCCTTCCCTGGTTCAAATTCAATTCCCTCGTAACAGGAGGAAAGATGGTACATTAGTACTTAAATAGTCTGCATTACATTTGAAAATTGCCCAGCTGTTAAAGCTGCCTATTTCTGTAAGAACGTAAAGTATTAGTAATAAACTAGCATGGTCTTTATTTTCTTCTACTTTCCTTTCTCTAATGAGATTCAGACAAGGCATCTCATGTTTTTATCAAATTCGTCTACTAGTTATTCTTATTCCCTTGTCCTCCCCAATAATCTTTTGTTCTACCCATTATCCATATAGCCACATCAGAATCAAAGTCCTACTAGCTTGGCTACCAGTCATGTCCAAGCCTAACAATTCAATAGGTTGAAGGATTTATAGCCATATGAACAAATAAACAATGAGCAAAGTACAAACAGGGCCAAACTAAAACGAATTATATAAAATAATTAAATAACTGCAATCCATTTGTCAAACCAAGGAATCAACATGTACGACTAGTGTTCCGAAACAATAACCCTCAGTAAACAATTTCACCATTCCAGAATTGGTGGGAAAGCGAAATAAATAAAAGATGAAGTCTATTCTATCAAAGATAATCAATTCAAGGCATTAGTAGTTGTTACTCTAAGAGCATATACATCCAGCCATTTACAAACATGGACATTCGAAACACAAAATGGATAAAAAAGAAAAAGGAATGACAGTGTAAGGTAAATTAGCCTGAGGATTGTACACGCAACTTGTTGGCAACATACAGCAGATGTCTGATGTTTGTTGGAGGATAGTTCTGCAGTAGTTTGAGATTAGAGGTAAAATCACCTGCCAGTAAGCGCCTCCGAATGAGAATCAACATTGCACAGCATACTCGAAGAAGGGTTTCCTACAATTGTTAGTCAGCTACGTCGTTAGCCTAAATACAAACAAACAAAAGACAAAGCCAAAAGCAAACCCGAAAGTGCAGAGCACTACTTTTCTGGACACAACAAAGGCTTAATTAGTCCTCAGAACCTCAAACCATAGGCAAAAAATTCTATCTGATTAGTTTTAATATCTGAATTGAGTTGCATATTACCGACAATCTAAAGGGTGGTGTAACACACCCTGAAAGCAAAAGTAATGTAAAGTCAGAAAGAGTATAACACTACCTGAGGACCTTCCGGGTCACTTAAAAGTGTATCCCAAATGTGAAGGCTGTCTGCGAAATTGAATTCCTGGGTTAAGAGAAGTGTGATCCACCTAAATGCATAAAATTGGGGATTGACCTGACATTTTAAAGTAGAACCCAGTCAGACATTTATACCAAGTATTTTTGTGACCTAAATAGTGTTTTAAAAAGAATTGGCAAATCATGAATGCTAAGCTAATGAGAACTGCATGTAGAGATGTAAAATATACAGTGGTTAGCACAGGCAGGTTCCTGTTGTGCCCCTGCCTGCCTCAATTGGGCTTGTGTTGTACTAGGCCACATGTCCATTGAGTTTTCTATTTATTTATTTTTAAGATCAGATTGAGTTAAAATTGGGGCACATCAGAACATTTGGTTATTACAGTTTGCAAAAGCCAAACTTGAAGTCTAGTCTAGTGTGAATTTATAAAGATTTAATGAGTGTGCTACACTGCTACTCACATAATGCTCTCTCTCTCTTGTCATAATGTGACTTTTATCTTCATTTGATTTATGATCTACACTTCTTTTGTCTGAATTTATAGTTAACATTGTTATCATTATTCGGACAAAATTTGTTTCAGAATATGTTTAACCAGGTTCTTTTTACTCACCATCATCAAAACTCAGTTCAATATTATTTTACAGTTATTTTACTCAACCATCCGGATGTAATATGAAAAAAGATATATGTTAAAAATGTCTTACTTTGGTTGTGATCTCAAGATGACGCCATAGCTCTTCATCATGTTCCTTCAAAAGCTGTGACAATTTTGTTATAGTGGAACGAATTCCCACAACACTATTATCAAGTTGCTGACAGAAATGATCCCGGAAGCCACTCAATAATTCAACAAAACAAAAGAATGTGTCTGCTTCAGCAGAGGCCTACAAAACTTGACATTAGGAAACAATGAGCAAAATTAACCAATAACAATAAATAAAATGGCAGTGAAGAAGTGTTACGCACAAAAATCATAATGACAATAAACTGATTTATATCACCGTGTCCATTACTGTTATCCCTTTTCATGAATTAACACAATTTCTTGTTCAAAGCCAACATCCAAATCAATCACTAAACATTTTATTTTGTTATAGATAAAACATAGGCAATGCTGAATAGTTTTCATAACAAATTGCTCTCAATTCTTTTTTCAGGTGACTTAAATTGTACCACTTGTGAGTTGTGATCAACATTTGCCCCTTCTTTTTCTGCATGTTACGATTAACACCCCTATTGGTCATAATTAAGCCTGCACATCCTAAGAAGCATGATCATATGGTGATATTGACCAGAAGAACATGCAATTCAAATAAAGTTAAGGACAATCAGAAAGTCAACATCAGCTCCCTACTACAGCAGAGTACCTAAATTTTGAACCTCACATTCAGATAACAACATATAAGAACATCTTATGGTCCAAAGACAAACATCAAAATCTGAAGACAGCTTCTAGATTAAATTTTTATAGAAAAAGTTGAAATCAAATACAAAAAATATATGGCATTCTTACCGCATCTTCCTCATTTGGATCAGTCTTGAATACATAGAACAGTGGTGCCAAAATTTCGTTCATCCCTTGAACATATCTTATACCGGGATTTAGCTTGGCAAATACAATCAGGATGTTCTTCAAAGCATCCTGAAATTGTTATATACATTTAAGTCAGCCAAATTTCTAGTATTTGGCAAATCTTACAGATGGCTTGTACCATAGTTTGAACCAAGGGTCAAGCGCAAACCTGATTAGATTTAGCATCTGAAGAGTCCCCAGAGAAAAAGTGCAAATCTGGATGAGTACGCTTTACATCTCGGTCATCTGCTCTATGATCTCTGTGTCCTACATGATCAAAAGTTTGAGTTAGATATTTCATAAGAAGGTTTTGCACCAGAAACTGCTACCACCATTCTATAATGGTACAACAGGACAAGGAACTAATATTTTCAAAGGGGAGAATTCTTCTTTCTAAGAGTGAAGATGTTGTATTGCATCACAACTGTGTCTTGTGTTTATCCGGCTGAAGGAGGGTCCCAGAGCCAAAAAGTAAATAAAAAATCACGGTACATCGGAACTAATTAGGTAAGGCATGACTTTTAAGGATGCATTGCGAAATATGATCTTCGATATATTCCAGTGGCAAAAGAAGAGTTAGTGTTGAAGAGCAAAGTAGTTTGAAACAGGATTTATTTAGTTTATGGGGGTCCTCTTTTTATTATTATTTTTTCTCTTTAAAAAAATCTTAGTTGAGTTAAGGAAGAATTTAACAAAGCATCAACTATGGGCCTTAAATAAGTTTAGCAAGCAATTTCAGCCAGTAACTACCTGGAAGAACTGATTCCAGACGCTGGACTGCCCAAGACTCAATGGATGCTCGCCATGAGTTATTTCTGATCTTGATAGCAACCCTTTGCCTTGACCTTTTGATTCATCAGTGTCACAATTTGTACAGTTATCCATCTTCCTTGTGATTTCTGACTGACTAGCCAAAGGAAACATTCAGAAACTCATACTTTAACAGAAGTTAAGAATTGCAAAAATGCACGAATCACATAAGCATATTGTGCCAACCTTTCATTTTTCATTTTATCTTAACTTTTTATTAAAACCCTACAAAGCTGGCTAAAGCTGTTGACCAACACGCAATATGAAACACTACAAGGAGAAGTGAAAATAACTGCATCACTAAACTGGATGAAAAGGCTGGAACATCTACAGTAAAATTTTGTGGGTTACCCTCCGCTCAATTTTCAGGAATAAAAATTAATGAGCTATTCTTTCCTATAGAAAATGTCTGCTAACACTCTTTTCACTATCAGCATTACCAGCTGATCATTCAATGGCATCAATTTATTTGCTCTTCAAAATCTCCATAGATTTGAACAATTGTGACTAAAACTTGTAGCAAATTTTGAGAACAGCGTTAGCCCATTAAAGAAAATAGTTAGCAGAAGTCCTTCAAATCAAAACAAACTGTGCTGTTCTTATATCCTGTATAATTAGTCTAGTTTTTTCAAGTTCATCTTCAAATCCCAAACATGAACATAAAAATGGAAAGAGAAAACAATAAACATGACTTACAGGATTCATCAAAAGCTCATCTTTAAAATGCTTGTACTGTGACCTCTTTTTAGCTAACTCAGATGACCAAAGCCCCCGATCTGGTGGTAGATATCCAAGTAAAAGCTGCAAGCAATAATTATCAACGCTTAAAATTAAACCAAGTCCCTCAAATGCAACAAGAAAACTCAAAATTGCACACTTTATTCACACTGTCAAGCTCTATTGGCTAGTCTAGTAACTTTTGAGGCCCTCAAATTATCATTCCATCCATAATAAGCTAAAACTATTACCGCATTTTCTCTAGAAACAAACACAACATTAACACAAAATGAAATCAAATACAAAAACGAATCATAATCACCTTCCACACAGTAGAACGTATGCCGGCACCATCTGGTATGCCCTGCGACGCAATTCTCCGCAAATCGCGCAAATTAATCGTCTTTCTTGATAGCTACAAACACAAAATTAAAAAATTAAAAAAAAACCAGCATTCAACATCTCTACATGCACAGTGAGAAAGAGAGGGAGAGAGAGAAAGAAAATCTAACCTCGACCAAGAGCTGAGCCTGCCTGGAGATGTCTTCGGGGGAAGGAGTGGTGTTGTTCTTGTCTTCGTGATTAGGGAGTGAATCTGTGGATTGGGGCTGCGGAGGAGGCTTGTCTTCCCTGGTGGGTTTGGGAGGGGGCACGGGGATTGGTGGGTCAACCATGGACGGTGGCTCGTAGTCAGAGGTGGAAGAAGAACTGGTGATTGTGGTGGTGGTGGTGGGCTTGGAGGTGTAGGGTTGTACGCGATCGTCGTCGAGAGAAGGAGAAGGCGTAGAAGACCAGAGCGAGCTGTTGAGCCATTCTGGGACTCGTTTCTTCACCATTTGAGGTGAGTGAAACATGAAATTCTAGAAATCGATTGAATTTCTAGGGTCCTGTGTGTTTCTGAGCTGACGCAGTTTCTTCCTCTTCTTCTTCTTCTTTCTTAATTTCTCGCCACGAGTCTCCGAGCGGAAGACAGGCTTGACAGAGACGGAGAGAGAGATATTGATTGAGCTAAGGTGGGTGCTTTGACTTCTTGACGGACCAATCGTAAGATGCCGCGTTGCTGCCGCTAGTTTTCATGTTAATAAAAAGAGTTAAATACAGTTTTGTTGAGTTGAGTGTTTTATTTATTTATTTTCCTTAATTATAAACTTAATTAAACTATAGGTATAGGAGCATGATTGCAACTTTCTTAAATATATGTGTGACGTGTGTAAGTTATCTACTTGATGTGATTAACACACTTAAGACTGTTGTTGAAGAATTTTGTTTCTAATGCGATGATTAAACTCTAATTATAGATCACCATTTGTTTCTAAGGCCTTCACCATATGTATTTCCCAAAGGGAAAGGGGAAGACCCTAATTCTGCAGTCAATTATATGGCAAAGGTAGCTCCACTCCGTTTGTTGAATGCCTGCATTTAAAAATTAAAAAAAAACTATAGATCTAGTTTGGCTTAACCAAGTTGGCTAAAGCAGTTGTGCTCCTCACTCTGCCGTTTGTATTAAAATTAAAAAAATTAAAAAAAAACTCTAAATATGGGCTATTCTTTATTCAATTTTTTAAAAAAATTTTAATAATAGATGGGGGATGGAGGTTTTCTAACACCGAGACCACATGATCTGCAAGTCGAAGATCTTTTCTCTAGGCTAGACTTTGTTATCTTTTTTTTTTTTGAATTTTAATTAAGAATACAAAAGGAAAATGAGTTTTTTATTTTATTTTTAATGCGGAGAATAGAAATTACAAAGCAAAGCCTCTAGGAGACGGAGGCCAAAGATGTCAAAATAGAAAGGAGAGTCGATGATAAGTAGGGGACCCAGATTCTTTCCTGAACTTACCTAAGCTTCTAAGTTGACCATTGATAAACATCGAGCAATCACTATATAAATAGGCACAGTACGTGTATTTCAAATGAGGCAATCAAAATGCAAGTGAAAAAGAAAATTCTATAAGTGCAGAAACAAAATGTAATTAGATGAACTAGCTAGAACAAGCTGCTAGCAGAGCCCATTAAACATGTGCACAATCCAAAGCGCTTGTGAGATGTCCGAAGAGTAACGATATCGTGTAATGGTTTCATCCTCTAAATTGAAATTGCTTATTTCAGTCGGCCAACGAAAATCCATGTAATATATGGAATTGGGTTGGCACTGAGGAAAGTTTGAAGCCAAAACCGAGATACTACAATTTTCACTCAGGAACATAACCTCATCTCCAATACTTTTCATTTCAACATGCTGCACGGATCCATCCCTCTCATTGAACACCAACTTGTAAACCATGAATCTCTCTCCACTACCACCATGATCATCTTTCGGCAATCTTCGAACGTGCAACAAGTCTCCCTTGGTTGATTCCACGAGATAAGCTTCGTCAGCCTCACTTTGGAACCGACGTTTTTCCTGGTTAAAATACTTTGTTTTCATTGACCACCTATTGATATCAACGGAAAGAATGTTTCCGCACTCTAAAACTGCAAGGACTAGACTTTTATGAAATATAGCATCCATAACACGCCGCGGTGTGAATAATTGAGTCCAATATTTTCTTCCTCCTTTGGTGAAAGCCAACGTAGAAAGACGTCTGCAAACTGCTACAACCATGTAACTGTCTGGATTCAATGTGGGATCCTCAGATAAGATAACCTTCGGGATGTGCTTCGGTATAAGCCCGTACTTTCGGAACTCATCCAAACCTTGACTCGCATATGTGTGGTGGTAACAGAAATCCATGTGAGGGAGACGAATGGGCGCCGCTGCTTTTCTGAAAGGGTTCACCAGAGTTATAGTCCATAGTTCTTGTTTGCGCAGTTCTAGTTGTTGGTTCCAAAAAAATTTCGATGTACGGACTATCAGTTGTTTTTCCAATACATCCATTGTGGCTAACCAACCATGGCCATGGCACGTACTAATCATATTACAGGGCACTGATAACTCAATGTCGGAGGTTTCTCCTCCAGGAAAGCTGTACAGTTCCAGCTTTCCTTTGGATCCTGTTGCGGTTGGAACCAGGAGCATAGGAAGAAGCTCACGCTGCCAACGCTGCCAACGCTGCGTTAAGCGATTGTATTCTTTTGCAGCAACACGCCATTGCTTGCAAACGGCAGCAACCCGAATATGGTCAGTGGGTTCCCGCAAGTTATCCAGAATTAAAAAATGAATGGGAAGACTTGCCCATTGATCTGACACTCGAGTGTCATTCTTATTATTCCTTAGTCTTGTGAGAGCGTATGAATATTGAACCCAAAACGGGTATAAATATTGAACCCAAAACGCGTATAAATATTGAACCCAAAACCAACCTGTCCAAGACATGGCTGGCTAGCAATCAAACCTGGACGACTTCAGCGCTAGTGAGGGTTTCTGCAAGTGTGTGTAATTGTGAGGTAGTAATTGTATAGAATTTGATAATGGGTACACGCCTTTATATACAGCACAAGCCCTTACCTTAGGCTAGAAGGAATAGGGTTCCTATATGATCAAGGAAAGCTACCAAGTCAATACCCAAATTGTCCGTGCCATCCATGTCTTCTTTCCTAATTTGTTGGCATGTGATCCTTGATTTAACGGGCCCGTACGTTGTTAACTCATGTTAGAGAGAAGAAAAAAAATAAGAACATAGAAAGACCGACTCGTCTTCTTCGATTCATGGAGTCTGTTTCTGTTTTTAGGTTTTTGAAATCTTCCTCAAACATTTTTCTTATTCTATATGTTTGCCCTCCATATTTTGACTTGTAAAAGGCCACAAAAAAAAACAAAAAAAACCATTCCCATTGCAATACAAACGTTTGATATTAATCACACCAAAACAAAATAATCCAAGTAGTAATGGGAAGCTTTGTTCTGCTTCCTCTTTCAATCCAAATATATTTAACTTTTGGCTATAACTGTTATTTTCCTTGGGTGCACATTGTAGTGTTGGCAAGGGTCCCCTTGGGTGCACTCAATACCATGAATGCCCCAATAATTGGAATATAATTTCCCTTTATGATGTATTTAACATTTGTTGACTTATTGCCAGGTATAACTCAGTTGGTTAAGCTCTTCCACCACCTCCACTTATGTCATGTGGGTAGATGTTCAAAAACTCGAGACACCCAATTAATATTTGTGTGTAAAACCCCGTCCCAATTGCTTGTACTCAAAAAGAAAAAAAAAGGCAAAAGAAATAGCAAACATAAGCATGATTACAAAAGAAAGTATAATTAATTTTAAGGTAAATGCTATGACATTCCGCCTCCCGAAAGTAAAAGATTGATCTAGCGAATGTTTCTTGTGATAAATTTCGCTGGTCATGCATAAGTAGAGTGGGGAAACTATGGGCAACAGACTGACCTCAGCCAATTCAATAGCAATTTTTGTTTTCCACCTTTGCTCGAATTGGGGCAGATTAATACATAAGGATCAAATTCTTGTTCATATATAGCCTCTAGAAAATTCTACATACTAGTACGGCTTTAATCAGATTCATATGCACAAAGATAGACGGCATTTCTCTCATAGTAATCATCGCAATCTGTACAACAATCAGATAAAGAACCCTCACACCTGAAATTAGTAATATGAGAAGCAAGAGTATATATTTAATCGTCGCCCTCGTCAAAACCTCTACAATCACTGACATCCAAAACCACAAGCTCCTTGCAGCCCTGTAGTAACATGACAAGATTATCCCGACCGATGTCTCCCCGCCTCAAGCTCAAGTGCTTAATATCAGGCACCAACTTGACAACTGCCAGTGCCTCAGCATTGCCAATATAGGCATTAGCCACATGCAAACGCCAAAACTTCTTGCAGTGAATGCTGATCTCTGAAAGGGTTTTCTTCAGATCAAGACTGCTCCCCAAGGACAACTCCTCCAAATGTTTCCACTTTGCAATTAGTTGAGGAATTATTCTTGGTCTCTGGTGCACTAAATATATGGGCAAAGACAGAGCCGTCAGGCGAGGGCACCTGCAAACAATAGTTTAACCCTGCCATTTTAGGGTGACTGAACTGATATTATATGGATAATGAAGATGAAAAACTTATGATTGGATAGTTCTCAATCAAAAGTGGCCTTTAATTGCTGCTAAACTTATGATTTTTAAATGGGCAATCTTATTTGAAAAACTTGGCCAACCTTAAAATTTGATTCCCAATTTATGCAAAAAAGCCTCTACCATAATTAATATGTTGCATACTCTGACCACACATCAAATGAACCCGGCTTCTATGCATTTTAGTCCAACTTGATTATTGGGGAGGTTCATATTGCACTTGTCTAACTTGCACAGTAGAGGGTTTGAAATTGTTGTCGCCATGAGGATGCATATTTGGCGCAGAGTACGATTCCTCTTCGTTGCTAGGTGCACACAAATCAGCAACTATGTTTTCGACACTTTCAAAATTAACATCTTCAACCCAATCAGTCCAATTAAAACCATTCCCACCATTTTCAATTTCGTTGTCCCCAATTACCTCATTGGTATGTCCATAAAAAATGGCGGAGGAGCATTGCTACTCTCAATGCTTACAATGCCATTGCACCCTTCAATACCATATCCTTCTATATTTTTCAGGGTTGCTAAAAGAGTGATTACTTTAGAGGCCATAACATATGTGTTGCACTTTAGAAAATATTGAATATCAACATTGTTTTCAACCCTTACATGCTTATAGACATATGAGGATAGAGAAACAGAATATTTCAGAGTGACAATGTATTTGTTGGGATATGCTTTCATGATCTTATAAATGCAGTCAACAAGCTCGAGAAAGGTTATGTCCCATGTCACTATTATACCTTTAGCATCCTCACATTCATAACTCTGAATGTTATCCTTGTGAACCAAACTTCCGTTGTAGCATACCAAAATTCCAACAATATCCATTTATGCAAATAACATCAATAATTACTAGACAAATTAATAACATTGAACCACAAAAATTAAACCGAATAATAACATACACAACTACCATTCTACTACACGTGTCATCTTATCATTCCACAAATCTGATTCTACAAATTTTAGCTACTTGAACAAGGTAATTTTATTACTTTTTCTATTTTATGTGATTTTCTATATATGTTTGTGAGTATTGTTTGTTGTGGGTTCCAAGTTCTTAACAAACTCACATAAACATACCGTGTAAGCAATATGATTCATCTAAGCTATAAGGGTTTTCAACAAATTTAAACACCTTCAACAAAGGATCAGGTTGTGATACAAAAGGTGTTATGCAGTATAAGATAAATCTCAATTACCAAATTGGAAACCAAAACACAAAAACTAAATTTCTTACCAAAACAAACTTAGAATGGCAATAAATTCCAATTCAAATACCTTAAATTCCACAGTTAAGCATCTAAATTGAAGCTAAAACTAACCTAACAAAACTATTTTTAGGCCAGAAAAAGTTAACATCTGATTTCTCTATTTGCTGTTATTTTAGCCAATATCAAGGACATTGCACTACATTCTACGAGCATTCAGTCAATTTTAAACAAAATTCAAGTTCACCAGAAAGATCCCACAGCAGATAATAACAAAAACTATGAATTTCACCATATCACAACTCATTCAAACTGAAAAATTAAACTTTTTTTGCCCATGTGTGAAGAAAAGGGGATGAGCGAATTTATAAGACACATACAGTACAAAAGAAATATTAGAACTCACAACTGTTAAAAACGACAACGGAGGTCACCACTATGGCTTCGCTGTGGAGTCGTTACAATCACTTTGATCTAGAGGTCCACAACGGAGGTCATGAGTTGTTCCAGCTTTGCTGCGATCAAATTGGGGTTCCAAATTTGAGGACAACTGGGTTATGACTATGGATGGGTAGAGAACTGGATTGCACAGTGGCGACATGGCTCGCGACCTGGAGTTCAGCCAAGATTTTGGAGACTGTGAAAATAGAGAAGAGAGGACTTGAGAGAAGTTCGCATTCAAAAAAGAGGTGGTAAAGGGTCAATAGATATGCTTTTATATGGAAAGGAATTAGCAATTTCAAGTCTCAAAGTGATTATATGAGAATAAGATTGTAAAGTGAACATTTGGGAATGAAAGTTGGGCAAAGTGATCATGTACGTATATTTCCCTAGATTATATGCAATGGCATGCATTGTAATTTCAGCAACTGTGCACACCCATTTTATTACGAGGGCTTTTTCATTTATTTATTATTTTTGAAGTATCGAGCTTGAATGTTTCTTTCATACGACGTAAAATTGTCAATGACTTAAATGTGCAACTACATGCGAACAAGGTCTAGCCCAGTTAAAAAAGGTCTTAACTTGCAAATGTCTCATATTCGAACTCTCATGGCATCTTGGTAGTGTGTGAGAAACTCCCCCTCCTTTTATAGTTTAAATTATCGCTTGTATTTAAATAAATTAAAAAAAGCATTTTATCACAAATGGTCCTTGAGGTTTACCAAATTATTACATTTGGTCCCTTATGTTTTTTTTTACATTATTGGTCCTTTATGTTACACATGACACATCAAAATTGTCCTGCCGTCAGATTCAGTCAAAAATTATGTTAGGTTGTTGATGTGGAATTTAAGTAGAGTCCACATATCCAATGAAATTGTGCCACGTGAATTAACTAAATAATAATTATTTTTAAATAGTTTAAAATTCATAGAAATTTTAGAAATGAAAAAGAAAAAAAATTAAAGGACTGCAACATTCCGCCTCCACCTCCCTCCGCCTCTACTCTCTCTCTCCATCCCTCTCTTTTTGCTCTCTCTCTCTCTCTCTCTCTCTCTCTCTCTCTCTTTCTCTCTCTCTGCTTTCAGCCTTATGCTTGGTACAGAGAACCCACCGCCATTGTTAGCATCCGATTGGGTCATAATGGCTGCGAAGAAGTGTTTGACAAAGAAGACACTCCACTTCTAGCCAGACCTCAAAAGTTCTCATCCCAATCTTTGAACCTTTGGGGTTGTTTCCTATTTCAACTGGGATTTCCCACGCTGATCCATTTAGCCCCTTTAAGCATTTTCGCTGATGTTGATCTTGGGGCTATGGGGGTTGTGATGGTGGAGGATCTAATAATTTTTCTGCAAAATAGGCTAGCTTCTACGTGCTTTTGGAGACTCCTCTATTTTCTTATATGGTCTTGGTGTGGCTGTTTTCTTCAATGGCCTTGTGTGTGAGTTTCATTGCTTTGTTGTATGTGTTGATGCAGAAAAATGGTTCGGCACTTTCCCGCGCAACTTAGTGATTAAGTCTCTTCGGTATCTGATGTCCTCGGTAGTGTGTGCAATCTGTAAGATAGCAAACACACGGTAAGTCCTAGGGCACCGATGTGGTACCGGCCGAAGGCTCTCCGATGCTTAAGTAAGTATGGATTTAGTAAAGTTGAATTACAGATCAATAGGCGGTATGCCGTCAGTTCTGATTGATTACCTTCAAGCTGGGATGGTTGTCCTCTTTTATAGGCCTTGGGAGGTGTGCAATTTGTTTAGAGTTTCGATGTGGGACTCTGGACGTCAGTTGTGGGACTGCCACGCGTCAAAGGGGGCGAGGTTGCCCTAATGTTGCGATCGGTGGGTTTGGTACCGAAGGTGGGTGCTGAAGGCACCCATGGCCCTGGTTTAGCCCACGTGTTCGATATTCATTGGCTGTTCATTTTGGTATAAACAGTATGGATCATTTGGAGCTCTTGGTTGCTTTGTTTTGGTGAAAGGACCAAAGACATATTCACCGCCACTTTTGGGCAAAGCTTGGTGAGCACTCTGGTGCAGATGGATCTCTGTACCAAAGACATAATCAGCCACCATTATGACCCAATCGGATGCTAACAATGGCGGTGGGTTCTCTGTACCCAGGCATAAGGCGGGGAGAGAGAGAGAGAGAGAGAGAGAGAGGCGGACGGTTGCTGATTGTCTTTTAATTATTTTTCTTTTTCATTTCTAAATTTCTAATTTTCTATGAATTTTAAACTATTTAAAAATAATAATAATTTAGTTAATCCATGTTACGTTTTTTCATTTGATACGTGGGTTCTACTTAAATTCCACATCAGCAATCTAGCACTAGCAGACTTTTTGACTGAATCTAATCGTAGGACAATTTTGATGTGTGATGTGTACCATAAAAGACCAATAACTAAAGATGATAATTTGACAAATCTCAGGAAACATTTGTGATTAAAACCCTAACAAAGAAAGTGCAACCACAGGGATGGAGGGAAATTAAACTACACTTCAAATTAGGAGTAATTTTCCAATGTGATCAAATTCACACACGGATGGAGGGAAATTAAAGTAGAGGTTATAATTAATCAGAGTCAAAATTCGAAAATTTAGATTTCAAAGTAAAATTACAACGATCAGTTTCAATGGACGCAAAAAATGAGACACTGCGAGAGCATACTACTACTCTGTTTTAATCAGATTCATATCCAAAAAAATAGACAGGATTTCGATCAAGGTTATCATCGGAATCAGAAGAATATTTAGAAGAGGAACCCTCACACCTGAAATTAGTAATATGAGAAGCAAGCTTATATATTTCATCATCGCCCTCGTCAAAACCTCTACAATCACTGACATCCAAAGCCACAAGTTCCTTGCAGCCCTGTAGTATTGTGACAAGATTATCCCGTTCAATGTCTGCCCGCCTCAAGCTCAAGTGCTTAATATTAGGCACCGACTTGACAATTGCCAATGCCTCATCATTACATATATAGGCATTACCCACATGTAAACGCCAAAATTTCTTGCAGTGAATGCTGATATCTGACAGAGTTTTCTCAATACCAATGCTGCTCCCCAAGAACAATTCCTCCAAATCTTTCCACTTTCCAATTAGTTCAGCAATCATTTTGTCAACGTACAGAGCCTTCAGGCGAGGACACCTGCAAACAATAGTTTAACCCTGTCATTTTAGGGTGACTGAAAAAATATTAAAGAGATAAAGAACATGATTAAATACTTACATCAGAAGAAACTCTTAAAAGTCAAAATACATAAAGCTAAAACCCAAAAAAATGCACTACTGATACACATTCAAATACTTTTGAAAAAGCTTACACATCTGCAACATATTTCATTGCTTCCAAGGAACAAAATCCAGGTAGCCTGACAACAGTAGCTTGCCCTCTGCTACGATTGACAACCACCTTTAGAAATGCAGTGACAGAGAAACGATCCTCATCAATTCGATATATACATCGAAACCTATCCATAAAGGTTCCAAGTTCACCCTCAGAACTCCAAAGATCGAGAGTTGGAAGGTCAAAGCCATCAAAACCACCAGGAAAAATGAGACATTCCCAGCATGAAGGACTCAGGGATGCTGTGTACCATGACTTGCACACAAAGGGAACATCCAAGAGTAGTGACTGCATCCCTACTCTTCCAAAAACATTCACCAAACAGTCCACATTTAAGTCCTCCCATCTTCGTTCATTCTCCATCTACAAGAAAGGACATGATATCAAATCATTAATGGGAAATAAAAACACCCAAATTATTAAGAAAACTAATGAACCGAAGATGGAATGAGAATCAGCTGACCTTAAATGTAAGATAAAGGCAATGAAAAGCAAAAGGATCGGGAATTCCTACAAAAATGGAAGCAGGAAGACAAGCCATATTTACCAAAAACAAAAGAAACGCAAAAACAAGCAGGATAACAAAAACTTGGGTTTGTTAGAAATGAAAAGGTGCAATTAGTGTACAATAACTTGTATTTTGTAGTTAAGATATATAGGACCAAAGGCAAAACTGACCTTTGCCTCCCAAAAGAAAGATTGATCTAGCAAATGTTTCTGGTGATAATCTATAAATTTCATTGGTCAAAGTGAGTAAACTATCAAGAAGGGAAACTATAAATGCCCAATTCAAAATAACTGGTCCAATAATATTTGGGATCGGCAGCAGACTTAACTGAGTGAGCCAATTCAAAAACAATTTTTTCTTCTTTTCTTTCCTGAAGATTGGGGCAGATTGAACTTCCAAACCACCTCAACAAAATTTCACCCCATTTTTAAAATTTAATTTCTCCATCTAAAGTCCTGATTCATCAATCAAAAAGGAATTTCATCTGGGAAAAACATTTTATCTGAAAACAAACAACTACATACATCTCTTAAAAAAAAAAAAAAAAAAAAAAAAAAAAAAAAAAAAAAAAAAAAAAAAAACTCAAAAAAAAATCAAAACTGAAACATTAACAAGGAAACGATTGAACTAAACAGAAAGCATATTTAAACGAACGATTAAAGGAGCAGCGATAAGTAACGAGAACGAGAGAAACTTACTTGGGTCTTGCTTGCTCCGAGAGAGTGGCTGAACCAAACTGATTTCACAAGAAAGAAAAGTAGAAATTTGAAACCCAATTTGAAGAGAATGAAGAGAATGGGGCGGTACTTAACTGTAGAGGATTCATGGGCCAAAACCCAATTTGAAATTTGTTTGGTATGGGCTAATCTCGGCTAAAGCCCAAGCTTTCCAAACATGTGGGTATAGCTCTCTAGATTCGGCAAGGGGTTTGCATTGTTTCTATGGAGAAATGTCGGTTTTCTATAACCGTTGTATATTGTTGGCCTTATAAGTTCACAGATTATGGTAAGCTTCACATTATTATTCGAAAATTTATGCGCATGCCACAGGAAGTTACCATAGCATAATGTTTCTCACAAATTTTCTTACATTGAAAACACCCAATAGGACCCCAAAATACAGCACAATCATCGAATATATATATAAAAGTTTGATACAGAAGCAAGCAGTGTTCTTTGTATTAAAAGTTGAAACGAACGCCCCAAGTCCCAACTTTCAGAGCAAATAGAACAAAACAACCTATAAATGAACAATTCTGCACCATGATCAATCAGAACTGCCTCCACCACAGTAGTACCCATCAGAGGAATAATACCCATCAGAGCCAGCATACTCATCATCTTCATAATCATCATCAGAATCATCAGAATCATAATAATCATCGGAATCAGAATCAGAATCATAGTAGAGTCTAGGTCTAGAACCCAGACAGCTGAAACTAGTAATATGAGAAGCAAGCTTTGATATTTCCTCGTCTTCCTCATCAAAACCTATACAACCGCTAACATCCAAACACACAAGCTTCTTACAGCCCCGTAAGATTGTTATAAGACTGCCCCGAGGAATTCTTGCCCGTCTCAAGCTTAAGTGCTCAATATTAGGCACCAATTTGACGATCGACAACGCCGCATCTTCACCTACTGAAGCACCATGTATATCTAAACGACGAAAGTTCTTGCAGTGAAGGCTGATTGGTGAAAGGAGTTCAGCAATATTTATGCGACTTTTCAATGACAATGACTCCAAATTTTCCCACTTTTCAATCAGTTCTATAATCATGCTACGTTGCGGAAACACTAGTTCACTAGGCAAAGACAAAGCCTTGAGGCCAGGACACCTGCCAACAATATAAAAATAAACTCAGGCACATCACTCTTGTACCAAATTAACTTGTGTAGTTTGAAATCAAGAAAAATATAAACCACAGAACCAAAAATATGCACTAATATTGAAACACATTGTAAAACTTTTTGAGAAAGCTTACACATCTGCAACATATTTGAATTCTTCGAGGGTACAGCATCCAGGTAGCCTGAGAAAAGTAGCACGCCCTTTGCTACGATGGATGACGAGCTTCATAAATCCGGCGACACTGAAACGCATCTTATCGAATCTATATTCATCTAAAAATCTTTTCACAAAGCAACTGTCGTTTTCCATCCAAGTATAGTAGTACTTGGGTAAAATTTCCGCGAAGTCGAGACTTAGCCAGCAGCAAGGACTGAGACTCGCTTTGTACCATGACTTGCACACAAAAGGGATATTCAGGAGCAGTGACTCCATACCAACCTTTTCAAAAACAGTTGCCAAACAGTCCATGTCTAACTCCTCCCATCTTACTAGACGATTCTCCATTTACAATAAGTAATGAAATGCAGAGAAATAGTTTGACTCCATATACCACATTTATACGGTCAGGATAACACAATTTTTGACACATATTTTAAGACACATTCCTAAGCCATTAGATTGAGCCACTTTCAATGGCTGTGATTGAATTTTATATTGAGTGAGTATTGCATTTAAAAAGTTAATCAATATGGGGAAAAGCACTAATAAAAAGTTAATCAATATGGGGAAATGCAAAGACTCAAACCACGCATGCGTGCAGTATATACAAGAGATGAGAGAAAGGCAACATGAGTATAATACAAATGGAATTCCCAGATAATTAATAACAAGAAAGACTAATAAAACCTTCGTGCTTCCCTCATTTCCCAAGAGAGAGGATACTAATATGCAACGTTCAGCTTTCTCGGTCTGGAAAGTGCATTGTTGGAACTCGGTTGGAATGCCAACCATCGAATAGAAACATCAAACTAAATAATAAATTAAGCTTAGACCATAAAATTTATTTTAAATCACCTACAACCCTTTTCTTTATTTTTTAATTTAAAATACTCAATTTTTTCAAATAATATCTGATGATTAGGATCCAATCAAGCAAGTTACCTAATATAACTTAACATATGATTTATTATATTTTTTGAATTCCAAAACTACCCCTATTTATAAGTTAATGTGTTATGGGGGGAGGGGGGTGTAACTAATGACAGACGTTGAATTTGGAAAGATTTCCAAATAGTTTTAATGGATATATGAATTAATTTAGAAACTTATTTGAAATTAAATATTAAATTCAACATTAACATATTAGTAATCCTTTTATGAATTATACAACTAGTAATCTATTTTATTGTAGTTTTTACGAATAATAGTGCACATTCTAATTATGTTGAAAAATAATTTGATAATCTATTTATTGTTTTTTTAAGAATTTTTTTTAAATGAACCTATTTTTTCTCTAAATAATGCACCTATTTTTTTCTCTAAATAATGTACATTTTTTTTCTCTAAATAAAGCACCTATTACTTGTTTTATGAAAAATAATTTGATCATCTTTTTATTGTGAATAATGCTACTCTTACCACATTTGTATACCACATCTTTATACCATCTTATGTGACAGCTGAGGTGGACAACCACATCAATTAAAATTATTTAATATTTTCTTTTCTTTTATGATTTGTTCTAGTATTTGTTTTTCTAATTGCCTTAATTAAAATACACTTCATTGATTTAATTAATGTGGCATATAATATGGACATGCCACATCATGTGGTATAGAAATGTGGGATAAAAAATGTGGTAAGTGTTTTATGAAAACAATTTTTTTATATAAATAAACCTTATTTTTTTATCTAAATAATGTACCTATTTCTCTAATAATGTATACCTAGTAAAACAATTTACCTTGTATAATGAACTTATTTTTTTTCTTCTAAATAATGTACCTATTTTTAATTTATAAAAAAATGTGCATAAATTCAATTATACATTGAACCTATTTTTAATTTAAGAAAAATTCACGAAAATTTCAATTAAAAAAGTAACTGACTTAGTTTTTTTAATTTTTTTTATACCTATATTTTTATAGGTATATATTTATATTTATATTTTTCATATGTACATTATTGGATATGTAATTTACAATTTTTTGTATGTTTGTAATTTTAGGGGGCGATATGCTAGAGGGAATGGCAACCAAAAGAAATGCGGTGGTTGATGTGCTATTAATAGATTACAATTATGGCAAGTTAATGAAATGCTTGGAATAAATTATAAATAAAATATGAAGTTTGATGGCAACGATGTAAAAACATAGGAATACTATGACATCTTATATCCTACTGGTCATTTAAGTTTGAAATTGAGTTTTACACATAAATTTATAGAATAATGGATGTTTAGAAAATAAAAATTGTAAGGACATATATTGGACAAGCCCTAAAAAGCCCATACACTTAAGAAGAAACAATATCAATATTATATAAAACAAAACAATCTTGACTAGAGGTGTCAAACGGGACGGGCCGGCCCAGCACGGCACGAGCCCAGCCCATTTAAATGAAGCACGACACGACACAAGCACGAATATTAATGGGCCGTGCTCGGCACGGCACGAAAACTTGGGCCGTGCTCGGCACGGCACGAAAACTTGGGCCGGGCCGAGATCAAAAAATGAGGTCCAATGGACCGGGCCGGCCCATGGCCCGACATGGGCCGGGCTTGGCCCGAGCATGTTTCAAGCACGGCACGAGCCCAAGCACGAGCCCAAGCACGGCCCACTTAACATTTTTTTCTTTCTCAAAAGTCAAAATGCAATAATTTGACATCTAATGTCATTATTTATATGTTTTTTTAATCATAAATATATATTTGATGTCTTTCATTTTAGGGAAATTACTTGGGTCCTTAATTAATTAAACATATCAACTACAAATTAATTAAACAATATTGGACTTGATATCTAATCAGTACATATGACATATATGCTTCTCTTATAATCAAAGCAAGACATTATTTCACATATAAAATAATAAGTTGTTTAAAGATGAAAAGTTGAAGTGGACTTTGTAGAGTTTGACACTTTTTGCCCTCTGCCATTTTCATATTGTTTGGATGTTTGATTGATTAATGTTTTCAAATAGTTCATCATTTCTTGCCTCTAATTATATTTTTAATTTTTATAATTTGAATTATCTAGTGAAAAAAAAATGAAGTGAAAAAAATTCAAATTAAATGGATTGGTTCTTGGGCCCGAGTATGGCACGAGCACGAGCACGAGCATGGGCACGACACGAGCCCGGCCTGGCCCGTTTCAATATGGACATGGGCTTTGGGCCAGGCCGGGATCAATAATTTTACTAAATGGGCCGGCACGGCACGGCCCGATAAATTAAATGGGCCAGCCCAGTCCGACACGAAAACGTTAAAAGCATGAGTTTAAATGGGATGGGCCGGCACGGCACGGCCTGTTTGACACCTCTAATCTTGACCCAAAAAAATCAACAACAAAACAATTGAATGTATATATATATATATATATATATAGGGGCCGCCGCAAAATAAATAAAAGCTTCATCAAGACCTAGGGATGAGTGTTCTTTGTATCAAAAAGTTTATAGAGCAAATACAATAAAACAACCTATAATAATTAGAGTCATAATAAAAACTATCTCCATCTGTGTCGTAAAAAGTAATCAAAGTCATATGTATTGTAATCAACATCATCATCAAAATCAAATGGCTTAGCTAGAACCCTGACTCAGCGAGATATAAGGAATAAGGAGATTGAACAATAACCCTACAAGTAACAATGTCGGAATCCACCAACAAACTGGAATCCACCAAAGAAATTGAGTAAACCTCAAATATATTGATTGAAAAAACCCTAAACCCAATAAACTAACAAATACAACCATGAATAGAAAACCCTAAAATTGTAGGAAACCCTAGGTTCTAGAATATTCCTAAACTTAACTAACAAGAAAATAATAAAAATCATATTAGGAAAATAATATCTTAATAGATAACTTATTCTTCAAAATATAAAATAAAACATTAAATTAAAATACAAATCTTGACAGAATCATAATTGCTTCAAACTTAATCAATTAGAAAATCTCGACGATATGCTTTCCTTCTTTTCGTAGCGCCATAATTGACATTTAGTTGGAATTTTCCTCTCTTGCACTATTTCCTTCCAACTTTGAACCATTTTATTCTAATTAATTTTTCACACCGTAATTTACCCACATATTTTGTCATGCATCAAACCCTTACAACTAAAATTAGAAATATGAGAAGCAAACATTGATATTTCATGGTCACCCTCATCAAAACCAGTACCACTGACATCCAAAAACACAAGCTCCCTACATCCCTGCAGTAATGTGATGAGATCACACCGACGAATGATTGCCCTCCTCAAGCTTAAGTATTCAATATTAGGTACGAACTTGACAATCGACAATACCTCATCTTTACATAATGAAGCACGAAAGACGTCTAACCTACGAAAGTTCTTGCAGTGAAGGCTGATCTGTGAAAGAATTTCAGTAATATCTGTGCTGTCTCCCAAAGACAATGACTCCAAATGTTTCAACTTTTCAGTCAGTTCCATAATTATGCTTGATTGCCGTAACACGAAATTTCTAGGCAAAGACAAAGCCTTGAGGCTAGGACACCTGCAAACAGTAGTTCATCATAAATATTGAATAGTATAAATTGAAGTACATGCCAAAGGGAAAACAAAAATAAAAATACACATCAAGCAAAACAAACCATTGAAATGCCAATAATTAAAATAAAATAAAATAACTTACGTATTTGCGACTAATCTCAGTAGTCTGTTTGAACATTCAGGTAGGCTCAGAGAAGTAGCATTTCCACGGCTACGACTAACAAGCAGCTTTACAAAACCAGTCATGGAGAAACGGTACTTACTAATTCGATACTGACGTATGAATTTTCTATAAAAGGGAGTAGCGATCCAATATTGATTTTTTGCGAAATAAGAAAACCGAGCAACCATAAAACCATCATGAAAGTCCGGTAATATGAGACATTGCCAGAATGAAGGATCGAGGCTTGCTTTGTACCATGACTTGCACACAAAAGGGACATCCAAAAGCAGCGACTCCATTCCAACTCTTCCCAACACAATCAACAAACAGTCCACGTCTAAGTCCTCCCATCTTCTTTGATCCATCTACAACAAATCAAAACATAAATATTAGTCCAGCTATAAATATGATGAGGACATCTTTGTCAAACCCATTAGGGTTTACAAAAGAAAGAGATGGAAGAGGAAGTCATTTAATTTGGTCTTTAAATCTGGCAATTCTTATTCTTGCGATTAGTTTCTAACTTGTTCTCTAAGTTTTCCACATTTTAGGAAGATTTTTAAGTTTTCCAGATTTTAATAGGATTTCTAAGTTTCCTATTTTATTAGGTTAGAATTTATGTTTTAGCAATGAAATTTTTATCCTATTATCTTTAGGCTCTCACGTAATTCATTATGGAGTTGAGTTGTTGAGATATAAGAGAAGTTTATTTTCCAGAGATTGGGGACTACTTAGTTGAAGCGAAACGCCCTGGAGTGATTCCAAACCTATCTTTTTTGTTTTATTTTATATTTTCCATTGTTTTCGCTTCCGCTAAATTACCCAAATACTCAATTCACTCATATCCTACATCAAAATATATCAACACAGAACTAGATACATACATAAGCAAAATGCAAAAAACACAAAGAAGTACTAAACATCAGTAGAAAAAACTAATAATCTAAATTAAGATAGAGCTAAGAAAGAATCACCGCAAAACCACAGATAAGGCAATGAAATAAGAAGCGACTGCAAACCATATTGACTTCATATAAATAGAACACTTACCTTTTGGCTTGTCATAGAAGTTGTGGAAATATCAAGAACATATACAAGAGCTCTTCTTCTCAATCTGATCTCTCTAATTCTAGATGGGGTGAATACTTTAGTGTAGGTCGCGTGATTTTGGTTGAGCAGGAGCTCTTGTATTTATATGCATCTGTCTAGAAAGTCTTACCCATCAGGAAACTCTTTAGCTGTCCTTATTACATTAATGAAACCTTAATCCACAAGAAAATTCCCAATCCTTATATGATTAGGAAAGCACATTGAGTGGTACAAGACAATACAGCGACAGCGCAAACCATGCTAACCCTTTGTGGGAAATTCTTTTAATACATGCCTAATTAACTTTTACCCTTTCCGAGTTACTGTATTCAAATGTAGGAGAAAAGCTATACTGGCTCTTGTGCCTCCCGATTGACTTCCATTAATAATACCGGTAATGTTCATAACAAATAATACCCATTCGTTTCTTCATTAAATAAATAAAAAAATTACCGAATTGTTTTACCAAATATGGATTATCAAAAAAGAATGTTCATGGCTTTATCAAATTGACAGAAAATAATATTTATATTAAGAAATATCAAAATAAAGTATATATAGCGGTAACCATTTCGGCAATTTCAAAAATCAAAATGCAGGAAATAATATTACAAGCACGTTCACTAATTAAAATTCAGTTAATTAGAATTATATCCATCGTTCACCATTTCGTCACAACTGTTTCCCGAGTCATCATCAAAAGCATAATCACAAGAGCCCTTAAAGCAGAAATTACCAATGTGAAATCTCCAAATCATCCGGACTAAAACCTATACAATCACTGTCTTCCAGCAGCAGAAGCTTTTTGCAGCGCAGCAGTAGCGCCATAAGATCATCTCGACCAATTTCCACTCTCCTAAAGATCAACTGTTTAATCTTAGGCAGGAAGTTAACGATTGCCATTCCCTCTCCAGTACAAAAAACATCATTAGACACACATAAGCCACAAAAATCCTTGCAGTGAATGCTGATCTGTGAGAGGATTTCTTCGAAATCATCGCCGCTTTCCAACATTAACCACTCCAAATGTTTCCACTTACCAATCAGCTTTGGGATTACATGTGGTTCGTCCCCATGAAATGCCACAACCTTGAGATCACCACACCTGCAAACAAAATTTTACAATGACTCAGTTATATGGTGGATACATTTGAAAAGGAAAATTAACAAAATCCTCAAAAAGAAACTTAACACATTCGAAAAATATTTCAACTCTGCTTTTGAAGCAGATGGAGGTAGGCTGAGAACAGTAGCATGTCCTTTGCTACGACTGACGACAAACTTAATAAACGCACTAGTCGAAAACTTCCGCGCTTCAATTTGATATTCATTGACAAATCTTCCCAAACAGAAGTCGTTGGGAAAAATGAGACGTTGCCAGCAACAAGGATCCAGACTTGCTTTGTACCATGACTTGCATACAAAAGGCACATCGAAAAGCAGTGACTCCATACCAACTCTTCCAAAAATATTCTTCAAACAGTCAGTGTTGAACTCTTCCCATCTTCTTTGATCCATCTGAAACAAATTAAATTAAAATTTAAAAAAGATTCAAATATGTTGGGATTTCAAACGAAAATCGGAAAGAAAACTAATTATTCCAAAGAAACAGAGCCGAAATTACCTCAGCAATTCTTTTCCTCTTTGGCTTACGACTCTCTCCCCGATTCTCTTTTCCCCCAAACACTCCAATTTTATACATTTTCAAACCCTAGATTGAGACTCCAGAAATCCGGGGTAGGGTTTATGTATTGTTTGGACTTTGGTTGGTTGTTGTTGGGCCATTGGTCTTTTTTGTTGCTTTTGTTGGGCTCACCAATATTGTGAATGAAGGAACTCGACTAAAACGGAACAGGCCTAGATTTCTCCAATTTGATCTTATTGAACTTACTTTGTGTATTGAGGGGATATTTGAGGGACACTATTGTAGCCAATCACACATTGTTTTTTAATGATCTGAACTGTCCAATTTTTAGATATCTCTCAAAGATCATATCTGCAAAAAATCACTTGAATCCGAAATTCCATTTTACTGCTTAATTAGATTATTGTTATTTTAGTCTTTTCTTGAAGCATCATGTTAATCTATTTTGTTGCAATTAGCAAGCCTGCCTAGATGCTTTCTTTTTTTTTTTAATTTTTTAATTTTTTATTTTTTTTTTTTTTTTGGATGATCTATGAATGAAAACTTGAAAAATAAAAAAATAGTTTGGATTGTTGAAAAAAAAAATATACGGTACCATAAATGGTGTCCCTTAAATAAATTTATCTGAGGGATCTCTCAATAGAAGTGCTCAATTCTCATTCTGCCAAAAAGAAAAAAAGAAAAAACTTCCTTATTGTACCAACAACCAAAAAAACTACCTTATGGCTATTGTATTTTAATTTGACATATCGGGTGGAATGTAAAACTCTATCATAGGTCAAATTTCCACATAAGTCATGAAATTCAAATTTAATGTTTGATATTTGACTGGAGATATTCTAAGAATTGAATTATGAAGTAGAAATGAGATGGGAAAAAAACAAAGAGAAGACAATTCCAATACATCAAAACGCAGGTAGATGGTATTACAAGCACATGCACTAATACATCGGACTTCTTTCATATTCATACGGAGGAGCCTCTTTCATGGCTAACACACAAAGGAACTAAGGAGAGCACATGTTATGTTAAATATATATAATATAAAAAATTGCATTGATCCTAACCATTGCAGATGCTCTTAACGAAACTAAGGAGAGCTTATTTAAGTGTATCAGAAAGTGGTATACACATAACTTTGGTACCATGAGACCTATAAATAAATAGTTTATTGTCACTCATTTCTGGTAATTCAATTTTTTTCAGCCACCCATATATCTTTATTACTTGTTTCAAGTTTTTATTTGTTGTCCTCTCCTTTGGTTGATCTCAATCCTTTTTCTTGATTTTGTTGCCATCGATGGCATATACCTCCTCAAACACACCTCTCCCTAATTTGATACAACACACCTACATTGTGGTTTCTCAAACCTCTCAAGACACCCATGCACCTCAACATCACTCCTCCAGTGTACCTCAAGCAACGCTTGCACAAAATAAAGGACGGTCCTTCTTGTCCTTATCCTCCTCAACGGTCAAGACCTAGAATGCTAGGGTTCTGTGCATATATTTTGGAAAATAAAAGATCATGTCCGATTCAAATTCCTGGAAAGTAAAAGTTGCAACCAAATGGGCAGCCCTATCGAATTACGTACGTCACACAATATTCAATGTAAGCTGAAGAAAAAAGCTCTTGTATTCATGATTTCATGTATGTATTTGATACAGTATGGTCAGTGTATATGTGACACACACACACACACACATATATGTATATCTATATATCTCACACACACACATTTACTAATGTTCAGTAATCAATATATGCTCCTTTTGTTTATATATTTATCCTAAACACATAAATTTACTACAAATTTATAAATAAACCCAATCCTAGACATGTATTTATAAAAAAACCCAAACACTATTTAAACATAGAAACACACCCAAAATCAACCCCAAAATCAACAATTGTATATTTTTTGGGTGTGTTTATAAATGAGTTTTGAGTGTGTGTAATGATGGGTTTTGGGTGTGTTTATAAAGTGTTTTGAGTGTTGGGTTTTTTTATAATTTCAGCTCCCATTTTGGGTGTTTTAGTGAAACTCCCTTCCTTTTGTTTATATATTTATCCACGAGTTAGAGCAAAAGGAATATATATATATATATATATATATATGTAGGAAGTCTGTAATATCTCAGACATGAAAAACTATATGCAAAAACACAAAGGAAAATGTACGGCAGACAACGGAAGTGATAGAATTTACATAAGAAGGGAAATATTGTTTTATAAAAAGGGTTTAAGAGAAAGCAAGCTTTGACTAGGGTCGTCCTTGAGGTTTTGAGGGCCCTGTGTGAAACTTAAATTGAGGTTTCACATAATCTAATATGAAAATACTATTAATAAAAATTTGCCATAACTTAATGTCATAAACAATTTTTTTATAACTAAAAGTCACCATCAATAAATATGTAATGACAACTAGAAATCAAATTCATAAAAATTTAAGAGATATTTAGTCATATACCCATTCGTAGCACTAAAACTATAAATAAACCTTGCACCATTAAATTTTTATAAACATACCCAAAAAAAACATAAAAAATGACAGCTGGACCTATTGAATTTAATTTTGATTATTAAATTACTTTGATGCCCTATTGAGTGTTTTGAGCTTTTTTATGAGGTTTTTGGGTTGGGCTTGTTTTAGGAAATCAATAGCTGTTTTGTAATTTAAAAGCCTTTTTGTTATGTTGTTTTGGGTGTGTTTTTAAAGTCCATTTCATATATGGTTTTTTTATAATTTGGGCTTTTATATTGGGTATAGTAGTGAATCTCTCAAAATTTAAATGTTTCCATTTGATAAAGTTAAATGTTCGGTACAAAAATAAAGTACCTCCAATAAGTACTTTTCTTGGAGGAGAAATTTTTTTATTTTTTATTTTTTATTTTTTTATTTTAAGAACGATTAGGTGAGGAGTAGAAAGTGTTTGGGATATATATATATATATATATAATCCTTTTGTGGTTAGCTTCAATGTTTCCTTTTTTTAAAAGGCTTTTTGTGTGTGTGTGTGTGTTTTTTTAATAATTATGTAAAGTTTGTTGTTATAAAAATAATATAAAAAAAGGCAAATAGATTGGCTTCAACGAGAATCGACTCCAACAAATACGCTCTTGTGCAAATATTTAACACGTTATACTATATATACAAATCAGATAATATTAATATATATATATATAATATAATATAAAGAAATTTTTTTTGTTGCGCCACCCAGGGCCGCCCTTAGCTTTGACTAAGGAAAAAAAAGGAGAGAGAGACAAAGCAAAACGTTCCTAGTCATTTTGTTGGCATTACAAATCTTTAATAGAAAAGGACAGTTGAAGAGACATGGGATATGGAGTAGTGTCTTATATATTCATTCTCTGTGTAATGGAGAAGAACATTTTTTTTATACAAAAACGTATTCATATGCATCTCCTTAAAAGAAAAACAAAAACAGTATTCATATATGTTTGATATTTCGACAAAAAAACAGAAGTGTTATATAACTGAGGGAAAATTGTAGAGATAATTGGAAAGTAGAGAAAGACAATATAATTTGTGACAATCAACTTGTATATCTCATCTTGGTAAGACATCTTATTTATAGGCTTATAGTGATAAAAAGACATTAACAACTCATAAATTACAAGCTCACAACTATGATATTTATAGGTTACATAGAATTAGAAAAGATGAATGCTAAGAGGTATGGTGGTCATCCACCAACTCATGCATTTACAACAAGAAGTTTGATATTTGTTTTTTTTGGTGTTTGAGAGACCATGACAAAACCTACGTAGCACAGTCTGCCATTAGCCTGCAGCACTGCTGACTGAATTCATAGTCAAACAATATGAGTAGAATATTTTTAGATTGTATTTTATTCTCCAAAAGGAGGTATTTATAATACAATGATGTAACCCTAGCAAGTTCAAACTAGGAAACAAGATAAAATCCTAATTACACAAAATTTTTACAAAATGAAAGAAATAGTGTCCTAATATACTAGGAAATAAATATCATAATTAGTCTAGAATCTCGCTAACACTCCCCCTCAAGTTGAAGCAAAGATGTCATGCATGCCCAACTTGTCAAGCGAGTTGAGGAAGACCGTAGTAGATACAGCTTTCATAAAAACATCTGCCAATTGATTCTCTGATGATATAAAACAGAAAAGAAATAATTCTAGCATCCAACTTTTCTTTAACAAAATGTCGATCAACCTTCACGTGCTTTGTACAATCATGTTGCACAGGGTTATGTGCAATTGCAATTGCATTTTTGTTATCACAATACAAATCCATGGGTTTATGGGGTCCAAACCCAAGATCTCTCAACAACCTTCTCAACCATAGTAACTCACACACCCCTTGAACCATCCCACAGTACTCTGCCTTAGCATTAGATTTAGACACCACTTTTTATTTTTACTCCTCCAAGTAACAAGATTACCACCAATATATGTGAAATACCCAGACGTAGAACGTCTATTAGTAACTAAACCAGCCCAATCAGCATTTGTATACCCTCCCACATTTGTATGACCATACTTGCAAAACATTAATCCCTTGCCAGGAGTTACTTTCCGATACCTCAGAATGCGCACCACAGCACCCATATGATCTTCACTAGGAGAATGCATAAACTGACTCACTACACTCATTGCATATGCAATATCAGGACGTGTATGAGCTAAATAAATAAATTTTACCATAAGTCGTTGATAACGCTCTTTATGTGTAGGAACTTGATCAGGATACATCCCCAACTTATGATTCTGTTCACTATAGGTATCAATTGGTTTACAATCCAACATTTTAGTCTCTGCAAGTAGATCTAAAATGTACTTTCTTTAGGACATAAAGATACCATGTTTAGACCTGGCAACTTAAATACCAAGAAAGTACTTTAATCACCCAATGATTTCATCTCAAACTTGGAAGCCAGATACTTGTGAAGACTTTGCATTTCTGCCTTATTATCTCCAGCCACAATTATATCGTCAACATAAATAATTAAAGCCATCAATTTACCTTTATGATGCTTTAGAAATAAAGTGTGGTCTAAGTTACTTTGCACATACCCAAATTTCTTTATAGATGTAGCAAATCTTCCAAACCATGCTCTTGGAGACTGCTTCAATCTATACCAAGACTTCAGCAACTTACATACAATACCCTTATTAGAGGTCACAGGAATACCAGGAGGGAGATCCATGTAAATATCCTGCTTGAGGTCACCATGTAGAAACATATTTTTGACATCAAATTGCAATAAGAGCCAATCGCAGTTAGCATCAATGGATAAAAGCACACACACAGTATTAAGTTTTGCCATTAGAGCAAAGATCTCCAAATAATCCACTCCATAGGTCTGAGTATACCAATTTGCTACAAATCTAGCCTTGTAACAATCAATAGAATCATTAGCCTTATGTTTCAAAGTAAACACCCATATGCATCCAATTGCTTTCTTCCCTCGTGGAAAAGGAACTAAATCCCATGTCTTATTCTTGTTAAAGGAATCCATTTCCATATTCATGACATCCATCCATTTGGTGTTAGATAGAGCATCATGCAGCTTAGTTGGCACACATACACTAAATAATTAACATAAATATGATGCATATAACTTAGATAAGTGATGAGTTGTCACATAATGGCTAACGAGATATTTAGATTTCACATGTATATCAGGAGAATATTGTACTTTGGGTTTCCCATGAGTAGTTCGTGTGGGTAATTGACAAGTAAACATAGCCAGATCATCAGAAATTACCTAACTTGGCTCATTATCACAATTTGACTAGAGCAATGACAAGGTAGAAAGGGGTCTTGTATCAAACTCGTCTTCGCAAGAATCACAAGGAACAACATTAGTTGTCCTAGGCGACCGGTCACACTACTCAAGGCGACCGATCGTTTCAGAGCTAGGTGACCGGTTGTGACCATCTTGGCAACCAGTTGATTTGAAGCCGAGAGCATCATCTTTGGGGTCAGAGCCAAGCGACCGGTTGTGACCATTTTCGTGACCGGCAATTTCGAAGCCGAAAGCCATTTTTGTACTATCTTCACCTATATCATTAAGTCCAAGATCCTTAAATCCGAGACTCTTTAATTCACTTCCCCTCTCCCCCCTGAATTGGAGATGAGGGATAAATATAATATAGCACTTCTTCATGGAAGGTTACATCCAAAGTAACGTGCACCTTCTGAGTAGGAGGGTGATAGCATTTATAACCCTTATGAGTAATAGAATAGCCAATGAGACACATTGTAGAGCACATGGATAAAGTTTACTTCATTGATAGGATTAGACATGAACATATGCAACACATCCAAACACCTTCGGAGGTAACTTAGAGACAGAAACCGGAGAAGTATGAGCACACAACACATCAAGCAGAGTCTTGAAATCAAGAACCCGACTAGGAGTACGGTTAATCAAATAGGTCGCGGTCAAAACACCATGGTTCCAAAGGTGATGGGGAACATACATGTCCAACATAAGGGAGCGGGCAACTTCAAGTAACTGATGATTCTTATGTTCAAACACACCATTCTGTTGAAGAGTGAATGAAGTGGTAGTTTGGTGAATAATGCATTGATCACGGAAGAAACAAGTCAATGTATTATTCACATATTTACCTCTGTTATCAGTCTGAAACACTTTGACTCGAACATGAAACTAAGTAAACAACATGACACAAAATTCAGGAAGAATAGAAGCAGTATCATGTAACAAACCAACAGAAACCATTAGAAGTCACATGAACAAGGCCTCATACATCTGAATGTACAAACTCAAAAGGCAATGCAGCTTTATTATTACTTAAGGGAAAAATAGTACAGTGGCTCTTGGCAACTACACAAGTCTCACATTTGAAGGTAGACTCATCACACGAACTAAATAACGAAAGAAACAAATGCTTAAGATAACCAAACGAAGAGGAATAGGTAAATCATTAGCACTAGTAATATAGGGGTCACGAGGGGTACGAGACAACTCATCAAAATAGATTATATCACAAGTCATATGATTAGAACCACCAGTGTCAATTATCCAAGTATTAGAGCCCATACCTGGCATAGTCTCAGAAACACACAAATTTGCAGACAGGGCTTAAAGATTGGCCCGTCTTGGGTCATAGTACAAGCAGCCTTGGGGCCATACATACGAGCTTTGTAGTCAGCAAACCAATCCAAGTAATCATGCTCCTTAAAACAACTTTTTAGAGTAATGATCACCATTGCAATGACAACACTAACAAGAACATTAAAAAGGATGAGAACCATTGGAAGATGTGGGCCTCTGAGACGACAGACGACCGTTCGTATTCTAATAGGCGACTGATCGTTACGGGCAGGATCCACTTTTTGGTCCATCGCACCTCCTCCGAGCATAGCAGACTGACGAGTGTCTTCCCCTATGACCATGGCATAAACTTCTAGAGGAGGCAGGACAAGATTGAGAGCAAAGATTTGGCTACGGACACCATCATACGGTGGATCGTTCTCCAAGAAAATCATAAACTCGATTGACTTTAATTTCTTTCTGACGACGAACCACATTAACAGAACAACTAAATTCATTTGGATGTAGACAATCAATCTCCTGCCATATAGCATGGAGTTTTTCATAAAACACTTTTACAGATTCACCATTATGACAACTTCCGTTGGGGTTGAAACAACCAAGAACTATTATGAGTCACAGTATAGGTCTTTTGAGCAGCCCCCCATATATCAAAAGCAGTACCACCATGTTCAAACAATGCACGAATTGGTTTAGTTATGGAATTGAGAAGCCATTACTGCACCAAACAATTATCTTATTCCTATTTGGCATAGGTAACGGAGTCTAGAGACAGAGCAGGCTTCTTCCAATTGATCCAATTTGCCATACAACAACTAGTAAACGTAAGGCATGCACCATGAGACCAAGAGGCCTAATTGGAGCCATCTAAATTTTCAGAAGTAATAAGGGTAGCGTAATCACAAGAGGGATGTTCCTCATTTGTTTCAAAAGCACTAGAACGTGCTACAACTTTAGAAGCATCACCCATGATAGCAGCGGAAACACAACATGAAGCAGAGATGACAAACACGGCACAGGCACAGGCACAAGAGAAAATCCTAAACGAAATTAGAGCACATAGTAGAACACGAGTGGGTACAACATACAGGTCACCAGAAAGTCGGCTCTGATACCAAGTCAAACAATATGGATATAATATTTTCAGGTTGTATTTTATTCTCCAAAAAGAGGTATTTATAATAGAAGGATGTGACCGTAGTAGGGTCAAGCTAGGAAGCAAGAGAAAATCCTAATTACACAATACTTGTACAAAAAGAAAGAGGTAGAGTTCTAATATACTAGGAAATAAATATCCTAATTAGTCTAGGATCTCACTAACATTAATGTTACCTGATATAGTATTGACCGTTTTTTCTCCCCACACAAAAACGCATGCCTACCCCTTGCTTCATTTTAATGCAGAGGATGAGATCTTTACTGCAACACTAGATAAAAACAAAGTTGTTGTCTCACCATGATTCCTATCATATTCCAAAAGCAATGGTAACTTTTCTCATTCTTATCCTCAGTAATTCGACTTCGAGCATGCATGCCTCTCATTTAGGTAAAACTATTTTATCCTATATAAAAGTAAGCCCTCATGTTCATGATTTCTCATATTTTGTTTACTCTTTTATCCTCTATGCTTTTCCTAGCTAGCTAACTATTGTTTTCCTCTTTCTATTTTGCTTATATTAGTTTCCATTTTTTTCCTAGTCTACTTCCACTCCTCCTTCGTTTCAGAAGCACTAAAACGTGCCACAACTTTATAAGTATCACCCATGATAGCAGCGGAAACAAACACGAAACAAAGACGACAAGCATGGCACAGGCACGAGCACAAAAGAAAACCCTAAAAGAAATTAGAGCACACAGTAAAACACAAGTGGACACAACACATAGGTCACTCGAAAGTCGGCCCTAATAACAAGTCAAACAATATGGGTAGAATATTTTCAGGTTGTATTTTATTCTCCAAAAGGAGGTAATTATAATACAAGGATGTGACCCTAGTATAGTCAAACTAGGAAACAAGAGAAAATCATAATTACACAATATCTGTACAAAAGGAAAAAGGTAGAGTTCTAATATACTAGGAAATAAATATCCTAATTAGTCTAGTATCTCGCTAACATTAATGTTACCTGGTATAGTATTGACCATTTTTTCTCCCCACACAAAAACGCATGCCTACCCCTTGCTTCATTTTAATGCAGAGGATGTGATCTTTACTGCAACACTAGATAAAAAAAAACTACTGTCTCATCATGATTCCTATCATATTCCAAAAGCAACGATAACTTTTCTCATTCTTATCCTCAGTAATTCGACTTCGAGCATGCATGCCTTTCAGCTAAGTAAAACTCTTTACCCTATATAAAAGTAAGTCCTCATGTTCATGATTTCTCATATTTTGTTTACTCTTCCTTCCTCTATGTTTTTCCTAGCTAGCTAGCTACTGTCTTTCTCCTTCTATTTTGCTTATATTAGTTTCCCTCCTCTTCCTAGTCTACTTTCACTCCTCCTTCGTTTCAGAAGCACTAGAACGTGCAACAACTTTGGAAGCATCATCCATGATAGCAGCGAAAACACAACACAAAACATATACGACAAACATGGCACAGGCACAAACACAAGAGAAAATCCTAAAAGAAATTAGGGCATGTAGTAGAACACGAGTGGGCACAACACAGAGGTCACTAGAAAGACGGCTCTAATACTAAGCTAAACAATATGGGTAGAATATTTTCAGATTGTATTTCATTCTCCAAAACGAGGTATTTATAATATAAGGATGTAACTATAGTAGGGTCAAACTAGGAAACAAGAAAAAATCATAATTACACAATATTTGTACAAAAGGAAAGAAGTAGAGTCCTAATATACTAGGAAATAAATATTCTAATTAGTTTAAGATCTCGCTAGCATTAATGTTACATGATATAGTATTGATTACTTTTTCTCTCCACACAAAAATGCATGCCTACCTCTTGCTTGATTTTAATACAGAGGATGAGATCTTTGCTGCAGCACTAGATAAAAACAATGTTGTTGTCTCACCATGATTCCTATCACATTCCAAAAGCAATGGTAACTTTTCTCATTCTTATCCTCAACAATTCGAATTCAAGCATGCATGCCTCTCAGCTAGGTAAAGCTCTTTACCCTATATAAAAGTAAGCGCTCATGTTCATGATTTCTCATATTTTGTTTACTCTTCCTTCCTCTATATTTTTCCTAGCTAGCTAGCTACTGTCTTCCTCTTTTTATTTTGCTTATATTAGTTTTTCTCCTTTTCTTAGTCTACTTCCACTCCAACTTCATTTTAGAAGCGCTAGAACGTGCCACAACTTTGGAAGCATCATCCATGATAGCAGTGAAAACACAACACGAAACATATACGACAAACATGGAACAAGTACAGACACAAGAGAAAAACCTAAAAGAAATTTGGGCATGCAGTAGAACACGAGTGAGCACAACACAGAGGTCACCAGAAAATCGGCTCTGATACCAAGCTAAACAATATGAATATAATATTTTTAGGTTGTATTTCATTCTCCAAAATGAGGTATTTATAATACAAGGATGTAACCCTAGCATGGTGAAACTAGAAAACAAGATACAATCCTAATTACACAATATTTGTACAAAAGGAAAGAAATATATACTAGGAAATAAATATCCTAATTAGTCTAGGATCTCGCTAACATTAATGTTACCTGATATGGTATCGACTGTTTTTTCTCCCCACACAAAAACGCACGCCAACCCCTTGCTTGATTTTAATGCAGAGGATGAGATCTTTACTGCAACACTAGGTAAAAACAAAGTTGTTGTCTCACCATGATTCCTATCATATTCAAAAAGCAACAGTAACTTTTCTCATTTTATTCTCACCAATTCGGATTCGAGCATGCATTATTTAGCCTTAGCCTCTCAGCTAGGTAAAACTCTTTAGCCTATATAAAAGTAAGCCCTCCAGTTGATGATTTCTCATATTTTGTTTACTCTTCCTTCCTCTATGTTTTTCCTAACTAGCTAGTTACTGTCTTCCTCTTTCTATTTTGCTTATATTAGTTTCCCTCATCTTCCTAGTCTACTTCCACTCCTCCATCCTCACCATGAATGACAAGGCTAAACAATTAGTCATCATCATGCTAGCCTTACCCATGTTCTGGTGATGTTTAAGTCAGGCATGCATTAATGGTGGGTGTTACTTTATGGTTGTGGGTTGCATGGTGGTGGCTTCTACTTATTTCATATCATCTTCCATACGTTTCTACCACTTGGGTAGTTCTATTCTGCTTATGGACATCTTATTGGCTCAAATTGCTTGTCATACTTCCATATTCCATTTGGCTTCCGATGTGACTGATTTGTAATATTCCTAGTTTCATCATGCTAGTGGCTTCTAGGCTATGGTTCATACGTGTATCCAATGCTGTGTAGGCCAAACTCATGAGAGGAAACTAGGCATGTATTTTCTGTTAGCGAGATCCTAGTTTAATTAGGAGATTTAGTTCCTAGTTTGTTATAACTATATTCTTTTTCCTTTTGTATAGATATTGTGTAATTAGGATTTTATCTTGTTTCCTAATTTGACACTACTAGGGTTACATCCTTGTATTATAAATACGTCCTTTTGGAGAATAAAATAAAACCTGGAAAAAAAAATTCTACCCATATTGTTTGACTTGGCATCAGAGCCAAATTTTCTAGTGATCTGTGTGTTGTGCCCACCCATGTTCTAGCTCCATATTGTTTTCTATTTGTGCCACATGTGCCCTCTTGGGGTTGTGTGTTGTGTTGTAGTGTTCGTACCTCTATTATGTTCGTGTGATTCCTATCTTCGTGCATCTGCCATATTTATGCCTTTGTTGTGTTCCATTGTATACTCTGTCGTGATTTGTTGAGTTTCTGCTACAATCATGGGTGATAACTCTATTGTTGGTGTTGTTGTTGTTCTTCTACAAATTTTTGCGTTTCTGACTCTATTCTTAGTACTGGCTCCAATACTTGTATAATCGACACTAGTGCTTCTGATCATATGACTTATGATGCTAAATTTTTTGATGAGTTGTCTAGTAACACCCTTGACCCATACATAACTAGTGCTAATTGCTTGCCCTCTCCAATTACAGGCGAGGGCACAATCTCTCTCACTCCTACTCTGTCTTTGTCTTGTGTGTTATTAGTTCCCAATATCCAATGTAATTTGTTATATGTTGGTCGATTACTTGATACACTTAATGAGTCTGTTACTTTCTATCTTACACATTGCTCTTTTTAGGATCTTAAGACTCACGAGACAATTGGACATGGTAAACGGATAGGGGGTTATATTATTTGACATTGCCTTTTGCACCAGTTCATGATCGTGTCGTTAATATTGTTTAAAGTTCCAGTGTCAAAGGCAAATAGCAAATTTGGTTATGGCATCATCACTTGGGACACCCGTCATTTAGCTACATTAAGCGTCTGTTACCATATTTATTCCGCTCTTGTGATAAGTTCAGTTTTAAGTGTGAGACATGTATTTTGGCCAAGAGTCATCGCACTGTATTTCCTTTGAGTGACAGTAAAGTTGCAAAGCCTTTTGATTTAGTGCATTATGATGTGTAGGGTTCGGCTTGTGTTAGTTCGAACTAATTTCGCTGGTTCGGCACATTAATGATGATTGTACCCGACTCACTTGGGTTTTCTTATTGAAAAATTAACATGATGTTGCTTCAATCCTTCCAGAGTTTTGTACTATGGTATCTACTCAGTTTCATGCTCGGGTCAAAGTATTCCAAACTGATAACGGAGGTGAATATGTGAATAATACTTTGGAGTCTTTCTTCTGTACTCAAGATATTATTCACCAAATGACAACCCCATTTACCCCTCATCAAAATGGTGTGTCTGAAAGAAAGAACCAACAATTGCTTGAAGTTGCCCGTTCATCATATTGGATATGTCTGTTCCTTATCATATTTGGGGGCATGCTGTTCTTTCTGCTGCCTATTTGATTAATCGTACTCCTAACTGGGTTCTTGAATTCAAGACTCCGCATGACGTGTTTAGTGACCATGTTTCCCCTGTCTCTAAGTTGCCCTCTAAAGTTTTTGGGTGTGTTACCTATGTTCATGTCTATTTTCATCAACGAAGCAAACTTGATCCTTGTGCTCTGCGATGTGTCTTTATTGGCTACTTTTCTACTTAGAAGGGTTGTAAGCGCTATCATCCACCTACCCAGAACATGCATGTTACTTTGGATGTGAACTTTCTTTTAGAAGTGCCCTATTATGTCTCTCCCTCTTCTCCAATTCAAAGACAGATGGGAAGTGAATTGGAGATACTTGAATTGGAGAATGATGTGTTTGAAGATACTGCTCTTGAGAAGGAAATGCCCGGTAGCACTGAAGCAAGTGATTGGTCGTCCATATATGAAAATGAAACATGTGGTCTCTGTGAAGAAACGACCGATCACCCTTTGAAACTCGATCGGTCGCCCATATATAAGGATGAAGCAAGTGCTCTCAGTGTTGAAATGATCGGTCACATTGAAGTAAGCGACCAGTCGCCTGTATATGAAAATAATGACAGTGATTCTTGTATGGTAATTTCTAATGATTTATCTGTGTCAACTTATCAATTACCCCCATGAATCACTCGTGGGAAACCTAAAGTACAATATGCTCCTGATATACATGCCAATTCTAAATATCCCATTAGCCATTATGTGTCAACTCATCGTTTGTCTAAGTCATATGCATCATATTTGGGTTAATTATCTAGTATATGTGTGCCGATTAAACTGCAGGATGCTTTATCTAACCCCAAATAGATGGATACCATGAATGTTGAAATGGATGCCTTGAACAAGAATAAAACAAGGGATTTAGTTCCTTTTCTAAGAGGGAAGAATGCAGATGGGTGTTTGCTTTGAAGCATAAGGCTCAGACTTATGGAGTTGATTATTTGGAGACCTTTGCTCCAGTGGCAAAACTCAATACTGTGCGTGTACTATTGGCCCTGGTTGCTAACCATGACTAGTCCTTATTGCAATTTGATGTCAAAAATGCGTTTTTACATGGTGACCTCAAGGAGGAGATTTACATGGATCTCACTCCTGGTATTCCTATAATCTCTAAGGAGGATGTTGTGTGTAAGCTGTGGAAGTCCTTATATGGATTGAAGCAGTTTCCAAGAACATGGTTTAGGAGATTTGCAGCATCTATAAAGAAATTTTGGTATGTGTAGAGTAACTTAGACCATACTTTGTTTCGAAAGCGTCATAAAAATAAATTGACAGATTTAATTTTTTATGTTGATGATATGATTGTGACTGGATATGATCAGGCATAAATGCAAAATCTTCAGAAGTATCTAGTTTCTGAGTTTGAGATGGAGTCATTGGGTGATTTGAAATACTTTCTTGGGATTGAAGTTTCCAAATCTAAACATGATATCTTTCTGTCTTAAAGAAAGTATATTTTGGATTTACTTGTAGAGGTTGGAATGTTGGATTGTAAACCAATTGATACTCCTAATGAACAGAATCATAAATTGGGGTTGTATCTTGATCAAGTCCCTATAGATAAATAGCGTTATCAACCACTTATGGGGAAATTGATTTATTTGGCTCATACACGTCCTGATATTGCATATGTAGTGAGTGTAGTGAGTTAGTTTAGCTCATACATGTCTGGGTATTTCACATTTAATTGTTGGTGGTAATCTTGTTACTTGGATGAGTGAAAAGTAAAAAGTGGTGTCTAGGCCTAGTGCCGAGAGTATCGTGGGATGGCTCAAGGTGTGTGCAAGTTACTATGGTTGAGAAGATTGCTGAGAGATCTTGAGTTTGGACCCCAAAAACCCAAGGATTTGTATTGTGATAATAAAGCCACAATTGTGCATAACTGTGTGCAACATGATCATACAAAGCACGTGCAGGTTGATCGACATTTTGTTAAAGAGAAGTTGGATGCTGGAATTATATCTTTTTCTTTTATATCATCCAAATATCAACTGGCAGATGTTCTTACGAAAGCTGTGTCTACTATGGTCTTTCTCAACTCACTTGACAAGTTAGGCATGCGTGACATCTTTGCTCCAACTTGAGGAGGAGTGTTAGCGAGATCCTAGTTTAATTAGGAGATTTATTTCCTAGTTTATTATGACTATATTTCTTTCTTTTTGTACAGATATTGTGCAATTCAGATTTTGTTTTGTTTCCTGGTTTGACCATACTAGGTTTACATCCTTATATTATAAATATCTTCTTTTGGAGAATGAAATAAAACCTGAAAATATTCTACCCATATTGTTTTACTTTTTCTTCCCTTTCTTTTTTCTTGTTTCTTTCTTGAATTTAAAAAGAAAAAAAGGCAAGCTTTTTAATGTTTATTTTATTCATGGCAGTCTCCAAGGTTGTTGTTGGATCGAAGAAGAAGAAGAATCGTATCGAAACAAGAAGAGAAGAAGAAGAAGAAGGGACAGAAGTGGGTGCAAGTTCTTTTGTGAGTTTTTTCTTTTGTATACACTACGGAAGAGATGAAATCTCTTGAGAAGAATCAGGCTTGGACACTGGAAATTTTACCAAGATGAAAAAAGATTGTCGGATGTAGATGAGTGTTTACCATAAAACACAACGCTGATGGATTTATCGAGCGATACAAGGCAAGACTTGTGACGAAAGGGTACACACATATTTATGGCGTAAATTATGAAGAAACCTTTGCCCCAATTGCAAAATTGAACACAGTCAGAGTCTTATTGTCCCTTGTAGCAAATTTGGACTGGCCACAACACCAGTTTGATATAAAGAATGTCTTCCTACATGGAGAACTCAAGGAGGAGGTGTATATGGATATTCCTCTTGTATATAATACTACTCAGAGTGGAACATTATTCAAATTACGAAAGGTATTGTATACATTGAAACAGTCACCACGTGCATGGTTTGGACGGTTCACCATGGCAATGAAGAACAATGGTTTCAGACAGAGTAACTCATATCATACTTTGTTCTTGAAACATAAAAAAGGGAAGGTAACAGCTTTAATAATTTATGTTAACGACATGCTTATTAGTGGGAATGATAAACATGAAATATCTCAACTACAAAACTATTTGGCTACTGATTTGAGCTGAAGAATTTACGCGGACTCAAATATTTCTTGGGGATTGAGGTGGCCAGATCACAACGAGGCATATTTCTCTCTAAAAGGAAATATGTCTTGGACTTATTGACAGACACAGGAATGCTAGATTGCAAACTTGTAGACACTCCTATTGTTCAAAATCATCATCTTGGAGAATACTTGTATCAAGTTCCAACTAACAAAGAAAGATATCAAAGGGTTAGTGGAAAGATTGATCTACTTGTCTTATACTAGGCCAGACATTGCTTATGCGAAGAGCGTTGTCAGTCAATTTATGTATTCTCCGAGTGAAGACCACATGAATGCAGTTATTTAGATACTTAGATATTTGAAGTCTGCATCCGGAAAAGGACTTATGTTCTCAAAACATGGTCATCTGAATATTGATGGTTACACATATGCAGATTGGGTAGGAAATATAACAGATGGGAAATCCACATCCGATTACTTCACATTCGTGGGAGGTAATTTGGTTACATGGAGAAGCACGAAACAGAAGGTGGTCGCCTTATCCAGTGCAGAAGCCGATTTCAGAGGTACGACCAAAGGAATTTGCAAACTCATTTGGTTAAATAGGTTGCTTACTGAACTTGGGTATAGACCTACATCTGTAATGAATCTCTTTTGTGACAACAAGGTTGCAATAGCTATTGCACAAAATCTAGTTCAACATGATTGCACCAAACATGTTGAGGTAGATCGACACTATATCAAATAGAAGCTCGAAGCTAAAGTGATTCAATTTCCTTTCGTAAAGTCTGAGGATCAATTGGCGGATATGTTGACAAAAGCAATTTCTAGTAAAGCGTTCCACAATTCACTAGACCAGTTGGACATTGGCGACATTTATGCACCAAAGTGAGGGGGAGTGTTGGCGTAACTTGTGAACCATTGACTTTCTTTCCTTACACACCAAGGATTCCTATTATAATTATGTTTGATTTACTTTAATTCCTGATTTCCTACTGTAAATAGAAATAAGAATTTATTATTTACTTGCCCATTCAGGTTTCGTTGTATTATAAATATGACCTCCTACAAAGTGAAGAATACATAGAAAATTCCCACAAACAAATATTCTCTCATAGTTCTCATATTTTAGCACTATTTAGGAGTCTGTTTAATTATTTTGTTTTGTTTTTGGGATCCAAATTCTAACATTCAGTTTCAGTATTATCAAATGAATGTGACCGGAAATTTATACTACTACATATTCGTGTTGGAATGGAAATTCGACAACAATATATTAGTGGTTGGTTATTCTATTGAACTTTTAATACAAAGAACACTATTACACTAATCCAAGGTGTATATACAAACAACCTCTAATCATCATCAGAACTCTCTCCATCAGAGATCAATCTACCATGGTTATCTTCAGAATCATAGAGTTGGGAACCCTCACAGCTGAAATAAGCAATATGAGAAGAAAGCTTTAATATGTCATCATCATCCTCTTCAAAACCTCGACAATCACTGGCATCCAAATACACAAGCTCCTTACAGACTTGAAGTAATGTGATAGAATTTCCACGACGAATTCTTGAACACCTCAAGACTAAGTACTGAAAATGGGGCACCAATTTGATGATTGACGATGCCTCTTCTTCACCTATTAAACAATCAAGCAATTCCAAACGACGAAAGTTCTTGCAGTGAAGGCTGATCTGTGAAAGGATTTCAGCAATATTTCTGCTATTTCCCAAAGACAGTGACTCCAAATGTTTCAACTTTTCAGTCAGCTCCATAAGTATGCTTGATTTTAGTAACATCGAATTGCTAGGCAAAGATAAAGCTTTCAGGCCAGGACACCTGCAAAGAGAGTTCATCATAAATATTAAATAGTTTGCATTTGAGATAAATGATAAAGTGGAAAAAAAAACAAAAACAAAAATTTCAGCGTTTGATTTGGGTATCTCCAGAAAAAACAATACAAAAACTTTTAAACTTGCGCATTTGCAACATATTTCAGTATTTGGTCAGAACATTCAGGTAGGCTGAGAGAAGTAGCATTTCCACAGCTACGACTAACAACGAGCTTCACGAAACCATTCATGGAGAAACGAAGCTTACCGGTTAGATAACGATATACAAATTTTCTATAAAAGAGAGTTAAGAACCAAAATCGAGTATCTATGTAAAAACCCCGAACATGGTCGAAACGATAATAATTAAAGCCCGGAAATATGAGACATTGCCAGCATGAAGGATCGAGGCTTGCTTTGTACCATGACCTGCACACGAAACGAAAGGGACATCCAAAATCAGTGACTCCATTCCAACTCTTCCCAACACATTCACCAAACAGTCCAGATTTAAGCCCTCCCATCTTCTTCGATCCTTCTAAAAAAACAAAAAAAAAAAAAAAACCCATAATACCAGTTCCATTCCATACATAAGTAAATGCAAAAACACAAAACTTTTGCCAAGGTAAACAAAAGACACGATAAACATCAGTAGAAAAAACTAGGGTCAATCTAAATTAATAGAGAAGTGAGAAAAGAATCACCAGAAAAGCACAGATGAAGAAAGAAATAAGATCCAACAGCGAAAACCATGCTCACCCTTTATATAGGAAATTCTTTTACTTCCATAGATATCAGATTAACTTTTACCCTTCCCTCCGAGTTATTGTATTCAAATGTAGGACAAAACAAAAGCTGTAAATAATGGCTATGACCTTGTGCCTCCCACTCCCATTAATAATAACGGCAATTTTCATCATTGTAGTCGTTTTATGCATGCAAGGTTCTCATATGGTTAATGAGAGAGAGAGAGAGAGAGAGAGAGAGAGAGAGCATGCAAATGGTTTGTCTTCTCTATATGAGAATTCGACCCTCTGGCTATATGTGGTCCAATTGCAATGTAAGGAAAAACGATTAATTAGTGGTCAACTAGAAATCTATAATTGACCATTAATATATAAGTGAAGGAAAGCCAAGATAAACAATCCAACTTCATGAAGAACTCTGGGAAAAAAAAAAACAAAAAAAAACTTCATGAAGAATAAGCCAAGATGTTTATTTTATATATATTTAATTAAATTAAAAAAATAAAGAATATTCTGTAAAATTCATTCCAAAAATAAATAAATAAGGGGCCAAGAGGCTAGTTTACATTTAAAAAAAAAAAAAAAAAAAAAAAAAAAAAAAAGTATAGCTGTGTCAATACCAATATAGCAAAATATATGGGTAAGTCAGCATGTGACTATCAATTGCACGTACAATATTTATCATATTAGCCCCACGAATATATCAACGTGCCGGAATATCATAAATCATGTTCATATGGAGATGCCAATTGGTCTTAAACTATGTCACGAGACGATACATCATCATAAGATAAAATCAAAGCGGTTTTCCCCATCCTATTTCCAACTCCAACATTAATACTTGGCCTTGGGCAGGAATACTTGCCCCGAATTAACGTCATAAGAGCATCCCGACCAATCTCTGACTTCCCCAAGAACAAAGACTTGATCTTGGGCAGGAAGCTAACAATTGCCATTGCCTCATCTTTACCGATATTAGCATTCCCCAAATGTAAGGCACAAAAATCCTTGCACTGCAGTGAATGCTGATCTGTGAAAGGATTTCCTCCAAACGATGAGTGCTTCCCAGTATCAAAAACTCCAAATGTTTCCACTTACCAATTAGCTCAAGGATTACACTTGATTTGTGGGTAACTAAATTCCTAAGCAAGGCAACACCTTTGAGGTTACCACGCCTGCAAACAACATTTTACGACGACCCAATTATAGTGCACGGGGAACAAATTAAAACTGAATACATTTAACAAGAAAAATAACATAATGCTGAAATACTTAAGGAGAAACTTTCACATCTGAAACATATTTCAAGGATGTTTCTGAAGCACATGAATGTAGCATGAGTACAAAAGCATGGCTTCTGCTACGATTGGCCACAAACTTTATGAATGCAGTGACAGAGAAACGACTCTCATCAATTTGATATTCATCAACAAATCTTTGCAAAAGGGGGACACTGCGCCAATTTTCAGTTTCAACGGGAAAACCAAAATAGCTTAGTTTAAATTTCTTGAAAAATGAAGGATCGAGGCTTGCTCTATACCAAGACTTGCATACCAAAGGCACATCCGAAAGCAGTGACTCCTTACCAAGTTCTCCAAAAATATACGTGAAATAGTCCATGTTTAAATCTTCCCATCTTCTTTGATTCATCAGAAAGCATGAAATTAAGATTCAATGCAGCATTGAATATGTCTATATATCTATGACAAAATGCAAAGACCATATACCACTGCTTTTCTTTCTGCCTTTTAAAAATAAATAAAAAAATGAAGAGAAAATGAGAAAAGAAATAGACCTTAAATCAAAGATTTTCAGTTGAGATATAGGCAATCCAATTACGCAAGAAAGCACAGCCATGCTTCTATTATAGAAAATTATCTCATACGTCTGTCGTGTTTGTTTGATGAGATATTAATGTTGCAGCTAACTGTATCCGCGGGATTATTTCAAGTTGATGCATGGCACAAGTATCATGCTGTTTTTGAAAAGATGGTGAAGAAGAAGAAAATGATAATACCTTCTTCTTTTTTTCTTTATTTTTTTAATAACAAATACTACGTACACCCGTCAATGAGCAAGAATCTGATGAGAAAAAAAAAATATTTTACCTGTACGGGAATCAAGAGTCCGAGAAACCAATCTACTTATTGTAGCTGAAAACCCTAAACAGATTTATAATTTTTTTTTAAAAAAAATTCAGAATCGAGGGTGCTGCAGAGGGAGGAGAGTTGGATGTGGGTGGGCTTGTGGTTTCATAGAAGATTTGAGGGAGAGGTTGAGAGCAGATAGAAGAGTTGAGCGAGAGAGGCAGAGAGGAGTTGAGCGAGAGAGGCAGAGAGGAGTTGAGCGGAGGGATAGATGAAAGCCTATCGTCGAGGTTTTGAATTAACAGGGAATAGGGTCCACAAGGCGTCAGGCCCATTTCGCCACTTAACCCCAAAACTGTTTAGCGGGAAAGAAATGAATCGACGTCACGCGGCGATTTATTTATTTTTAATTTTTATGTTTCCTCTCCCTACAAACATGCCATGTGCGTACCTGTCATGTGCTTCTTTTTCAATGCTTCTCTACTTCGATCTTGGGACATTTTAGAAAAAGCAAAAGGAGAGAGAAAATTTTTAAAAGAAGCAAAAATGGACAAAAATGCCCTTATTTATTTTTAGATTTCCTAAGGAATCCAATACATTTGCATGTCTTTGATTTGAAAGTTGAGCGGTTTTTTTTGTCTTTTTAGAAAAAGCTTTGGCTTTTTCCAAAAGTGAAAAAAAATTTATGTCTAAAACCTAAAAAACCTTTCGATCTTTTATAAAACTTTCCACATCTTTATGAAAAAAGCGTTTTTGTTAGAACTGTTTATGTTCAGAAGGGTTTATTAGAGAAGTAGTCCTAAATGAGGCAAATTTAAATAAAGTAAAACAGCTAAGTAACTGTAGACACATGAATTTTTTAGCAGAGATACAATTTTTAAAGGCTAAAAGCTCAAAAAATAAAATTAGACAACTAAATATCCTTATAATTTAAGCAATACTTATGCTATTCATAATTAATTGAAAAAAAATAACATTACAATTAACTTACAATTGTTGCTAGTGAGGTTTCATATCATGAAAACGTCGCATTATATTTTCATTACTAATACAAGAAAAAACATCTTTATCAATATAAACAACAAGCTATCACTCAACCATTGATTTCCTATTTTGTTACGCAATGATGTGAACTACCTGAATTATTCAAAGGAGAATGTGAACTACCTGGATTGTTTTAAGGAGGATTTAAACTCTTTCCCTTAAAGTACCGTTCCATAACTGTATAATTAAAAAAATAAGGGTTTTATATCTATAACTATGACTAATTGACTATAGTTTATCAATTAAATAAACAAATTAATATCAAATTATCAATTAAATAAAATAAAATAAAAATTAATTATACCTCGAATCATGCGTCGCGCAACCTTTTCCTTGAGTTTGCTACTGATCTTACTAATACACAGAGAGCTTAATAAGAAAAAAAAATTATTAAAAAATAAAAGAAAATGAATAAACAAAATTGGCGTTTGCTCAAGAAGAAAAAAGTATGTATTTGACTTACTTTGGATTGGTGTACTCAAAAAGGAAAATAAAAAGGGTAGGATTCTTGTGATGCACACATACTTTGATAAAATTGAGTGATGTTAAATTGGTCCTTTATAAAAAGAATTCTCAATCCCACTTAAATAAGGAATTGTGCAAGCCTATTAAAGCCTAATTAAATAAAGAGAACTCCTAATCTCATTTAAATAAGGAATTATGGAGGCCCTATTAAAAGCCCACAAAATGGTAGTAGGTTTCCTTTTTTTAAAAAAAAACATTTTAATTTTAAAGCTTGGTCCCAAACGACATTGGTTTGGTTAGGATTTTTTATTTTATTTTTGAAAAAAAGGAAGCGCTCAGAAACAAAAAGTTCTCTTACACATTTCGTTGAACATCAATATGCAGCATCTCTTATGCCTTTCCTAGCGACAGAAGGTGCAACTGCACCTCCTTGCGCCTTAATAGGTCAGGACTCTCTCTCTATATTGATGTTGTCAATCACTACTCATCTCTCTCTCTATACTTCCTAACGTGTTTCTCTAGTGAAAATAAGGTCGGGACTCGAACACAAGCCGTCTGAGAATAAAGGTAAAAATGAAAGAATAGAACAATTGAATGCGAAGGTCGGGACTCGAACACAAGCTGTATGAGAAAATGAACAAGACACACGCTTTTGTCACTCTTGATTATATATACGTTATCTATAATATTAATATATATATCATATATATATATATAAAGCAAAAGGCAGAGAATGTTGAAACATTCAAAATACCAAAAAATGCTCTTGATTAATCCAAACATTAAGAATTAAAATTATAATTAAATGAGGATAATATGGTAAATTCACACTTTTTCATATTAAAAAAATTAAAATTAAAAGAAAATTCAGATAATGAATCCTATTTTTATGGAACACAACTACCCATTATACTTTTTAATTCTAACATAAATTTCATTTTCTTATAAATAAAAAGGCTCTCGCAGGCGCGAAAGCGCATGCGGAGAGGCTAGTATATATAAAGCAAAAGGCAGAGAATGGTGAAACATTCAAAATACCAAAAAATGCCATTGGTTAATTCAAACATTTAGAATTGAAATTATTAATTAAATTAGAATAATATAGTAAATTCACATTTTTTATATTAAAAAAATTAAAATTAAAAACAAAATCAGACAACATGTCCTATTTTTATGGAATATAACTACCCATGTTATCTTTTTCTTACTTCTAAAAATAAAAGAAAAAAGAAAAAAGAAAACCAATTGGCACATGTGTGAGCATGTGCCAAGGGGCTAGTATATTTTTATGTATAATTTTTTAGGAGAAGTAATAATATATTTAATATACACATAGATAAATAAAAATATTCAGTGGCCCTAAAAAATGGGGGACCTTGTGTGGTGTCTGTGACCATATACTATTTCTTCAAACATATAACTGCGCTTAATAATGTAAATCATCATAATAACAAGCCATAGATCCCTTACAACTGAAACTACTAACATGAGAAGCAAGCCTTAAAATTTCCTCATCACCAAAACCTACACAATCACTGACATCCCTGCGGTAACTTTATAACATCATCCCGACCAATTTCTGCATTCGTCAAGATCAACTTCTTAATCTTCGGCAGGAAGTTAACAACTGCAATTGCCTCATCTTTATCAAATGATGACTGTGAAAGGATTTCCTCCAAATGTTTCCACTCACCAGTCAGCTTTGGAATTACACTTGATCTGAGGTAAACTAAATAACTAGGCAATGCCAGAACCTTGGGATCACCACACTTCCTCTGAAGCACATGGAGGTAGCCTGAGTACAGTAACATGCCCTTTGCTACGATTGACGACAAACTTTATAAAGGCAGTGGTCGAGAAATGACTCGCGTCAATTTGATATTCATGCACAAATCTTTGCAAAAAGGGGTCATAACACCAATCTTTGCAAAAATAGCTGGTTGAAATGTTTGGAAAAATGAGACATTGCCAGCATGAAGGATCGAGGCTTGCTCTTTACCACAATTGCATACAAAAGACACATCCAAAAGCAGTGACTCCATACCACCTCTTCCAAAAATATTCACCAAACAGTCTATGTTTAAGTCTTCCCATCTTCTTTGATCCATCTGAAAGAAATAAAATTAAGATTTAATACAGGTATAAATATGTATATATATATATATATATATATATATAAATGACAAAACGCAAAAGATTTGGCTCCATCAAGGATCAAGGACTTCTAATCTCAGCAATTGGATTGCATGTATGATATATATTTTAAAAAAAATTTAACCCATGATATATCTAATCCATGGCTCTAGGATTTTCAACTCCTTCAACTAATCCGTAGCAAAAATCCCTATTGAAGGGAAGAAGCTCCCAAATGCTAAAATACCAAACCACAGCTAATCTACTTAAAAATTTATAGAGAAAATGAGAAAATAAATATGACCTTAAATCGAAGACTTTTCTGTTGAGATATAGGCAATGCAATTATGCACCCATGCTCGCCATTTTTATTTTTTATTTTTCTTTAGAGAAAGCAAAAACAAGTACATTGATACCACCAAAATAAAAGACTCAAGGAAGTGGGGTGACCTAAGCTGGAATATCAAAAAATAATAAATTTGGGACAATTTATGTATACTAATCTATTATAGAAAATGATTTATTCTCATCTGTTTATTTCTTTCCATTTTTTAACATTGATGAATTGTTAATATGCAGACAAAAATGGGTTAATCTATTCATTTGGTTCGTTCTCGGGAAATATCTATAGCTATATTGTTTCTGCACATGTTCACAGTAAACAAACCTATTGATTGAGTGCTTGAGTTTGATCCGCAAGGAACAGCGGAGACCAAAGGGTAAGAAATCGATGTGGTTTAGTTTGTTTTTTTTTTTTTTTTTTTTTTTTTTGGGTGGGATTGAGATTTTCATTATTATTTTTATTATATATATATAAGTTTAAATTATTAAAAAAAGAAACTATATATGAAATGGACTTTAGAAATACACCCAAAACCCATTTACAACATAACAAAGACGCTTTTAACTTCTTATAAATTACAAAACTGTCATCGATTCCTTAAAACAAGCCCAATCCTAAAACCTCATAAAAAAAATCCAAAACACTCAATAGGGCGTCAAAGTAATAATCAAAATTAAATTCAATAGGACCAGCTGTCTTTTTGGGTTTTTTTTTTTTGGTTTGTTTGTAGAAATTAAATGGTGTAGGGTTTATCTATAGTGCTAAGAATGGATATATAACTAAATATCTCTTTTTTTGTTTGGTCGAAAAAATTGAAGTGGAGGTTGAACTTAACGCCTGAATGTGTAAAAGTATGACTTGGCCCACTATCTTACAAGAGTAAAATTAAAAGTTCCATTTGGGTCTCAGACCATGTAAGGTTCGATTACATTTTTTATCCCCATTTTTAATGTTCCTTTTCATTTTGAGTTTTTCTATTGAAATTCCACACTTTTCTTTGTTCACTCCAATACTTAAATCATTAAGCTTTTAAGTTTTATTATTATGTAAAAAGACGAAAAAGGTCATCCAACTTAATACTTAATCCTAGTACATCCATATACACATCCCACCACTCTTCATATTAAGTTATAGAAAAACATAAACTCCTCTACACCCTAGTGTCAAATTACTCTTCTCTTTCAATCCAAGAAACCTACTACATTCTCATCTTCTTTTCACAAACCTTAAACACGGTATGCAAATAGTGGCTTGTAGGTCATCAATTGAGTTTGACAACTGTATTTATCTCTTTAACTAATATGAGATTGAGGTGAACCTAGAGTGGTGAGGGGCAAGATAGCGGGGTGTAGAGTGTGGGGTGTGAGGTTGATGAGTTTTTAATTTTATTTTTTCTGCTGGGTGTGTATTTTAGGGGTAGTTTGAGAAGATAATGAGGTTTTCTTAAAAATTGTGAAAATTTGAATTAGAAGTTGGAGTGAACTTAGAATATGGGCTAAACAAAGAGAAATACGGGGTATAAATAGAAAATCTCTTCATTTTTACATGGCAATGTTCTAAATTATTATAAAAAATTACGCTGGCACATTATCTTACCTAACTAGTCTAATCCACATTTGCTATAAATTTTCTACTTCACCAATGTCATCTTAATTAGTGTAAGTTTAAAGTTGTTATATTTAGTTTGCAATCATGTTTAAATTGTGAGTTCTGTCAAATTTAATAAGTAAAATCCAACGTGGCAAGATGAAATCATGACGTTTGAGATTTTTATTGTGTCTAATTAAAATGTTTGTAGTCAGTTCATAACGTGAATATTTAATTTATTTTTCTTAACAAGAACTAAAGTGAAAAATGAATCGAACTACGCAACAAAAAATGTGACTTGGACGTGATATATAACTTTGTTTCTAAGTGTGGGCATTTCTTGTAGACAGAGGAGGATGAACGAAGATGGGTCATTGGGGGAGTTAGCCATGGACTGTTGAATGAATGTGTTTAAAAGAGTTGGAATTAAGTCCAGTCTCTATTGTGGAGGAGTCATTGTGCATAGGAACTCACTGCCACGACATGGTTTGGTTTAACAGAAGAACTCGGCGATTGTTTTGCTAGGTACTATAAAGAAAAAATTAAAGACAAAATTATATAAAATAACTTAATCATGACTTGCAGACAAAGGGACTCATTATATCCAGGAGCATATACTTCACAGGAAGATAATATTACAAGCATATGTACAAGTAACACAAGGTAAACAACAGTAAACTCTCCAAAGAAAATTCAGTCCGGAACGCCTAATCAGAATAATATCCATCATATACCACATCGTCAAACAAAAAACTGCCTCCCTCATAGAAACCATCATCATCATAATCATACTCTCTAGAGCCCTTGCAGATGAAATTAGTAATATGAGAAGCAAGCTTTAAAATTTCCTCATCATCCTCACTGAAACCAATACAATCACTGACATCCAGAACCTGAAGCTCCATGCAACCTTGCAGTAACTTCATAAGAGCATCCCGATGAATTTCAGCCTTCCTCAAGATCAAATGCTTAATCTTAGGCAGGAAGTTGACAATTGCAATAGCCTCATCATTAAAAATATAAGCATTAGATACGCGTAAGCCCCAAAAGTCTTTGCAGTGAATGCTGATCTGTGAGAGGATTTTCACCAAATCATAGCTGCTTCCCAACATCAACCACTCCAAACGTTTCCACTTACCAATCAGCTCTGTTATTACACCTGATTTGTCGTCAACTAAATCCCCAGGCAATCCAACAGCCTTGAGGTCACCACACCTGCAAAAACAAACATTTTACCATGACCCAATTATATGTGTGAGGAGCAAATTAAAACCCAACCGAACATTCAAAAGGAAAATTAACATAAATGCTGAAATACTGGAGGAGAAACTTACACATCTGAAACATATTTCAAGTCTGTTTCTGAAGCACATGGAGGTAGCCTGAGAGCAGTAGCATGTCCTTTGCTACGATTGACGACAAACTTAATAAACGCAGTGGTCGAGAAATGATTCTCCTCAATTTGATATTGGTGGAGAAATCTTTTTAGCTTGGGGTCATGAACCCATTGTAATTTTTCACCAGCATTACTCAAAAACAAAATGGAATAGCTAGTTTTAATGTCTGGAAAAATGAGACGTTCCCAGCATGAAGGATTGAGGCTTGCTCTGTACCACGACTTGCATACGAAAGGCACATCCAAAAGCAGTGACTTCATACCAACTCTTCCCAAAATATTCACCATACAGTCTATGTTTAAGTCTTCCCATCTTCTTTCATCCATCTGAAAGAAATGAAATTAAAATTTAATAAAGCTATAGATGCAAAGACCCAACCACTGCTAATCTGCTTTAAATAAAAAAAAATTAAAGAGAAATGAGAAAAGAAAATGACCTTAAATCAATTGAGATATATATACATGCAATGCAAATGGAGTGTAAATAGAACTCCCAGATTATAAGAGGCAGGAAGCACAGCCATGCTCGCCTCTTTATATAACTTTTTCAAAGCAGAGTGATATGAACTTTTCTTAATGAGAAAGAGCTAGACCCAATCGTTTTTCTCCTTTTTCTTTGCCCTTTTCTTTTTGCAATGTCTGGAAAAATACGAGAGGTTGCTTTGCCCCTAAGTAATTAGAGGATCTCCAAGGGTATAAGCAAACGAAGTAGGCAAAATTGTACTATGCAGATTGATGGCATGTTTCAGTTGCCCCATGGAAAAAAACTACTCACTCCAATGGACTAGGCAATGCAATATTATATTATTTATTTTCATTTTTTATATTTACCTCATTTCACCTATCACAAAAAAAACAAAAGAAAATGTATATATAATAATAATAATATGTGGGGCCCAATATACCTATTCACTTTGAAGTAAGCAATGTTTGGGAGAGTATGGGCTTGTTTTGGGGTGCTTCTCTAAGTGCTAAAAGCGCTTCTGACTGTGTTGGATAAATAATAAAAAATAAAAATAGAGGTCCTTCTCGATCATGGAAGCGCTTTTTGAAGAAGTAAGTGCTATGTGCTTATTCAAGAAGCACTCCTATGTGCTTTTCCAAGAAGCTTGGATTTCTTATGAAAGATTCAACATCTTTATAATAAAAGCGCTTTTACTAGAAGCGCTTATGAACATAAGTTATTCCTAGAGAAGTAGCCACAAACGAGCCCTATGTATATTTTGTCTACCTATTATTGCCTCTTCTCTTGGAGCATGTAAATACTGATGTGGCAAGACAAATGAGATTTGCCTACTCTTTTACCTCTTCCCTTCAAGAAATCTAAAGTTAGTACTTTCTAATGTTGTTTTTATCACTAAATAATAATAATAATAATAATAATAATCACTTGCTAAAGGGACAAATTGAGTTTTATGGAGTGCCAATATCAACTTCAAAGAAGGCCTTTCAAATTTTAGTATTTTATAAGACTCCCAATTTTTAGCATTAATATTATAAAGAAGCCCTACAATAGTAATTGGAGAAAGGAACCGATTATACACTAGTTGGCATTCCCTTGGAGAATTTTTTTATTTTTTATTTTTTATTTTTTATTTTTATTTTTTATAAAACTAAAATGCCGCTTATGCCTTTAAGAGGTACATGACTTTTAGTAATAAAAAAAAACCCAAAAGTATGGCAATGTGAAGGAGAAATTATAGAATATTATGGTAATATGGCTATATTGTACATTTTATACATGTGTAATATGGGTGGATGATAGAGTTTATTTCCCCCACTTTCAGAGAATATTATCAATAATTATCCACTTAGATTGAAGTTCCCCATCACCCCTTTTAGTCTATGTTCTCAATCAAATCCTACTCCCAAAACTCGCTCCCCAACGCGTTCATGTTCTCTAAATGTAATTCTACATTGTCTTTGATTGAGATTGTTGCAAATCACCCAATTGTTCTTTGGCAAAGTTGTTGTTTTAATTTATTTGTTCGCTCTTATGCGCAGGTAGATCATTGGAAATCATATTTTCCGTAGATTTGTTATGGATGCAATGGTGGGTGTGTCTGTGACAACGCTTCTTCAAATGGTGGTGGTAAGGTTTGTTTAGGCTCATGGGTTATTTTAGGGTTTTGGTTATGTTAGGTTTGTGGGCTTTGTTTGAGCTTATGTCTAATTGTGGTGATGTGTGCTAGTTGTTTTAGTGCCGCTTTTGTTCGCTTTAGTTTTGCATTTAGCATGTTAGTTTGTTGCTCTCTTGGAATTGGTATTTTAGATGTTTTGTTGATGTCTTCGATTGTACCATTGAAGTTTATCTAATGAAGTTTCTATTTGATCACCAAAAAAAAAAATTGTGTACAAAATGTACCACTTGACCGTCCTGCCGTAGTATTCTATAATGGTATAAATTCTATTGAGGGATCTCTCAAATAATGTTATTTTAGGACACCCTTCAGGATACCCTTCAATTTTTTTTCTTCCAACATCGAACTACCGTAGTCTTCATTTATAGATCATCCTTGCAAAAAATGAGACAAATCGGAAACCATTTAGACATCTAGTGGTGTCCTACAAAATCAATGAACACGTTACTTTAAGAATGTTCTAAAAATTCAATAATTTAATTGAGTGGTCAAATGATATCAGATTCAAGTGATTATTTTTTTTTTTTTGTAGAGATGATCTTCAAATGAATTTATAAAATAGACGGTTTGGATTAATGAAATACAATGTATGGTGGACCCTACAACGGTGTCCCTCAACCGAAACTCACTGTATATATATATATATATATATATATATATATATATATATAAGGCTTAATTGCTACAGTGCCTCCTGAAACATTAGTCAATTCCCTATTAACCCCTTCAAAGTTAAAGTGACCCACTTTGCCCCCTTGACCAAGGTTTCGTGTGTCACTTAACCACTTTCCATCAACGCCATCCCAAGTTTCGTTAAAATGATGACTTGGCAGGGGTATATTGGTCAATTCAATTGAGCTGGGATTTTTCCCACCAATCTAAGGTTGTGACATGTACTTGTGGACCCCACCTCTAATAACTGATGTAGCTAAAATGATCATTGGGCCTGTTGATGTGGATTTGTGGACCCCATCTCTAACAAAACAACTACTATAATATCTGAAAACTCAAAATTGAAAAGAGGAAATCAACTTGGGAGGGGAAATTGAGATTTGGGAATTTTAGATCTAGGGTTTGAGCATACGATTGAGAGAGGAAGAGCACTGTGAGTTGGTTTCAAACTCTTGAAGGCAAGAAGAAGCGATGCAACTCGACGATGATGCTCGTTTGGCGAGAAGCAGGAGAAGCGCAACCTGTGTACGATAAGTGATTCTTCTGAAAAGGGACCTATTTTTGAAAAGGAATCTTGTCCTGTTATGTGGAAAAAAATCTTGACCTCATAGTGATGCGCGTTATCATTAATTGCAATAGCCTCATCATTAACAATATTAGCATTATTAGACACACGTAAGCCCCAAAAATCTTTGCAGTGAATGCTGATCTGTGAGAGGATTTTCACCAAATCATAGCTGCTTCCCAACGTCAACCACTCCAAACGTTTCCACTTACCAATCAACTCTGTTATTACACCTGATTTGTCGCAAACTAAATACTAAGGCAATCCAACACCCTTGAGGTCACCACACCTGCAAAAACAAACATTTTACGATGACCCAATTGTATGTGGGGAGAGCAAATTAAAACTCAATAGAACATTCAAAAAGAAAATTAACATAAATGCTGAAATACTGGAGGAGAAAATTACAGATCTGAAACATATTTCAAGTCTATTTCTGAAGCACACCGAGGTAGCCTGAGAGCAGTAGCATGTCCTTTACTACGATTGACGACAAACTTAATAAACGCAGTGATCGAGAAATGATTCTCATCAATTTGATATTGGTGGACAAATCTTTTTAGCAAGGGGTCATCAACCGATTTTTCAAAATTATAATCCAATTCGAAATAGCAAATTTCAATGTCTCGAAAAATGAGACCTTCCCAGCATGAAGGATTGAGGCTTGCTCTGTACCACGACTTGCATACGAAAGGCACATCCAAAAGCAGCGACTCCATACCAACTCTTCCCAAAATATTCACCGTACAGTCTGTTTAAGTCTTACCATCTTCTTTCATCCATCTGAAAGAATGAAATTAAAATTTAATAAAGCTATAGATGCAAAGACCAAACCACTGCTAATCTGCTTTAAATAAAATAAAAAAATTAAAGAGAAAATGAGAAAAGAAAATGACCTTAAATCTAAGAGTTTCTGTTGAGATATATATACATGCAATGCAAATGGAGTGTAAATAGAATTCCTGGATTATAAGAGACAAGAAAGCACAGCCATGCTCGCCTCTTTATATAACTCAAAAGCAGAGTGATATGTACTTTTTCTTAATGATAGAGAGCTAGACCCAATCGTTTTTATCCTTTTTCTTTGCCCTTTTCTTTTTGCAATGTCAGAAAGAAAAAAAAAAAAAAAAAAAGAGTTGCTCTGCCCCTAAGTAATTAGAGGATCTCCAAGGGTAAGCAAACGAAGTAGGCAAAAGTGTACTATATAGACTGATGTGGCATGTTGCCTATTCAATTGCCCGTGGAAAAAAATTGCTCACTCCAATGGACCGGGCAATACAATTTTATATTATTTATTTTCATCTTTTACATTTACCTCATTTCACCTATCACAAAAAAAAATGTATTTTATAATAATAAAAATATATGGTGTTCAATATACCTATTCACTTTGAAGTAAGCAACAATGCCTTATTTGGGAGAGTATGAGCCTGTTTGGGAG